GCAGGGGGTTGGACTAGATGACCTCCTGAGGTCCCTTCCAACCCTGATATTCTATGATAATGGCTTGCACAGTTTTGGAACAGGAATGTTCTTGGTCTGATGCCCATCCAAATACTAAACCATGAGGCGAACAGCTTCCAGGTTGGGATGACTGACCCTGCCGTTCTTGAGTCAAAAGTTCCAGGAAGGGATGAATGCTGATGAGTGGCTGGGCTAACGTATGCAGGAGACCTGGGAACCAGAACTGCCTGGGCCATTTGAGGACAAGGAGAATAACTCTTTCCACCCTGTCGAATCTTTTGCAACAGTCAAGGGAGCGGCAGGTTAGGAAGAAAGGCATAGTTCAAACGATTTGTCCAAGTGCACAGGAGAGCATCACCTCTGGAGAATTGGCCCTGAGCTCCCCTGAAAAAGTATGTGCTGCACTTTATCAGAGGTGAACAGATCCCAGGTAGGGGTTCCCTGCTGAGCAAAGATGTTCACCACTGAGCTGTGTAACCCCACCTGTGGCTGCTGGCAAAGTACCTGCTGAGCCTGTCTGTCAGCAAATGTTGGGTTCTTGGTGGAATACACACACCAGTTCCATAAACTGTCCACTTCTATACACAGAGGAATGGATCTTGCTCCTCCCTGTTTGTTTATGCAGACTATAGTTGTCATATTGTCTAACGGTGCAAGAATACGACGAGACCTGGATTACTGGTAATAACGCCCTGTATGCTTCTCGGATAGCTCTGAGTTCTGGGAGATTTACGTGCATTCTAGTTTCCTGAGGTGTCCAAGTATCCTGTGTTGTGTGACCATCGATGTGAGCCCCTGAACTTAACATGGAGATGTCTGTGATTGTCAATCGGGTGTGGGGGAATAGGGAAGAAATGCCTACGCACACTGGTGTGGGATCTTTCCACCAAGTTAGAGAGGCCCTTTTCTCAGTGGGGAATGTCACTAGAGCATTTCTGCTGTTCGTGCTCAGCGTATATATAGATCAAAGTCCAGCCTTCAGGCAGCAGAGGTAGAGTTTGGTGAACAGTGTTACGTAAGTCCAGGAGAGTAAGAAAAATCTAGACTGCTGTCTATGGGTTGTGCATAATCTGGTTTATCAGGTTGCTCATGGCTTGGAAACTGCTGATAGGGACACAAGCCCTTGCTCTGAGTCTAAGGTCAGACTAAGCTCTTATGAAAGCTATAGTCTGGGTCTGAGCAAGGGTAGACTTTTGCATGTTTACAGAGATCCCCATGAATGTGGAACAGCCCTGTCTGAGTTGTGATGCTACTACAGAAAACACTTTCATAAAAACTCTGGATGTAGTTGCTAGACTGTATTGACAGTGGTCAGGATCTAACACAAAACTGAAGAATCTTCTGTGAGAAGGGTGAAAATCCACATGAAAATATGCATCTTTCATATCGAGAGCTGTAAACCACATCTTTTTCTAAGGACAGTATTATCAATGCCAGCGTAACCATGCAGAATTTTAGCTTGTGATTAAAAAAAAACAAAAACACGTTGCTGCAAGTCGAGCATCGGTCTCCACCCTCCTCCGAGCAGAACTTTTAAAACTAAACTACATATAAAACTTTGAAATATTTAGAGGAAAACATTGAAAAGGATCAGTTCCAGACACTGGAGATTCCCACTCAGGCCATACGGCTGTAAGGAGGAACTGGAGGTGTTGGTCTGCACTGTTCCTTATACCTTCGGCATGGAACATAAGGAGAGAGGGGGCCCAGGCATGGACCAATAGATGCTACTTGCAAGAATTCTCTGGTCTCATGTGCGTGGAGCGCAGGCATACCCACAGTACAATACACATAAGGACCAACACTCAAAGAAGAACTATGAATTACCATTTCAATTATATTGAAATATGAGCACAGGGGCACCAAACCCATTCTCCCCCACCCAAACAGGCTGAATAGAAAATAGGAGGCCCTGCCAAGAATATGGACAGGTTCCCTGATAATAGTGAGAATTTCCCTTCTAAAAAGATACAGAAAAGCACCCCAGATAGTCATTGTCCTCCACAAGCTCCAGCTTTTCTCAAAAACTTAAGGCTGCAGAACATAACTAAACCAGAAAAGCAAAAGAGGATTTTGAGGCCATTAGGGCATCTAATCTGACCTGCTATTTAACACAGGCTGTAGAATTTCACCCAGTAGCCCCTGTAATGAACTTAATAACCTGTTTCCTTAAAGCATATCTTCCATAAGCCATCCAGGTCTTGATCTGAAGACTTTGAGATGAGTATCTACCACTTTCCTTCATAGTTTGTTCCAATAGTTAATCACCCTCACTTTTAAAGGTTGTGATTTCTAATTTGAATGGATCTGAAAACTTCCAGCCACTGGTTCTCATGTCTTTCCCTGCTAAAGGGCCCTTTAGTAACCGTTATTTTCTTCCCATGAAAATAATCATACCCTATAGTTGCCTCTTGATTTTTTTGACAAGCTAAACCAATTAAACTTAAGTCTCACTCTAAAGCTTTTTTTTTTTTGTTCTTTTCTGCACCGTCTCCAATTTTTCAACGTTCTTTTTAAAATGTGGCCATCAGAACTAGGCAGTATTTCAATATTGGTCTTACCGGTGCTATAGACAGAAGTAAAGTCACCTCCCTCCTACTACTCACTACTCTATTTATACACCCAAAGATTGCATTAGCCCAGGGGTGGGCAAACCTTTTGGCCCAAGGGCCACAATGGGGTATAGAAATTGTATGGTGGGCCATAAATGCTCACAAAATTGGGTTTGGGTGCGGGAGGGGGTGGGGCTCTGGCTGGGGATGTGGGCTCCAGAGTGGGGCCAGAAATGAGGAGTTCAGGGTGCAGGTGGGGGCATGGGATGCAGGGGGAGTGAGGGCTCTGGCTGGGGGTACAGGCTCTGGGGTGAGGCTGAGTTTGGTGCAGGAGGGTGCTCTGGGCTGGGATCAAGGGGTTTGGAGGGCAGAAGGGAGATCAGGGCTGGGGCAGGGGGGTGCGGCATAGGGGGAGGCTCAAGGATGCAGGCTCTGGGCAGTGCTTACGCCCGAAGTGGCCCCCAGAAGCAGTAGCATGTCCCCTCTCCAGCTCCTACATGGAGGTACCATCCCTGCAGCTCCCATTGGTCACAGTTCCCGGCCAATGCGAATTGTGGGGGTGGCACTTGGGGCAGGGGAAGCATGCAGAGTGGAGCCCCTTGGCTGCCCCTACATGTAGGAGCTGGAGGAGGCCATGCCACTGGCTTTGGGGAACTGCACGGAGTGGCTCACGACCCTGCTCCGCAGATGGAGTGCCGGAGTAGGGCAAGCCCCAGACCCCACTCCCCAACAGGAGCTCGAGGGCCAGATTAAAATGGCTGTCGGGTTGTAGTTTGCCCACCCCTACATTAGCCCCGTTTGCCACAGCATCATATTCAGAGCTCATATTGAGTTGTCTATCCACCATGACCCCCTACTGTAGATCCTTTTTAGTCATTGCTGTCCAGGATACAGTCCCCGTTCCTGTAAGTATGACCTACATTTTTGTTCCTATCTGTATGACCTTGCATTTGATTGTATTAAAATGCATTTTAATGGGCCCAGCTTACCAAGCAATCCAGATCACTTTATGACTGCCCCATCATAATCATTTACAACTCTAATCTGTAAAAAGGAGTACTTGTGGCACCTTAGAGACTAACAAATTTATTTGAGCATAAGATTTCGTGAGCTACAGATGCTCAAATAAATTTGTTAGTCTTTAAGGTGCCACAAGTACTCCTTTTCTTTTTGCGAATACATACTAATATGGCTGCTACTCTGAAACTCTAATCTGTGTCATCCACAAGTTTTAAGCAGCAATGATTTTATATTTACTTCTTTATCATTAATCAAAATATTGAACAGATCCCCGAGGAACCACCCTGGTAACACACCCATTCAATAATTTTTAAGATCTGTCAATTAGAGAGTTTTCAATCCATTTAACATGTCCATTATTTATATTGTACAGTGCTATTTTTAATCAGAATGTTGTGTACTTACTCAAAATATACTTCTGTGCATTTATCTTTACCAACCAAATTTGTAATCTCATCAAAAAGTGAATTTTTTTTAATACCACCAATGTACATAAAACTGTGTTGACTGACATTAACTGTATTCTTATCCTTTCATTCTTTATTTATTGAATCCCTGTCAGCTTTTCTATTTTGGCTGGGATTGACGTCAGAATCACCTGCCTGTAATTACTTGGGCCTGATTGCCCTTTTTTTAATACTGGCACATTAGCACTCTGCTAGTCTTCTGGAGTTTGCCCAGTACTCCAAGTTTTAATAAGAATTAACATCCTTAAGTAAGAGATCTCCTCGGTCAACTCTTTTAGCACTTTTGAATGCAGATTATTTGGGCATGCTGACTTTGAGATGTTTATCCCTAGAAGATGCTGTTTAACATTCCCCTTAGTAACAAATGCAGGCGTGGATCCTTGTGAAAGCTCTGAGGTTTTGTTTTGTTTTGTTTTTTAAAAAGAAGAGTCAGACAGCAGGCCAGAATTCTGCAACTTTTCTACTCTGGAATGGATTAAAACCAGGAGGAGGGGGAAATGTGGGGATTTATGTCTAATAAACCCCAAACCCTATTAGGTGAGGAGGGCCAACTTGTTGAGCCCCCGTCTTTTCAGAAAGGTTACGGAAGAAGTCTCAGCAGGCAGGGAGTAATATGTCCTAGCTTGCCCTCCAGACTGACAATTTAAGATCCGTGGTAGTGAGCAGCTATGTCAGAACTCCTCTTCTGCTGCTTCTCCTCTTAGCACTTCTGGGGTTTTTGGCCTACTCTTCCATAATGAGGAAAAATAACATAGGAAAAATTGGGAGGCTCTTCCCTTTGAAGGAACACAATCCTGCCCCCAAACAAGCTTTAGAAACTAGTACTTTAAAAATAAAATAGGATTGTTGAACAGCCACTTGGTCTCCAGAGGCAGGGCCGAGCCCTATGGACAAGACTTAATTGTCTCCTGTGTTTGAAGAAAGAGGCACCACCCTAATGTCTCAGATTGGGGATCCAGAAAAAGCAGTATTTATTTTCTCTGTTGATATACATGTTTCTTTTATCACTATTTTAATATTAAAGTATACAAGTAGCAACAGAACTAGATTGAAGTTCCCCCCTCAACGTCTGGATTCATAATAGATGTTCCATCTTACAGTCAATCTTGTTTTATCCAATGAATAATGAAGAACAGAGATGCAGCCTAGTGCCTCTCCTTTTACAAGAAACCTGCCAGCCAGAAATATTCCACAGGGTAGGTGGAAGTAACCTATTGTGGAGTACAGTGTATTGCTGCTCTGGGCAGGGGCATCCATAAATGTATCAGTTAATGCTTGCTATTGACAACAGGGTATGCTCTAATTAGATTTGGAGGTAGAGGTGGGGTGGAAGCTGAGCACTTCCCCTATAACACATACTATGGCCCAAAGGGGGGTGTAGCACATGGGCTCGTATTAGCTGGGTCCACCTCCAAGCACATTCCTACACATTGTGGACAAGTTCTATTGCTTGCCCAAGCAGCACTTTCAACATTTTCTTCTGCCCACAACTTGACACAGAACAGGATGGACTGCTGTTCCTCACTCTCCCTCCCCCTCCACTTCTCCCCCACACTTTCCAAGCCCAGAGTTGTAAATACTGCAACTCTCTTGCAATTGCTGAGTAACATCAATAAAGCCTTCAGCAGTGCAGGGAGTTGTTTTCTGAGAATGGAGTTACGACTTAAAATAGTGAAAAATAGCCTTGTAGTTCAAATGATGCTTGTGAAAGAATAATTGTTTGACTTTGGGAGAAAGGGGTGGAAGATTGCTAAATAAGAATCAGCAGCCATAATTCCATTTACCTTTTAAATGTTTATCCTCCTGTTGTAACCAGAACCCTCTACTACCTGCCTATACATAGTAAACTGAAATAGCACCCAGGAGCATATGATAACATAGAATAAAATACTATTTTCTCCCAGTGATTAGGGTGTGTGTAAGAGAATGATTGTCAAATATTGTAAATGTGTAGCATGAACAATGCAAGTTGACTTATGAAAGACTGTACTTTAGAAAAGCCAATTTTTCCCCTCTCATGCACAGAATGAGAGCCCTTTGAATGCATCAATGGGCAGAGTTTGTCCCCAACCATTTAGGCTTGTTTTATGAACCTATAATTATATTTGTATACTTCCTTTGAAAGTACTGTATTTGAACTTTAAAAGATCTCTCTTTAAATCTAGGCCTAAACAAAAATTACACACCAAGGGTGAAAATAAAAATCCTAACAGACCTACTTAATTTATACTTCAATTAGATAGCAAGAATTCTGAGGCTCCCTTATATCCTCAAGGGTTTACTCCAGGACTCCTAATTATTACACTTCAAAACCCCTAATTACCAGCCCAACCAAGCAACCACTGTACAATGCAGCCAATTAATTTTCAGATAAAGCAAACATTTATCCCTTCTGAGAAGGGCATTTCTAAAGTACTAGATACAAAACACTTAAAACAGTGAACAATCTCAATAGACAATCTGGTTCGTACTTTGGCATCTTTGCTCTGCTTAAAAAATCAGACAAAGAAAGATGAACAATTTAAACCCACAAACGTCTACAAAAATATACTGAATTAAGAGCTATATTCAAATCAGAAAAGGAACAAAATATTAGGGCACAAATGGTATAAACTAGATTTCCATTAGGCTTAATACAGACTAGCTGTGCCTGTTCCTGATCCTATGGGAGCACCGAGCAAAGGACGGCTCCTCTCCCTCACAACTAGCCAAGGAAGATCAGGAAATGTGGGAGGAAAGGGGGAGAAAAGTTGAAACCAACCACCAGTTACAGCTCTGGCTTCAGTAATGGTGCAGATTGAAGCAGTCTAGGGACTGCTCCAACTTTTGCCAACTTGCTGTGGTTCTCAAGGAATGATCTGCCAGCTAAAATAGCCAGAGTCTAATATTCCAGCCAATTTCCCACCCCTCAAACATGCCCTTCTCCACCCTCAATGCAGGTGGTTAGTTACAGAACTTGGAGAGAGATGTAGGATACACATGTGCCATATGCCCATGGGGGACAACCCCCACAGTGGGGGAATCTCCAGGAGTGGACTTATGGATGGCTTCCACTACCTTTGTACCACCAGAACAGTGCAAAGAGCAGAAACATGGTAGAGAAATTATTGTAGTCCCTTGACTTTACTGAAATAGTATTTTTGATTCTTAAGCCCTAAAGGTTAGACAGCACGGATCTATGGCAGCAAAGTGAAGGGTTAAATGTTGATAGCAAAACAATTAGATTTGAACTAATGGAACGAATTTTGGGTATGAAGGGGCACCACTGAAATAAAACTGTCATTAAGAAAAGTCTTTATGCTATCAGATTCATGAACATCTTTCTTCTTGAGATTCTTACTGCACTGCAACATATAAAGCCACTGAGAAGGATTTAAATACCACTCCTTGAACACTTTGCAAATTGCATCAGAAACTGATGCAGAACTACATATTTTAGTTTGAAAAATGTACATTAATCTCATTAACAATTGTCCAACTCCCTTTCCCTTGTATGTTATAATAAGTTGAAATTATTTTTGTTCTCAACAATGGCAACTTAAACATCAGCATGTAGATGTTGTATGATGACAATCAGAATTTGGTGTGGTTTACCTACAATCTAACAATGAGGCACTTTTAAGGTAAAAAGTTTAAATTTAAAGAAGCAGGTGGGCAACTGTAGCAAACACATCTGAAATAATATTCTGAGCCTCAAACTTTTCACCCATTTAAAAGATAAACAAGTTTTAAATACACAAGTTTTAAAAAATACACAGCACATGTTTCTTTTCATATTTTATAAACATAAACACACACAAACCCTTAGGCCCAAGAGTTCACCTGCATTTCGTGGTCTCAAATTTACAGCATGGAAGTCACATATTAAAAATGACAGTACCACCTGTCTGCAAAACCCTATTTTTACCAATACCATTTTTTAAAAATTGGTAAATATATATTTTCCATTACTAGTTGGTTCAGGTTGTGTATTTTCAATAGTGCACTGTACATTTGAAAAGCTGTACTAATTCAAATTATTAATGTAATATTCATTTATTATTTCTGATGTTTGTAATGTCATCATTCACCACTGTTTTTATAATGTACAGTAATATCTGCAAGTCTGTTACTGTTGAATGAGATTTCATACATTAAGAGGTGTTAAAATCAGCTGTTCTTGAATGCACTTATATTGTAAGGCCCAGGTAGTAGCACATTGCAGCACCCAAAATAATACTCAACATACTGCTATTAACCTGTTGCCAGGTGTTTAACTTTTTTTAAACTCTTGTTATATGTAGTAAAATACCAGTAAAGACAAAATTTTGCCCCTATAATGAGGCACATTTTGGCATCTGTGCTAAATGCTGCTGCATGGGCAGGCAAGTGCAAGTCAAAATATGAAAAGGAGAGTCATGATTTAACATTAATAACTTTTTCATAGAAAAATATAAATATATTCCCTGAAATATAGGACAAAGAAGAGCCAGCATTCATCATGAATCCTAGCACTATTACCATAAAAAAAGCGGACTGGCTTTTCCTCTTAAGGTTATGTTCCACAATCTATGTCATCTAGACCTCTATCATCATCACCACCACCATCATCATATCTCACAGTCCTTCTACCCCCATTTCTAGTTCTTATTTTAGAACGTCGATTTGCTCTTTTATATTTGGTGTAGTCCACATCATCAGAGTCATTTTCTTGATTAAGTTTAGAGCGTTTTGTTCGCTGGGGCCTTCTGGAAGGCTTAGATACATTTGAATTTTTACCTTTTCTAATTACTTTAGTTTTTCTTTTTCTTTTCCTCTTTTTTGTTTTTGTGGCATTCCTATAGCTACTGTTACTAGAATCAGTTTCAGATTCTAAATTGGAAGAGCAATTTGAACTGGCACCAGCTCCAGATTTTCCAATCTTTGCAGTCCCAGAAGGATCAGTCCACTGGCACACAGAACTTCTTCCACCTTCCTGCTCTCCTGTTTCAGACTCTGTGTCCTTTACGGCACTCAAGCATTTTGCTTTTCTGAAAGACATCCCAGCCTTTTGACCGGTCACCTCCTTGGTTTTTTTACCTTTGTACTTGCCTGATTCAGAACCTGCCTCATCCTCAGAGTTGCTCACTGCATGATGTTTGCGTGCAAAAGTCGACTGGTCAGAAGCTTTCTTACTGCTCCCATCCTCTGATTTACGGCTTTTGGAGTCGTCCTCTGAAAATTCTACTGCAGAATTTTTCACTTTAAGAGATGCAGCACGGACAGTTGTGTGTGGCTGCTTATCGTCATTACTATGCCTGTTCTTTTGTGTCATCTTTGTCTCTTTTTCAGATTCAGATTTTCCCCTTTCAGACTTTCTAATATATTTTCTTCTAACAGTAGCTGAATTAGGCTGAGAAAGTGTTTTACTGTTGAAATGCTGCTCTTTTACTTTTTCACTTTCAGACTTGAAAGTGGCATCTACCTTAGAGCTGTCCCTTAGCCTTTTCTTGGATGCAGCAGACACAGTCCGGTGAGGCAGTTTTCTGTTCTTTTTTTCAGTGCACGCATTTTCTGAGCTGGAGAGCTCTTCCTTTATATCACTCATTATCTTAATTTTATTAGCAGCCAAAGTAGCACTTCTGCATGGAGTTTTTTTTCTAGTAACAGTTTTGGCATTTAATGTCTCACTAGAAAACTTTGTATATTTTTTGTAGTCATTCATATATGTCCTGCTCCTGAGCACTTTTGTATTTTGTCCAATCTCCTCAGAGGTTGATTCTACAAAATAAAGATTTAAAAGTTCCTTTAAATAACTTATATTTCTATTAAAATCATATAGTTTACTCGGTACAAGCTTTACTACTAATGCTGAAATACACAGAAATTAAAGTACAGGTTATGCACTTCTCAGCGATGTGCAATTTACGTTGGGTAATTATTTAAAATAAGATCAGCAATGGAGATCCTTTTAACTTTTAGTGTTGTGCTTTTGTTTGAGATAAAAGAGGACAGGAAGCAACATTCTTTGCTCACAATGACAGTCAATCAAAAAATCACTACTTACCTTCCAGAAGGGGAATGATTTCCAGATTCTAAATATCTATGAGTAGTGTTAAAACTATCATTCTATTGCAAAGAAGTCTCTAAAAGAAATTACACATATTTATGAACCTGTAATAAATTTTGTTCTGCTAATGCAGAGGCAGCCATTCAGAAAGCAAAGTACAAATTCTATTACCAGAAGAATTTTAATATTTTATGCAGTTGATAAATGATCAGGGAAATAAAAGAATTTTTTCAACCCAGATCTGGACTGTGGAACTTACTTCCATAAGAGTAATGATCACAGGCAGTAACACTTTCAGAACTGAACACACACCTCATTTCTTCAGAATAGCTCTCCCTTAAATTCTTCACACAGAGACACGAGGTCTTATAAATTCATAATTAGGGCCCTACCAAATTCACAACCATGAAAAACATGTTATGGACTGTGAAATCTGGTCTCCCCCCATGAAATCTTGTCTTTTGTGTGCTTTTACCCTATACAATACAGATTTCACAGAGGAGACCACCGTTTCTCAAATTGGGAGTCCTGACCTAAAAGGGGGTTGCAAAATTATTTTAAGGAGGGTCACGGTATTGCCACCCTTACTTCTGTGCTGCTTTCAGAGCTGGGTGGCCGGAAAGTGGCAGCTGTTGGCCGGGCACCCAACTCTGAAGGCAGCGCCCTGCCAGCAGCAGCGCAGAAGGAAGGGTGGCACTACTGTACCATGCCACCCCCTTACTTTTGCACTGCTGCCTTCAGAGCTGGGTGGCCGGAAAGTGGCGGCTGCTGGCCAAGGGCCCAGCTGTGCAGGCAGCAATGCAGAAGTAAGGGTGGCAATACCATACCTTACCATACCATGCCGTCCTTATTTCTGCGCTGCTGCTGGTGGTGGCTCTGTCTTCAGAGCTGGGCTCCCAGCCAGCAGCTGCCTCTCTCCAGCTGCCCAGCTCTGAAGGCATTGCTGCTGCCAGCAGCAGCGCAGAATTCAGGGTAGCAGTACTACAACCCCCCCTCCCCTCTACACAACTCCTTTGTGGGTCAGGACCCCCACAATGACAATAATGTGAAATTTCAGATTTAAATAGCTGAAATCATGAAATTTACAATTTTAAAAATTTTGAAATTAACCAAAATGAACCATGAATTTGGTAGGGCCCTACTTACAATGCTATTTATTCTACAGACTGTGAAGCAAGAAAGACAAAATCTCTCTCTATTTTCATAGATGACCAGTGCTCAGATACTACACAGTGACAGGGAACAGAAAGGCCAAAAACCAAAAAATCTTCCTTTTGAGACATAAAACAGGCAGCGATAGGGGTGGAATGTGAAAAAACTGACAACAGAAAGTACAAAACCAGTAAAGAAATGTTAATTTTCCAAAAAGATATCAACTTAATTATGTTATAATTAATGTAATTAAATATAAAAGTACTTGATAGTATCTAATGTTCTCTGACATGTCATGATATGTCTTTAAAACCTAGTTTGTTTAATTTCTTTAGATATTAAAAATAATATATCCAGGAAACGGGGGGGGGGGGGCTGTGCTGCACTAATGGATTCCATGGTAGGATGGGATCACTGTTTATAGATTTGGTTTAATGAAATTCCATAAAACTGTATTAAGACTGTATATTTTATTACTGTAATTACAATACCACCTACAATCCACAGAGATTAAAAACAGAAAAAACTTTTGGAAAAAAAGCTTTTTAGGTTATCTGTATATCACAAAGCAGCAAATAAGGACAAACCCTTTTTACCCTTCTCAGATGGTCAGAAATGTATCTTTAATACATTTGATATTGTTCTGTGGATGAATCTTTTTTTAAAAAAAGATTTCTAATTTAGCCTTTGATCAGAAAGCATGTTATTACCAGAGCCCTGCAAATCCAAAGATATCTGCTTTATATATGTGGCGATCCCTATCTGCAGACCATTTTTGCGGATCATGGATTAGATGCGGATACAACTTTCCTATCTGCAAATCTGCTGATATCCACTTTATATTCACGGACCATTTTTGTAGATTGGATGTGGATACAAATTTTGAATCTGCGTAGGGCTCTAGTTATTAGGTGCTTCATAGTCTAGTGAATATACATTCTCAGTAAATATTGAGTGTTCAAAACAAAACAACTTTATAAAATATTGTGGTGAAAATTATATACAATAGCAAGGTTGACACTATACATTTTGGTTTCATGTTTTTTCAAAATAATGTATTGGCAAATTCTCAATTTTCTGAAAAAATGAAATTTGAAAAACACATATTCATGGAAAGGACTACATAAGTGCTAGGTGGTGATACTTTATTAATCTTAATCCATTTAATCAGAACACCTGCTGGACGACCTGTTGTCTCCATTAAGAACTCCTGAGTAAGAGCATACACTAATTTTTATTAGTACAGCTGCTGCTGTCAGAGGAACTGCAGAACCTGTTGTCCCTGGACAAGCCCATCTAGGAGTTGAATGGAAGGCATTGTCTACAATGAGACAAGGACTACGTCTGCTGCCTGCCTAGTGCCAGGAGCTGCACTGGTGGCAATATGTAGTGGCATGGAAAGAGCCAATATAACATATCAGAACAGAAACTACTGAAGTACTCACACTGCATGTATCACAGCCATAACAGGACTGAAAGCTATTTCAAGAGACACCTAAAAAAATGTGGTGTAGGCAGAATTGTCCTTATTAAGTATTGTTATTTAGTATTACTAAGCTTAATTAGTTCCCTGGGAGATGTCCCAATTAAATGTAAATGCCCCCCAAAAATGTCTCCCCTCACACAAGCCAATCAAAGGAGTATATACAATAAATCTCCTACTGCAGTTGCTAGAATTACCATAAATGGTGGTGCTGCCAGGACAACCAGAAATGCTGGACTTTGGAAGCACTGACCCAATACTGCAAAGTGATTTGTGATGCGATGATTTTGGCTGTGCAGACAAGTACCCTGAAGATCCAGAGAACAGTGTTTGCCTGAATCACCAATTTCATCCTGATGCTTGATGTTCCAAAGAAAGAGTTCATCCTCTTCCAGTCTAGAACAGGACAGGTAGGGACTATAAAATGTTGACACCTCCCCTCCACCCCATCACTGATCTGTGCACTCTAACAGTGATAAACTTGAGAACATCCTTAATTCTTTGGTTTTGGAAAATCTGGAGTAAAGTGACTAAACTAAATAGCTGCAGTGCTTTCAAATGAATCATCATATAAACCTCATTCTACTGTCCAGTTAGAGCTGAGTGAAATTTTTTTGGTAAATTGTAAATTCAATGGAAAATGTTTTTTCAGGGCACTAAAACTGTGAATTTGGGTCAAATTAGCCTAAGTTTCAGCAGAAACCAATGCAGCCTGTTCAGAGTGGAGCTGCATACAAATTTAAACTATCACAATTATATTATGACAGCCTTACATTTGTCATATTGGCTGCCTATTGAGGAGCAGGACACCCATCAACTTAAAATAATTACATTACTGTCTGAGTAATCCCCCAAATTACTATAAATGAAAAAATGAGAAAATAAATTTCCCATTTTTAGTTTTCCTTTGCATATTTACACTAAAATATTGCCAACATTTAGTTTCACTTTTTCCTCTACATAAAAGAATAGTTTCTCCTGTATGTGTGGGATTTTCTACACAGCAATAGAGGAGATAAAACCATTTTAAAGACAGGAAAATTATAAAAGCACAGAAATGGCAGTTGTCCTCCTGGGCAGATGTGGTGCCTAAGGATATTTGCAACTCACATTTGAAATGTGCTAATCAGTGTCTCTTTAAATCAGCTCTATTGGTTTTTGAAACCCTTAAGGATGCTGGCTCTGAATACATTTTGATTCCACATCTTTAGCTTTGTACCATGATGCACATGTTTTTACATACTACTCTCAACACAGATCTTATCTCATCCAAGATCAGCAGTTGATTATGCTTCAGCTGTGGTGAGCCCCATGCAGCACAGAACTCTTTCCATCCCTTCTCATTTTATTAAGAACACCTTTGCTTTTCTAGAAGTTTCAGAACATTCGTGTTGCCTGACACATACTATCTTGTCTTTCAGTCTTTCCCTTAAAATTAGATGCCCTCATTTCATTGCTTATATTTTAAGAGGGCAGTATTTTATTGCTTAAAGGGACACCAATTTAAACAAACCATAACACAATGTCAGCAATCACACTGCTCTATTTTATCAGCACTTCAATGCGTTGGCTGCTGTATCTGGGGAGTGAGGAGTACTATATAAAGTATAATTATTCCATGACAAGTATGGCCACCTTCAAAAAAAAGCAAGACATCAAGAAGCTCTATGGATAAACTATCTCTCAGATTAAAATACTTCATAATTTACTATATTAATTAGATGCATCCCTCAGGTTTGGCATTAACAGATGTGGCCCTCACAGCTGGTTTTGCACCACTGATCCAGTATTAGAAAACCTGTATTTATCGTTGCCAGTTTGATCTAGCTGTTAAAAACCAATTAAAAATAAACCGACACATTTTAACTCAGGAATTGTATAATTTTTTTTTTGAAGGATTAGCACTCTTTCATTAAGAGAGGAGACAATGATTCATATTTGAATTTTTGCTCTATTTAAGATACGAGAAACTGGAAGACATATTAACATTTTGAATCCAAGAACATAAAAGTACAATACATTGAGAGCTACAATTTAACCCGAGAGTAATAGGGAAAAAAGGGATATAAACCAGATTTTCTTCAAGCTGCAGAAGATGACAGGTTAAAACATCCACCTTTCATACCAATGGCAAAACAATTCCCCCTCCTGCCCCAGAAAAAAAAAAAAACAAAGCTCAATGCTGGCTGATCTATTTTGGCACTTTTCACATTTATCATGGTTAACAACTTTCCCACAGAAGTTTAAGAAAAAAATCTTTAACTGATCACCTTTGAACAGATAGCATTTTGCAGCTCTTTTTTTCTTTTAAAAGGAAATACATAAAGTCTTAAGTCAGGAAAATTTTCCTTGGTGTTTATATCACTTCTCTTTCCTTTCTACCACAAAATATATAAATTCAAATTGGATGTAATATTTTATATAAAAATTAAAGATTCCCTTTTACAATATTAAAAAACTCTTCAAAGAATTTGAAAAATAATTTTTCATGTCTCCAAAAATAGTAAGTTATATAGTGGATTCAAATATTTTCTACTTACAAAACAAGTTTCAGATAAGAGCCATTTAATACCAAAAAGTTACTGAAGGGTGCTGAAAATAAAGCCAATACTTTAAAAAATATTAACTGAACAGAACTAAGTATCTATGGCAATGCAGCTACATATAAAGTTTAATGGGCAATCAAGGGCTCAGTGACTGTTTTGTTGCTGATCATCTACTCTACCTGCCATTTTTATACATTTAATTGATGTTAGAAATCACTTGGTGCATTTGGCAGAAATTAATAAGTGTTTAGATCTTAACAGGTCAAAAAATTATTTCTTGTGGGAAATTGCCAAGATAGCAGAATTAGTCACAAAACACCTTAGATGACTTTCTTCCTGAGATTCTCACCCCATGTAAACATATACCCATATGTCACAAAAATATATCAAAACTATCTGCCGAAGACGGCATACAATACTCATTTTAAAGTGTGACAATAAGTTATGTGGCAATCAAGAAAAATGTAGGTCAGTTTGCAAGAACGAAATGGCAACATTTTGACAAGTTTGTGTTAGAAACACAGTGATGACCCAACTCCATATCCTCCCCCCTCATATTTGGTAGTTTGAAGAAATTATTTTGGTTGAATTAATAACTGGAAAAGGGTAACTTTAACATGAAGATTTTAACTTATTATAATGCAGTTAAGGCAGGTCATCTTTCCTCAGCTGTCAAGTTAGAGGTGGAAAATAACTCTGGGCCCCATTTTTTTTTACAGGGGGTATGCAAGATAGTAACCCTCTCTTCAAGCCCAGGCAAGATGGGCAGAGTAGTTAAATGTTATCTTTTGTGTTTTCATTCTTAATCATGTTTGGTGTCAAGCAAACAAAAAAAAAGTAGTTTTTAGAAGTTGAGTAAAGTAGTACATGGGCATGTTACTTTAAATTCAACAACAATTTTGAGACTAGAAAAAGGGGGAAAAGTACTGCAGCTATAAGAGATATAATTTATGCAAAGGTACAATATAGGCTAACAAAATATGAATATAAAATATTAAATTCTTACTTTTCCTTTATTCAGTTTACTATCTGGTGAATTATTTACCATTGCTGGCTACAGTATTATTTCATCCAGGATCTTAGAGTTACTGTAAAAACATGCCTCTATTTCCCCCACACTCCTATTCAACCTACTGATTGCTACATGAAGTTGAAAATATATGTAGGGTGCTAACCACAAGTAAAGCTATATATGTTCTGGCTTCACAAAGCGCAGACCTCTCCAGGGAAAAGACTGGTCCTTCTGCAGTATAGTTAAAAAAAGCACTCTGCAAAAAGGAGATGAAAGAGAGAGAGATATATTTTTCTAAAGAGTATGTATATAAGTTCCATGTACCACAACTCCATATGCTAGATTCAATCCCCTTTACTGGGGATTACAAGTCATTAGAATTCTCCAAGCCCTAAAACTAGTTGTAGTCCCTACGAGGATGGTATAGATGCCTCCCACTTACAACAGAACAAAAAGAGCAAGTAAAAAAAAACTTGCCCAATTGCTTCTGTTGCAATATTTGTGGGAATTCTCTAAAGTAAGGTCTGCTAGGGCACTTGGGATGTTCTTTCTTTACTTTTTGCAATCTTTTTTTGGGAGGTTGGGGGGGAGGGGAGAAGATGGAGATAAGGTAGTTAGAGCAGTTTTTGGGACTAGTGTCTATCTCCCTAACATCTTTGGAATAGTTAGGAAAAGAGAATATACAGACTGTAAAGAGTCTTTAAAGTTGGCTCAACTATGAAAGAACTACCAATCTCCTAAAAGAGGAAGTTGTAGCGACACACTAGATATGGCCCAGTGAATCCCAATGTCATTCTGATGAGCCAAGTTGCCAAAAAAATTCCCAAACTGGAATTACATCTCATTTAGCACATGGAAGTGCATATGAAAGAAAGATGAGAAATGGAGAAGAATAAACTCGAGAATAGGTTGAAACTGCAAAAGCAAAATTAGGCTAATGAACATTTCTATGAGACTACAACTTTGGGCTATTCATTATCAACTGTCTGCCAATGAGATGCTGTACATAAGAAAATCTCTTAAGGACCATAAGAGTGACTTAACACTTTGGCTGAACACATGAAAAATCAGAATATCCCATGAAATTTGGAGAAACAGATATAGGGGACATCACTGTATCTGTTGGACAAAAAGCTTTATCATCTTAAAAATTTACACCAATAGTAAGAACAGGAGTGCATGCAGACACCAAATAAATACCAGAATATTGCTATCCTGGACACACTATGTTTTCACCTAAAAAAAAAGGTAGCAAAACTGCCATCAAAACAAAAATTAAATAATTTTGTAGATTCCAATTTACCTCATGGAAGCAACACTGTATTAAAAAACAACACCTTTCAGTCAAACAATAAAAATTATTTAAATTTAAATTAATGGCTCTTATGTATTCAACCTCATTAACAAAGCAAATAATTTGGAAAAATAAAAATAGTTCTCTACTTTGTAAAGTAACTGTTACTTTACTCATGATGTCAAGATCAACAGGACTAATGATAAGACTTATTATAAAACTAGGTTACTGTTAGATGAAATCTTTAGAATAAGGAACAGGTGCTAGCACAGTCCACTTTGAGATTCTGAAATTTCTAAAACTGTATGCCATCAATTTTCTCATATAGCACCGATCCTCAATATTGTGCTAGCAACATATAGGCCAGTGTTCAACTGGTTTTGAAAACTGTTACTCTGAGCAGTAACATTTCAGTCTCCACTAAAATACTGCCCCAAAATGAAACATTTTTGGTATCAGTTGCTACATACTGCTACATGGACCAGCAAATGCAATCTGAAATACGACAAGGATAGTCACAGGATTAAGTTTTTCACAGAAAAATATAAATGTTTTCCCTGAATCTCATGACAAAGAACAGCTACCATTCATCATGAATTCTAATATTACCACAAAAGTGGAATAGATTTCCCTCCATTATGTTCTGTAATCTCCCAGTTGGAACACACTGTCTAAATCTCTATCATCATATCTTGCAGTCTTTCTACCCTGATTTCTAGTTCTGATTTTAGAACGTTGAGGAGCTCTTTCATATTTTGTATAGTCCAAATCCTCCCAGTCATTATTATCCATATTAATCCTACGTCGTTTCCTCTGTCTAGACAATATCATAGATTTAGATGCATTAGCTTTAAAATTGTTACCTTTTCTAATGACTTTTGTTTTTCCTTTCCTTTTCCTTTTTTTTGTGTTTGTGGCATTGCTATAGTTACTGCTATTGGAATCAGTATCAAATTCTAAATTAGATGAGCAATTGAAACTGGCATCAGGTCCAGATTTTGAGCTCCCTGCAATTCCAGAAGGTCCCATTCTCTCTGACATAGATCGTCTTCCATTCTCCCTCACTTCTGTTTCAGACTCTGCTGTGTTCTTCAAATCACTCAAGGCTTTTGCTTTTTTGAAAAGAGTTGCAGACTTTTGACTGGTCATCTTCTTAATTCTTCTACCATTCCACCTGCATGACAAAGAATCTGCCTCATCCTCAGAGTTGCTCACAGCATGTTGTGTGTGTGCAGAAGTTGACTGGTCGGATACCTTTTGACTGCTCCCATCCCCTGACTTACGGCTTTTGGAGTCCTGCTCTGAGAAGTCTACTGTGGGATTTTTAATTTTAGGAGATGCAGCACAGACTGTCCTGTGTGGTTGTTTATGGCCATTGCTTTGCCTATTCTTTTGTGCCATTTGTGCACCTATTTCAGAATCTGAACTTTTATCTTCAGATTCACTAATATATTTTCTTCTAGCACATGAACTAGCCTGTGAAAGCGTTTTCTGTTTAATATACTGTTCTTTTAGTTCTTTTTCACTTTCAGACTTTAAACCTGTGTCATCTTCAAAGCCATCCAATAACAACTTCCTGGCTGCAGCAGAGGCACTGCGGTGGGGCAGTTTTCTGTTCTTGCTTCCAATGCCAACACTTTCTGAGCTGGAGATCTCTTCCTCCACATCACTCATTAGTCTTAATTTACTGGCAGCCACAGTTGCACTTCTACGTGGAATTCTTCTACGACCATCATCTTTGTCATTCACTATTTTGTAAGCCCCCTTTGAATATTCTGAGTCACTCCCATAGAACCTTTTCCTGGTAGCTCTTCTGCTATGACCATTCTCTTGAGAGAAAGATCCTATAATATAAAAAATAAAAATGATTTAAATATTTGTTAAATTAAATATGACAAATTTATGACAAATATTTTAAAACAGAACAAGAAAAATTTATATTTTAGTACTAACAATGTACAAATCCAAATAGCACTGGAGAACAGCTCACACTGTGTGTTTAATAAGGTGATAAAAACACCTGTATTTTTATTTTATAATAGCAAGGGTAATTCAAACATATTACATGTTATATTCGGTGGAGAGCAATTAAGGTTTTGGCCAACTATATCATCATTCCACCTATGATTTTTACGTTCTCTGAATTACATGTCCTGAAAAGTCCATCTCCTCACCCCCATTTTAAGAATGCACCTGCAAGAAAAAATATTATTTGTTTTGTTGCAGTTTGGTTGACCTGTTCCTGGTAAAAGACCAGATATGGGACAAGGGCCATTCAAAGATGGCTTTCAAACACCTTTGCATTCCCCTAATCCTTGGGCCATCAAGGTGAGTCCCCAGTGCATGAGCACAACTCCATGTTGCTCTTCTTATTCCTGGCTCTCCATGGCTCCAAATGCCTATCCAATAGCCAGGAATCACTGGAGCCCACCCTGGATATGTGCCTTTCCCTCGGACATGTTCTGTGCTGTGGCAGCGTAGGTGGTGCTACAACAGTTTTAGGCGACCTGGAGATGTGCTGAGACCAGGGTAATCCTTTTACTAACTTTGGTCAGCTGGTTTTGTACTTGCTTTGACCCAGAGTGATGCAAAACCATCCGAATGAATCAGAGCCCTAAAAAATTACCATATAATCTGTGGCAACAGAAAGCTGTGGGCGACCACCATATTAAGTCTGTTAAATAAAAGCCCCAAAATTAAAACAAAGGAATTAAGAAATGAATCTAAAAAGTAGAAAAAAAAATTCATACTACTAGTATTCTAGAACTCCAAAAACTTGTTTTATTTAATCCAAAAAATTCACAAAATGCGTAATTCAGATTTGATGAGGAAGATGTAATGATAAAAGGACATTATATCTGGTCAACCTTCAGCCCAAACTTTGTTTTGCAAATATATGCTTTTATCAAACCTATAAGCAAAGGAAATTTCCGTGTTTTAAAAAACCCCAAACGATTAAGTCATTTTTGTAGCAATAATTATTTTACATTTATGAAAGATACTGTATGATTAGTTAGGAAGTGCTAGCTGACATCAGGGTCTGACTGCATTTTATAGAAAATGTAAGTTAAAGCAACGTTAAGGCTGCCTATGAAGCACTCAGTCAGGACACGCCAAACTAAAGGATAACTTTTTTCACAGGGCCCCATCTTCATTTAGTGAGCAGGTAGAGTCTGCAGTGGACCAGGCAGGGATTCAACATTTATTTATAACTTGCTTCTTAGAAGCAAAAAGGAATAGTGTACACAATATAAAATGCTAGCTGTCAACAAAAAAAGATTTTCTCTATGCAAATACATTTAATTTAAAAATACAAATATTTAATAAGTTTTTCTCACAGTTAAATGAGTACACATCTCGGGCTCACTTGCTGCGGTACACAAATCCAACCTGCATATTGAGGGCCAAATATTATTTTATTCAAATTCATTTTTTCATATATTCATGTAAATTCAGAGTTAATTGATTTCAGCTGATTTACTCCTAATTTACACCATTGTAAATGCAAACAATTTGGGCTAGAATACAGGAACCTGCAGGAAATCTATGGAAAAAATAGTAAGTGATCATCAGGGATCCTAGCTTTCCCGTGATAAAAACAAAACTGTCCGATAAAAAACCCCCAAAATCTGTTTTTTTCAATGAGTAAAATGAAAGGCTGAACTTTTTCCCTAGCCACAATATAGAGCGGAACCCCATTTTATCGGATCTAATTGGGGCCAGTGCCAGATCAGATCATCTAAAATTTGGATAATCCAGAGAATGGGCAAAGAGCTTCAGCTGTGAGTCCCACTGCCTGGGGCTGACAACCGACAGCACCAATTTGGTTAATATGGAGAGCCGGATAATGGAGGCTCACATAAATGGGGTTCTACTGTATATATGTTATTTTTTCACAAAATGTAAAAACTAAAGATTCTCTGTAAAAATGCAAATTTCGAGTTTTTCCTGTGGCAAAAGGATTTCTAGAATCCCTGTTGATCGTAAAATTTAAATTACTTTTCTGAGGCAAATATACAAAGTATTCAGATGCAACCTTAAAACATGACATTTCTTGACTTGAGCGCTTCACTTTGCAATCTTATGTTTTCCATAGGAAATATGCTAGAAAAAGGAAATAATTCAAATATGACTCTCATTATATGCCTAGATACAAAACTAGGCCAGACTGCACAAAAATGCCTAACGTGAGAGCTGGTCTACAGAGTTTTTGCACCAATTTACATAAATCAGTTTAAAAACAAACTTACTCAAACTGGTGCAACTCCTCAGTGTGAACACTTTCATACTGATGTAAATGTGTTTTGCTTACAACTATAAATTTAGTTAAATTGAGGCAGAAATTGTGTGTAGACAAGCCATGATATGGGGTTTGCAAGAACTTTTGAACATCTCACTGAATGAAGCAGGGCTTCTCTGGAAATCATAGAAACCTTATTAAATACCCATGACAACATAGAGGGCACCATATTACTTATTTCTATTCAAAATTTTATGCGACTGCATTAACAGCCCTTTTACTTTATATTTCCAGGAGTTATTTTTAAAAAGTATTGTTATTAAAAATGTACAATGCCTGCACGTTTTAAAAAAAAATAGTGATAATCTGAGCTAATCGGAACACTTACTTTAAAGTGCACCTCCAATATAAGGCCTATGAGTAACATTGTGAAAAGCATCTAACTGAGAAAGTTTTTAAGTCAGTGAGGTGCTTTTGAAAATATTACCCTATATCAGTGTTTCTCAATGACCAGTCCGCGGACTGGTGCTGATCCTTGAGATTTCCCTGGCAGAGTTTAGGAAGGCAGCAAGCTGGTCCCTGGTATCAAAAAGGGTGAGAAACACTGCCCTATAGCCATGCAAAATTTCTACTTTCTTCCCAGAACTGGAGCGGTTTTTTAAAAAAATATATATATAAATATATATATATAAAATATTTTAAAAATTACACGGTCCTGTTTTTAAAGAATAGGGGAAGCATTTTCCCACCTCCAGACTACTCATTCTCAAAAACTGCAGAAATGCCTTTGCTCACATTTATAAAAACATGACCACCCTCAGGTGGAAACCAGCCTGAAAGGTGAAAAATTCACCAGGCTGTAATAAACGAAAATGGGCTTTCAGAAAGAAAACACTCAGGTAACCTTAATAGTGGCTGTGTGCTATATACTCCAGCTATAGTTATCATGAGGACATTCAAGAACAGAATCTAGAACATACATATTTATTGATTCTTGAATGCACAGCTTATCAAAGGCAATATCTGAGTCACCCATAACACTCCATATTCTACTAATGAACTGTCCCCAGTGAAACCATTTGTAAACTTACTGGATGAAATGAAACAATTCATACTTAAATATGTTTCTCAACTGAAGAATATTTTGTCATCTGTGCTAAATATTACAATGTGGACAGAAAGTACAAGTTAAAAATGATATAATAGTATATTTGCATTAATAGTTTCATATTAATATACTTCCAGAACAGTAAGACACTCAGCATTCATCAAGAGATCTAGTGCCATGAGGAAGGGAAATAATTTTCCTCCGAAAAATTACACTGATCACTACCCAATTTTAACAGCATACACCTTTATACGTCTATCATTGTTGCACTTTACAATATTCCTACACAAGCTTCCTTCAGAATGGCAAGGAACCCATTTTGAGTAGTCCAAATCTTCCTAATAACCACCAATCCTACATTTTAATTTAGTCAGTATCAGATTTAGATACATTAAGTTTTTAAACATACCTTTTTTAGTGACTTCCCTTTTCCTCCTTTTTGTGTTTATGGCATCGCTACAGTTACTATTATTGGTATCAGTTTCAGATGCTAAATTAGAAGAGCAATTGAAACTAGCATCCGGTCCAGATTTTGAGCTCCCTGCAGTCCCAGAAGTTTCCATGCTCTCTGACACAGAACTTCTTCCATTCTCCTTCACTTCTGTTTCAGACTCTGCTGTGTCCTCCAAGTCACTCAAGACTTTTGCTTTTTTGAATGGAGTTACAGGTTTTTGACTCGTCACCTTCTTGATTTTTCTACCATTCCACCTGCGTGACTCAGAATCTTCCTCATCCTCAGATGAGTTGCTCACTGCATGCTGTTTGTGTGTAGAAGTTGACTGTTTGGACACTTCCTGACTGATCCCATCCTCTGACTTATGGCTTTTGGAGTCATCCTCTGAAAATTCTACTGTGGGATTTTTAATTTTAGGAGATGCAGCACAGACTCTCCTGTGTGGTGGTTTTTTGCTATTGCTTTGCCTATTTTTTTGTGCCTTTCTTGTATCAGTTTCAGAATCTGAACTTCCATCTTCAGATTCACTAATATATTTTCTTCTAGCAGCAGATGAACCAGGCTGAGAAAGTTTTTTCTTCCTTGCATACGGTTCTTTTAATTCTTTTTCACTTTCAGACTTTAAACCTGTCTCATCATCAGAGCCTTCCAACAACAGTTTCCTGGCTGCAGCAGAAGCATTGCGGTGGGGCAGTTTTCTGTTCTTGCTTCCAATGCCAATACTTTCTGAACTGGAGATCTCTTCCTCCACATCACTCATCAGCTTTAATTTATTAGCAGCCACAGTAGCACTTCTGCGTGGAATTTTTCTATGTCTACCAGTTTTGTTACTCAATGATTCACAAGCCACTGCTGAAGTATTTTCAGAGTCACTTCTATATAGCCTTTTCCTGGCAGTTTTTCTGATATTTCTATTCCCCTGAGAAACCGATCCTGTAAAATAAAGGATCGCTGTCAATTTTAAATATAAGGACACCCATTTATGTTAAATTTAATTTCCTGTAAAGTCAAACAAGTTCAACTCAGGCACAAACTGAACTGAAGTACAAATGTAGTAGTAGCTGCAACTTACATGGAATATTTTATTTAACTAGAAAATAAAGGTAACAATTCTCATTCTTCACAAATCTAAAAGATGAGCATTCACCGTGAATTGAAGCTTGCTTTATTTGTATTTAAACCATCATTATACCATCAGTATCAGTTGTATTCAATTTCTTTTTTATAATTAAAAACTAAGGGAGTTGCAAAACCTTCATCCTCACTGTTTGACTATCTCTTTGCCTTACTAGTAACTTCCTTCAGTGCTAATGTTAATTATTTCACCAGAGCAGACAGTAAGATGAGAAAAGTCTAACTCTTACAGCAACAGTATTGGTACAAGTGCCATGCCACTAAGCTAGCCTCAGTCACGTACTCAAAATGTTAACATACAGTTTTAACTTTTCTAAGGGTTATTAACATGAACTTAATTGCACCACATAGTAACTACTGAATGTGCATTTTCTTATGTTATTGGCCATTCACAGAAAACACTAATTGAATCTTACCCATTTGCTTTCTTTGAGCTGCTCTATTTCTGGTTACCCTAAAGCTGCTGTTCTTTGCTCTGGATATGCCATTGTGTAATACTGGGGATGCAAGAGCCATAGAGCTTTCTTTACTTTCCTCTGAGCTACTTGAAGAAGAGGAGGAAGATCCTGATGAGGAGGCAGAGAAAGAAGCCGAAGAGCCTTCTATTTCACTTTCTGGTAAAAAAAATATTAGAATTCTAAGTAGGAACACAGCAAATTAGTTACCTTGAAAATTAATTAGTAGCTGTAATTTGCTGGTTTACACGTTACAGAATGTTTCTTACACATATCACTTCCATATAATTAGTTTCACAGTGTATTGTTTATAGACGACAATGACAGTAGGGCATACATTATAGGTGGCACTGGTAGTGTCACCTATAGTGAGTGATAGCTGGCTGACATTTTCCATTGTAAGACAGTTTTCAGTTGCTCATGACTTTGCCAAACTAAGTATGTGGGCTGAATTTTTTCATGCTACATTGTCTGGTGGCATTTTTTCTTTTTTTAAGGTTCAGCTAAAAATGTTCAGCCATTTTCAAGGAAGGCTTTGCAATGTTAATAAAATTGTGGTGGCTTCTTCTTTAAGAGTTTGGCACCTTCATGCTTTGGAATAAAAATGTGATATATGACGGGGTGGCCTTCATGTGTTGCATAGGCAACATTAATTCCAGCACTTCCTTTCATCTGAGTGCGTAACTTTGAAATCTTAATAGCCTTTTGGCATAGCGTTTTGTGTGCAATACACACACACACAGTTAAATATAAATCATATTTATGTGTTAAATGTACTGACATGGCAAGTTCAAAGTGTTCATCACAAGCACTGTTTGCTAAGACTGTTGTCTGAGACTTCAAGGTTCCATTTTCACATTTAGCAGAAGATTTTTAAAGCAGCAAATAAGTATAGCTGACAGGACCATTTTTCTCCCTTGCACCCCTCAACAAGCCATTTAGCTCCGTGATGACTCCCCATGTGAAACTGAGTACAGGCACACAAAGACTATTACCAACAGGATTGAAAGATGGTGTACAAGTCTGCTTCTTTGATTATAAATGTATTTTTACTTATAAGTTTCCCCTACTGCAGGCTTTTCACTAGTAAAAGCTGAAACTAAAGAAACTTATTGGGTTCTATACAACTTTAAAACAGAAGACTTCTATACTTAACATGCAAACGGCATGAAAACACAAGATGTTATTACAAAACATTCACAGTCCTCAGAGACAAGGTTTTCCTACAGAAGGCATTTTAAAAGCTTTGTATTTTTAAGAGTTATTTAGCTAGAATTTATGGGAATTATGGTAACTTTGCATACAAAGGCAAAAAAATATTAGCAAACATTTTATAGCTAAAGTTTAATATATAAGCAAACAACTTTTAAAACAGATTTTGTTTCTCACCTGATGACAACGCAGAATGATTTGTTACGGGTGTAGTTCTAGCTTTTCCATTTCTTTCACGTGAGGACATGCAAGCAGAATCAGAAGATTCACCAGAACTGTGGGGATAGGTGCTAGCATTTATTTTATGGCTTGTAACACATGCTGCTCTGCTAGAGGTAGGTTGGGTAGAAGAATCTTCCTGCTCAGATTCAATTTTTGCCTGAGATTTTAAGGGTTTCTGCTTCACATTTCTAGCCATACAAAGGAAATAGAAATAACTGTAATATACAAAGTAAGCGAGCAGAATATTTCAATAGGAAATAATGAAATATTTGGAAACTTGGATAAAAGGCAATAATTGCTATTGCTAGAAAACAGACTGTATTCAGTACCATTTCCGACTTGGTGAAAAGCGATTAAATTTGTGAACTAAAATATTACATTTTATTATGTCTGCAGTTGTAACTCTCGTTACAGTGTGTATGGTAACAATCATTGTTTCATGTTCTCTATGTATAGAAATCTCCCCACTGTATTTTCCACTGAATGCATCCGATGAAGTGAGCTGTACCTCACAAAAGCTTATGCTCAGATAAATTTGTTAGTCTCTAAGGTGCCACAAGTACTCCTTTTCTTTTTGCCAATACAAACTAACATGGCTGCTACTCTGAAACCATTCACAACTCAGTAGCTGATGCTAAGTGCTCATGGTAAAAGTGCAATTTACACCTACAGTGAAAATATCTAATTAAATCAGGAAATGGATTAGATATCAACTATGCATATATACATAAATCTGAGGCTGATCATGTTTTTCCCCCTATTTTCCAAGTTGCAGCAGCTGCCTTTGGATTTCTGATGTACCCTAGAATCCTCACTTATCAGTTGCAATAGGCATTTAAAAGGGGCCATGTGTACCAATTATATCCTATGATAAACAGAGTCCCAAAGACACCAGCTAACAGGTACAACCTGGGAGAAAGATCCTGCTCTCTGAAATAAAATGTGAGTACCCAGAAATATGAATACATGAAGTCTATAGTTTTCCACCGTAACTCAGATCTAACCTGTGTGAGTGCTGCACACAAGCCTGGGGTTCAATTTGATTACTGGAGAACAATGCTCTTCTGGTAGAGGAATGGAAGAGAGAAAGGGCACTTGTTCGACACCAGAAATATTTCTTCTAATAAATGAAATTAAAGCATTAAAAAAGCCTAAAGGGAAAATTTGTTACCTGATAAAGCCCTGAATTAACATATATACTAGTCCTTTAAATCTTGAGTTCTTCATTGTTTAGAATAAGGCATCCTTGTACACTTAGGCCACATACGCACTAAGGGCTCTTTGCTGGTATGGCTATACCAGTATAGTATACTGGCAAAGAGCTCCTACCCTGGATGCAGCTTATACCACCAAAACTGTGCTTTTACTAGAATATTATTCCACCACACCTAAGCAAAAAACAAAGTACATGGGTAAAAGTGCAACTTTCCCAGTATAGTTGCGTGTACTACTAGGGGCTTCTGATAGCACAACTATGTTGGTCAAGAACCACACCTCTTCAACTCTCTGGCCAACACAACTGGGCTGGCAGAAATCTTTAGTGTGGACTTGGCCTTAGCCAGAGAGAATTCTGCACCTGTTCTACTTGTCTTAAGAGACTTACACATAAAACTACATCTCTTGGTTTATGGGACGTTTGTACACTTCTTCCGTAGCTACCTCCTAGCAGACTTTTAGCTGGGAGCATACCAAGTGTTCCCCTCTGTGACCTCCTCCCCCTGTCCTCTTTCATGGGCAAAGACATGGGGCAAGAATTAGATTGAGAATCCACCACATATAGGAAAGTCATCCAGAGATTTCTGGGGAGCCTTGAAGGAGGCCATTTTGTTTGCTCACATTAGAAAATACCTACCACTTTAGGATACTAAGTGGTAACTTGGTTCCTTTGGGTTATAGACTCACTAAAAAGATTTTTCTAATTAAGCAGCCACAAATTCATACAGCCAGAGATTCTTTTTGAGGGACAAGAAGTGCATGCTCTGGTCAAGATGTGTCTTGTAATTTGCAGAGACTTATCTGAAGCACTCCTTGAATTCTGCTGAAGAGGAAATGAGGTCTCAATAATCCTCTGAAACCCTAATCCTCGGCTCAGTGAAGGTCTGTGTGCTGGGAACATGTCACACACAATTCCTTTTCAGATATGAATGAGACTGATGTTTCAGATAGAGCATTGCCTGCTCTTTATGTGTTTCTTTATTTCAGCCATACTTGCCTGCTGTTTGGTAGAGGGAAGGGAGCAGATTGAGAATGTGAGGAATACTCCTGTAACAGATCCTAATAAGCTCAGCGCACCTGCCACTGCCCCCATATGCTCTACAGTTAAGCGTTGAAAACCTAAGTTGGCTCACTACTTGCCAGAAACAGTAGGGAAATAAGGAGCTGTATTTGGCCAAAGTAGGTGGACCTTTCTTCTGCTGCCAGCAGCAGAATGGCTGGGTGGCAACAGAAAGGGATATATCCAAGTACACGTTGCTAGGCAATGAGAGCCATTGCCTCTGGATAGCAAGCACAGAAGGGAAAACCACATTTAAAAGGACTGGTGGAGAAGCAGCTGAAAATGATTTGTAGGTGATAAATCTAGACTAATTACATTTGCATCAATCACTACCACCACGAGGTTTGACCCTCAGAGACTTCTTGCCACACCACCATGCACACACACAAAGTGTGGAATAAAACATGGAATTATCCATGTTGCATTAGGGATATTGAGGCTTATTTTCTTGGAAATTTTGGGTAAACTTCACCATGAGCTACCAACACCACATTATAATACATGTGGAATATAACTTCCTACTATATATGCTTGGTTATAACAACTTATCCTTATTATGGCTAGCAACTTTTACTAACTTGTAACTGGTTATCATTTAAGCCTTCCAGCTTTCATATAATTTCAGTCAGTTAAAATTTGGTTGTCTGGCTAAAGCGGAGATTAAAAATGGTTCTACTTCATAAGCTCATAACTGTTTTGTAATAAATTTATTTTGCACTACACAAAGGACTTTCTTTGCAAGTCTTCACTGCTGCAAAAAAAACTGTACTAAATATTTCACTATAATTAACCATTTAACTAATAAGTTAATCCTAGGAGATCATGCTGCCATCTTACAAAACTGAATGCAACAAGCATAATTTTTACAATAGTGAAAATGCCCCAAATGCATTCATCTTTTTAATCTATTTACCTGAGTGTTTTGTTAGGGTGCTGTACCATGCTATGACTTTGCAACCTCCTGTTACATCTCTGGCTTCTTCGTAGTCTTTCATTGTGTTTTTGGCCAGTTTTAAAGTCTGAAACGATTCTTCTCATTTTTTCCTCAAATAGCGCTGATAATCTCAAGGTCATACTATAAATCTAAATAAAGAGATGTTAACTTTAAATTACAAAGTATCTTACGAGTAAATTGAGTGTTTTACAAAAACAAGAATTTACTGAAGAGACCATCTGGAGAAAATGACAAAATGACTCAGCATAAATTAGAGCTACAAGAGACATACGACTGACACCTACTTTTTCTGAATACTTTTGTTGCACTCTATTCTTTGTCCAAACCCACCAGACTGGTAGCTTGCTCTGTTGCATTACTAAATAGGTATTAATAAAGGACCCAACACTAAATGAAGCCTAGCCCAACCTGACGACTACTATGAAAGCATAGCGTACAAAAAGTTACCTTTGATCTTTTACTTGGAGTGTAAGATTTTGCATTGCTAAATATTAGTCTTATATCTTTGCATAATTCCATCGGGTTGTCATAATTTCCAGCTTCCAGTGTCTCCTTCACTGTACCAAAGTCCATTGGAGTGTCTATAATATGTCTGTAGTCCTAGATAAAAGATACGGAGCAAAAAAATTTCAGTAGCTCAAAAGGGCATATAGAAAATAAAGCAGAAGAATTTTGGTGTGTTATTTTATTATTTCTATTAGCACAATAAGGACAGCTGAATAGTCTCAAGTCTTGAGCTATGACCTCAGCAATTTAAACACCCCAACCCCAGCAAAAAAGACTCAAGCTTTTAGGTTCAGATGGCTTAGGTTCAGCCTCTGTTGCTGCTGTCCCACCTGGGAGTACATACTACAGCAGCTTTCATTTTTAAAAGTTTCCATCTTTTATGGTAGCAGAGAAAACCGTGAAAATATAAACAAAGAGCAGCTAATGCAGTGATGTCTGAGTCCACAGGGCTTTATAGCTTTGAGTGGGTAAACTGTCCCCATTCTTCTCAATGCAAGTTATCATTATTGGACACCTGAGTTAACATTAAATGTCAACATTGACTATTTCACCAATTATCAAAGCAGAGGGAAGATCATTGCATAGATCTTTCATACTATCTACTCCAAGTGACTATGTAAATTGGTAGATTGAGTTTACAGGGCAGGCTTAAGAGATACCACCACTTACTTCTCCCCCCCCCTCAATTAAGAAGGGGCTGCGCAGTGCCCAGCAAGGCATCTGAGCCCCACCATGGAGTCCAACAGAGCCCATGGGTGTATTTGAACCTCAATAAAGGGAGAGCCAAACTCAAGGACTAGAACCCAGACAACATAATCTATTGGAGCATTATCTTATTTTGTCATCTTAACTGGGCAGAGCTCGGAAGAGTAACACTACTTTCTTCCGAACCTTTGAGTATTACTGAACATTTATGTTACTTTAGCATGTAAAGACCCCAACCAGGATTGGGGCCCAATTGTACAGAGTACTGAACACACACAGACAGTCCCTGCTACAGATATCTTATAATCTAAAAAACATTAGAACAAAAACTGTTAGGAAGACATAATATACAAATAAATGAACAAGATGACTAATGGCACACTTTGGTTCTTACATGTTATGTGATGTGTTCTTAATAGGGTCAGAGGAAGTATTAGGAAGAAATGAAGGTTACTTACCTGTAACCTGAGTTCTTTGAGATGACTCCACATTTCCCACTTATGGGTACTCCACCTCCTTTTGGTTGAACCCTCTTCTAGCAGAAACAGATATAGGACTCTCGTATCCCACCACTGAGGTGGAGACTATAAAGGGCACAAAGCACCCGCCCAACTTCAGGTCCTTCCACTGCAAAGCCAGAGACATAATCACAAGGCCTCTGACAGAAAGGAGGAGGAGGGTGGGAAGTGTGCATATGCAGAGACATCTTGAAGAACTCCAGTTACGGGTAAGTAATCTTCATTTCTTCTGAGAGTGGCTCTGCATATTCCTACTTACGGGAAAGATTGACAAGCAGTACTGAGACTAACCTGGAGGTGGGAACAGGGAATAAAAACAGAAGCACCACTTTGCCAACCCCAGAGCACGTTGCTTGGTGAAAGGGAACACTGAAGTTCAGGTTGCAGCTTTGCAAATCTCAGTCTGAGGCATCTGCCTCAGACAAGAAAAGAAAGCAGCAACACAGCTCTAGTGGAATGTGGTTGAATCGAAGCAGCTACCGGAATTTTTGCTAGTGTTTAACGCTCAGCAAGACATTGCTTAATCCACCAGGAAATAGTCTGAGAAGAAACCGTATACCCCATGTTGTTCCTGGCATATGAAACAATTTAGTCATTTTACAAAAGCTCTTAGTTCTGTCCAAAAAATAGGCAAGTGCCCTTATGGCAGCCAATGTATGGAGGACAGATCTTTTTTCACTAGAATGTAGCTTAGAGGAAAAAATGGTAAATTAACAGACTGATTAATGTGAAAGTCAAACACCAAATGATAAAATGAACATTTAGCCAATGGGGTGAAATGAGATTTCACCAACATGGTCAAAACCGGTCTAAGGAAAGGAGAGGGTCCCTAACAGGAGGCACATATCTTAGATACACCTTTATAAACCTTTTAACTGAAGCAAGAACAAACAGCGATCTACCATCAACGAAAGCAGGATACGTAGAGATGGCTGCCAAATGGACCTTTAATGATGTGTTAGACTAGACAACTCTTGATTTTTTAAAGTACGTTAAGTAGTCCAACCAGTATTGAGAATCAGACCTCCTCTGCATCCATGCCTGAAAACTAGACCATTTTAGGAAATAACAGTTTCTAATGGACCATTACCTAGAGTTAACTAGTATGAACAGATGAACACGACTGCTCAAGAGCAGACAAAGTATGACCATACACGCTCAAGCGAAGGGACTTACATGAAAAATCCTGTCCCCCTCCCGGGACATGAGGTCTGGAGACAGAGGGAGGTATATGAAGACTCCACTGGACAGTTGAAGGAGATCAGTAAACCACTGCTAATGTGGCCAAGATTGGGCAATGAGTATTATCTTGCCTTATCCTAACAACTCTCTATCACCTTCTGTATCAAGGGAAAAAGAAACACATCAGACCCCTCTCCTCAGCGCAGCAGGAAAGCATCTGACACAGACAGTTCCTACCCACTCTAGAACAGGAAGAATGACATGTTCTTTGGAACCTAGTTGCAAATAGGTCCACATTTGGGTTGACTCCATCTGGAAAATATGGTCAACCACCTAATCTTTAGGGACTTCATGTGCATCTGAGAGCAGTCTCTGTTGAGACTATCCACAACTACATTGCTTTCCCCAGCCAAATGTAGTGCCACAAGATACATTTCATAGTAGATACATGAATCCCACAGATTTATCACCTCTGCAAACAAGGAGGTGGAATGATCATCCACTGCTTGTTAATATAATACTTTTCAGACATGTCTGTTACTAGCTGCACAACCTTTCCTGGCAGCTGATGGAGGAATGCTCTTAGAGCGAGATGAACTGTTCTTAGTTCCAGTATGTTGATGTGCAACGTTCTTTCCTGAGAAGACCAATGTCCTTGAACTGTTTAAATGATTCAAGCATACCCCCCCAACCACTGGGTGAGGCATCTGAAATCACTGTCCAAGATGAACCTGAAGAACTGAACTGCACACTTCAGAGCATGTTTGTCCTGCTTGCCCCCCAGTCCAGAGAGACTATGATGTTCTGAAGTATAGTGATCAACAGCTAAAGGCTAGCTCAACTTCGACTGTAAGCCTGGGACCTGCCTCACAGGTTTCATTTTTAAACTGGCAAACAGTCACATAGGTAGCGGCTGCCATAAAACCCCTGAGACTCAGGAAGAACCTCACCCTCTATGTGGGGCAACTTCAAATTCTTGACACTTACTTCATTTTGAGAAACCTGTCATCAGATAGAAAAACTCTCATTACCACTAAGTCCAATATGGCACCTATGAAAAGGATCCTTTGTGTAGAACAGAGGATTGACTTTCGGATGCTAAGAAGAAAAGACTGGTCATAGTAACTATGTGACAAGTCCTCACCACAGCAGCTTTTGATAGCCAATCGTTCATATAAGGGCAAACAAATATACCCTACTTCCTCAGATACAACGCTACCACAGAGAGACACTTCGTAAATACCCTGGGTATTGCAGAAAGGCCAAATGGAAGCACCTTGTACTGGAAATGGCTCCCAGCTACCACAAATCAAAGGTACTTTTGATGTTTCTGAAACTGAAATATGAAAATTAGTGTCCTTTAGATTGAGAGTTGGGAACCAATCCAGGACTGACAGCAAGAGATTACTGAAGACAGGGTCAGCATATGGAAATGAAACTTCTAGATGTATTTATTCAATTCCATTAAATTTAATATCGATCAGAACCCCCCCATTCTTCTTTAGTACCCCAAAATATCAGAAGTAAAAATCATGACCCTTCAGGTAAGCAGAAATCTCCTTGACTGCTCCTAACAAAGCAACTTCTCCACTTCTGTGCGAACTGCCTCATGAGAGGGGTCCCTGAGGAGGGATAGACAGGGGAGTTTGAGGAAGGCAGCATTTCTTAATTGAATGCCATAGCCTTTTCCCATGATCTCTAAAATCCACTGTTTGATGTTGCCTGCCTCCATTTGTGGATGAAATGGGGTAGAGCCTGTCTCCAAAGGAGGGGGTAGAAAAAAGGTAGCTGGCTGGTCCTAGACTCTCAGGCATCACGTCAAAACTGAGACTTGGTGTTCCGGAATGAGGGGGCTGATGAGGAAGTGGGCTATTTGGGTTTGCAACCTTGTTTGAAAGGTCTCTTTCTGCAACCGTTCTGTGAGGCTGCAGGTTGTTGGTAATTCGAGTCTCTGACTGGATGAAAAGTAGGGTGCTGAAGGCTGGGAGCATTGCTGCCTCTGCTACTGAAAGGAGGGCCAGGCCTCCTTTCAATGGGTGGGATTAACCCCAGAGACTGAGCGGTCAAACTTGCATCCTTCAGTTTTTCTGGTAAGTTGCCAGTCTTTATACGGAAAAGACCTTCCCCTTCAAAAGGGAGATCGTCCAAGCTTACTTCTGGTGTCCATAATTATACAAGAGGATCAAAGCCATGTATGTATCCTGATAGCCACAGCAGACCCAATCCTCTGGCAGCAGTCTGAGGCACTGAAGGAAGCTCTGAGGAAATACCTAGCTACATTCTGACCCTCCAATAAGATAGCATTAGACAACCTTCTCCTGTCTTTAGGTACATCCTGGAGAAGACAACATTCTCCCAGAGAAGGAACCGGTCACAAGCCATAACTGCCTGATAAGTCACCAATTCACCATCCTAATACCGAGGGATGAGGAGAACACCTTTCTCCTCCATGAGTCAATCTTCTTTCCCCTCTGTCACTCAGGGTGAAGTGTAGTTGTCCCATCCTTGCCCTGTTGCTGGCAGCAACTATTACCAGCAAGTTGTTCACAGGGTGGGTATGAAAATACGAGAACCTGTCCAAGGGTAGCTGGTATAGTTTGTCCGCCTTCTTTAAGATAGGTAGACAAGAGGTGGGATTGGACCAAACAAATTTGGCCGACTACAAAAACCCAGTCAGGATGGGGAGTGACATCAACAGATCCAGGGGAATCAGACCACAGGATCTCTGGGCTTTCAGATTCCTTGCAGATGAAACGTTGCCTCCACATCTACAAGAAGAGTAACTAAAGAGGTCTTGGCATGGTCATCAGTAAGTCCCTAGGCACTGTTACCCAGGGTTTTCAAAACCCAAAGCAGTAGTAACTTAAACTGTTTCACTCCAGGGACTGTCAGGAATAAATCAATGAGAACACAGCAATTCTATCTGATGGAAGATTAATACAAGTAAGCGTGCTCCTATCTAAAACTTCAATTTATTAGACATAAGCACACAGACATAAGCAATAGGTTTAGAACAATCCAAATAATTACCTAGAATCTGAGATGGTATAATGTGCAGCAGGTCAGCAATGGCCCGTTGCTTCCCCACCGGGGAGTCTGGTGTCAGAAATCAGAGTAACAGCCGTGTTAGTCTGTATTCGCAAAAAGAAAAGGAGTACTTGTGGCACCTTACAGACTAACCAATTTATTTGAGCATAAGCTTTCGTGAGCTACAGCTCACTTCATCGGATGCATACTGTGGAAAGTGTAGAAGATCTTTTTATACACACAAAGCATGAAAAAATACCTCCCCCCACCCCACTCTCCTGCTGGTAATAGCTTATCTAAAGTGATCACTCTCCTTACAATGTGTATGATAATCAAGGTGGGCCATTTCCAGCACAAATCCAGGGTTTAACAAGAACGTCGGGGGGGGGGGTTAGGAATGTATCACATATATCACCAATGTGATATATGCCATCATGTGCCAGCAATGCCCCTCTGCCATGTACATTGGTCAAACTGGACAGTCTCTACGTAAAAGAATAAATGGACACAAAATCAGAGATCAAGAATGATAACATTCATAAACCAGTCGGAGAACACTTCAATCTCTCTGGTCACACGATTACAGACATGAAAGTTGCGATATTACAACAAAAAAACTTCAAATCCAGACTCCAGCGAGAAACTGGTGAATTGGAATTCATTTGCAAATTGGATACAATTAACTTAGGCTTGAATAGAGACTGGGAGTGGCTAAGTCATTATGCAAGGTAACCTATTTCCCCTTGTTTTTTCCTACCCCCCCCCCCCCCCCCCCCCAAGACGTTCTTGTTAAACTCTGGATTTGTGCTGGAAATGGCCCACCTTGATTATCATACACATTGGAAGGAGAGTGATCACTTTAGAAAAGCTATTACCAGCAGGAGAGTGGGGTGGGGGGGGGTATTTTTTCATGCTTTGTGTGTATAAAAAGATCTTCTACACTTTCCACAGTATGCATCCGATGAAGTGAGCTGTAGCTCACGAAAGCTTATGCTCAAATAAATTGGTTAGTCTCTAAGGTGCCACAAGTACTCCTTTTCTTTTTGGTGTCAGAAAATGTCTCAGAATAGCTTCAGATAATTCCTTCCAAGTACACTCTATTATCTAGTTTTTTTTGTTTTTTTTTAAACTAAACTAACTTTTACAAAAGACACAGGTCATAGTGACCTCTACTGAGTCATCACCTCTCCTTACTTCTATAAACTACTTAACAAATATTCCTAACAATATTAGTCGTAATAAGGTTCTACATCTAAGGTGCACAAATTGAAGATTCTCATCCACTTATTTTCTTTCAGTCTCAATTTGTTGACTCTTTCTTCCCCTCCTCCCATTCTGATTAGCAGAAACTGCAAGACTGGTTGTTTGACCTTGCCTCCAGAAGCCCTGCTTGTTCAAATTAACCCTTAACTATGTGGTGCTCTATTTTATTAATTAATGGTGGGTGAATGCACACAATAGGATAGTAACAGATCTGGAGGGAGGAATGGGAATCTAGTCCTTTGTGGTAGACTTTGATGGGAGACCTCAGAGGAGGGATCAGAAGATGATCCAAGAAAGGACCAGCAACGGGATCTGTTTTCTTCCCAACTGGAGACAAAGATCTTAACCCTGGAACTGAGGATACACACCACCTTTTATGAGTTGTGCCCTTCACACCTGGATCCAGGACATGTATTGAACCTGAAGGCAGACTTGGGTTGTTATAGTGACAGAACTCTCCAGAACTGAAACAGGAATTGGGTCAGAGAACAACAGTGGATCTGAAAAAGAAAAGGAGGACTTGTGGCACCTTAGAGACTAACCAATTTATTTGAGCGTGAGCTTTCGTGAGCTACAGCTCATGGGTTTGTCTCTTTTGTTACTGAAGCTAGAGGTGGAACAGGACGCTGCTTTGGAACTGTGGCAGCCTTACCAGAATCAGACAAGATGCATAGTTCTGATGCACAGGAACTCGCACTGCTAGAGTTGGCCATCTTGCTTCTATGCTGTTCTTCCTTGGCATCTCAAAATCCGAAACTGAAGGCAATGATGACCCTCATTCAGAGACACCACATGCATACATCTGGAAGAGGTAGCTGAACTGACCCTGGTCCTGCTGCCACAGGGATTACATCAAAGTCCGACTGCTGTGAGGCACGAGGTATGGTATGAACGAGACCAGCCGAACTGTTCCTTAACCTTTCTTACAGAACCAGAGTGTGGGATCTGACCAGACAGCCCTCAATTTGGACATTATCACCTTGGGGGTTTGACTGGAGGAGCCATAGGAACTGATCCCAGTAGGGGCTGCGGCTTCTTGGAACCCTGCAGTCAAACGGAACAGACTGAGGCCACCAGGGCCAAGGCTAGCTCTTTAGACCTTTGAACCGAAATCAGAACAGATACAGAGGATCTAGCCTCAAGGGCTTCCTTAAGTAGTAGTAGTTGTAGGTGAGTCTTCCTGTCTCTGCAAGCTCTGGGGAGAGGTGGGGTGAAAGTCTGGCATCCATGAAGCGGTTCAAGAAAGTAATATTTAAAGTTAACAGTCCAAAGAAGTTAATGCACACAAAAGAAGTTCACACTTCTCAATCACGGTTTCACGCTGTCTGCAATCATCACTGCATTGGTCTACATTTGCAAGGTTTTCTTTTGCAACCACAGGGGCTAGGAATTGACGATTTTTCAAATGAAAGCTTAGATTCTATAGAATATGAATGTCATATGGTCCACAAATAAAAAAAACAGGTCAGATTGAATTCATGCCAAGCATTTGACAGCCCTGCCCATGAATCTCAAGGAAATTGTAAAATTTTTTTTTTAAAACACCCATTACAAGTAACTAACTTCAAGCAACACAAAATGATACTAGTATGAGATAAGCAGTTCCAGTTTCAACAACAAACAAAAAGACCTAGGAATTAAGAATACAGACAATGTAAATCTTTTCACAGATGATAGGACATAGATACCTAGGCACATGGCAAGGCTAATTTGTGTCAACAGTTCTGGACTGAGAATATAGCACATAGCTCCAAGAGCTTGAATCTATGAAGCCAACTTCATGAATGACAGTCTTATTATGGTACAAGTTCTGTACCAAAAGAGAGAAATGATAAGACAAACATTAAATCACTTAAGATTTATGAAGGATAACTTACAGGATATTGGTCCAAATCAACAGGTTGTCTAAAAGGCTCAGAATCTTCGCATTGGAAAATTAAATTCACCAGTTCCATACATTGTTTCTTCCAGGTATTTTCATCATAGTTAATTTTCACATTGCTTCGTCTCTTCATAACCCGTCTCTTAAAAAAAAAAAATAAAAAAAATTACTTCCCGAAAAAACTAAGTTTCAAAAATAATTCCAATTAGAATTTTAAATACGTTGCAGAAATTGCTGGCTAAACTTCGAGAGTAGTATCTTAGTAAAGAAACTAAAAATTAATAGCAAAAAAATGCAAAAAGCATTCTACTTTTTGCATTTTTTGTAATTTCTGCTTTTCAATTTTTGATACGTGTTGAGTAAGAATTTTCTCCTCTTCAACCCAGTTTTCCTGATTGGCTGGCCTAGAGGATTAAGCATACTATTATATTTAAGTGTGATGCATAGATGCTCTCTTTCTTGATCTCTGCAAATTCCTTTGGGAAAACAACTATACCCAGTGATCAAAGGGGTTACACCCACATCTTGGGTTTTTTTCTAGCTGTTTTCTTGCTAGAAACACTGTCCTGTGTCCCTTAGGTATAAAGAAAAGACCCAAGACTTTGTTTCCTGAATAATTCCAACGTTTACACATTAGGTTCATATATTCAGACTTTAAAGTCAGAAGGGACCATCATGATTAAGGATAAGATTTTGTCACAGATATTTTTGGTAAAAATCATGGACAGGTCACGGGCAATAAAGAAAAATTAACAGAAGCTGTGACCTGTCCATGACTTTTATCAAAAATATCTGTGACAAAATGGGGATCAGCGGGTCCCTGCAGCAGGGCAGCTGCGCAGCAGCTGGGAGCAGCCGGGGCTCCCCCACAACCTGCTGGGATCGCTGGGGCTCTAGGGGCCGCCACAGGCAGCAGGGGTACCCCACAGCTCCCTGCCCCTGCAGGGGACTCTGCATCTCTCCACTGGAAGAAGCCACGGAGGTCACTGGAAGTCACGGATTCAGTGACTTCTGCGACTTCCGTGACTAAATCGTAGCCTTAATCATGATCATCTAATCTAACCTTCTGTACACCGCAGGCCACAGAGCCTCACCCAACCACTCCTATAATAGCCCCTTAATGTCTGGCTGAGTTACTGAAGGTCTCAAATCTTGATTTAAAGACTTCAAGTTACTAAAAATCCATTTACTCTAGTTCAAACCAGCAAGTGACCTGTACCCCCTGCTGCAAGGGAAGGTGGAAAAACCCCCACAGTCTCTGCAAATCTGACCCGAGGGAAAATTCCTTCCCGACCCCAAATATGTTCATCGGTTACACCCTGAACATGTGAGAGAGACCCACCAGTCAGACACCTTGGAAAGTAACTGAGAGCCCTCCTCATCTTGTGTCCCATCTCCAGCTGTTGGAGTTATTTGCTAGTAGCAGTTGAAGATGGGCCACATGCCATTTAGGCAACCGCATTATACCATCTCCTCCATGAACTTATCAAGCTCATTCTTCAAACAATTTAGGTTTTTTACACCCAAATACTGCCTTGGAAGGCTATTGCAGAACTTCACTTCTCTGATGGTTAGAACCTTTGCCTAATTTCGAGCCTAAACTTGTTGATGGCCAGTTCATAGCCATTTGTTCTTGTGCCAACACTGGCCCTTATGTTAAATAACTCCTCTTCTTTTCTGGTGTTTATCCCTCTGATGTATTTAGAGAGAGCAATCATTTCGCCTCTTAGCATTCATTTTGTTAGCCTCAACAAGCCAGGCTTCTTCAGTTTCCCGGTTCTCTGTTCCTCTTATCCTGGTAGCCCTTCTCTGCACCTATTCCACTTTGAATTAATCCTTCTTAAACATGGGAACCCAAAATTGCATCAGTATTCCAGATAAGGTCTCATCAGTGCCTTGTACAATGATTCTAACACTTCTCTTTCCCTACTGGAAATATCTTGCCTGATACATCCGAGGATTGCATTAGCCTTTTTTTAGGGCCACATCACATTGGTGGCTCAGTCATCCTATGATCGACCAATACACCCAGGTCTTTCTCCTCTTTCATTACTTCCAACTGATATGTCCAACTTACAGCAAAAATTCTTATTAGTCCCTAAATGCATGAGTTTGCACTCTGCATTATTAAATTTAATCCCATTTCTATTATTCCAGTTTTCAAGGTCATCCAAACCTTCTTTTATGATATTCTGGTCCTTTTCCATATTGGCAATACCTCCCAACTTTGTGTCATCTACAAATATTAGTACACTTCCACTTTTTGTGCCAAGGTCATTAACGAAAATGTTAACTAAGATTGGTCCCAAGACTGATCCTTGAGGAATTTCATTAGTTACCTCCCTCTAGCATGCCAGTTCACTTTTCAGCATGACCAATTACAACATCCCCTTTAACCAGTGCCTTAGCGCATCATCTGATTCTCGTATAAATCCCTATCTTCTCCAATTTAACTAATAACTTCCCCTGTGGAATTATATCAGCCACTTTACTGAAATCCAGATAGATTACATCTATTGCATTCCCGTTGTCTACAAAACTAGTTATCGTCACGAAGAAATCAGGTTGGTCTGGCATGATCTACCCTTTGCAATACCATGTTGTGTTTTAACCCAATTATCTTTACCACTGTGCCTTTACTTACTTTTTCTTTCAAAATTTGTTTTAAGACCTTGCATATAATTAGGGTCTAACTAAAGGGCCTGTAGTTTCCTGGATCACTTTATTCCTTTCTTTAATTAGGTACTATATTTGCAGTTATTCAGTTATTGAAGTCTGTTCTAATATCAGTTGTATCCATTGCACGTTCTGCATTATGACTTCGTTACAGGAATAAGTAAAAAAACTGAAGAAATCTTTAAAAAATTGTATCTGATTATTTGCAGTTATCACCAGGAAAGTTAGGAAAGACATTAATTACAAAAGGTAGCACGCTCCACTAAGTTCTGCTATTTCACTACTGTTTCTGCTGACCAACTTTTCAGACAGCTGGTATTTCAATATTTATGGTAAGGACAGGCCAACTTACTTTTACTCTTCTGTAAGAACTTCTTGGAAGACATTTATCATTCTCCTACAAAACAGACCACACACCACTTCAAAAATAATTCACAACATAAAATAGGTGACAACGATTGAGACGAAAGCTGCCATTATAATTTATACTACAATGAAAACAGTAAACATACTATCTATTGTGACGGACATTATAGAAAACCGTCCAGTGAAGCTAGGAGTTCCAACAGTTCCTGACAAGCCAAGAGGGAAACATCAAAGGGGATACTGTAGCCTTTAAGGAGGCCTCAAATGAGGAGTGACTTATTTAGGACCCTAAACACAAATCAATACTCAACATTCCTGGCTCCAGCATCATATCCTGAACCTCAATGGATGGATGATACTGGAGGCCTTGATGCAAAGGCACACAGAGTTGGGGGTTTCACTGATGCATCAGAAGGATGCTTGCACTCTTGGTACCTCTTATCAGATGCTTTTTATATAAAAAGGATACCTTATGACAAACCAGGGCTCAATACCACCAACTTTAAGCACTAAAGGGCATGAGAGACTATGTGTGGCAGATGAAAAATCTTACAGTTTTTCAAGTTTTGCCTGTCTAGCTCAGAAGCAAAAGACGATCAGGCATGAAAATCCCACCAAAAGTAACTCTGGAGAAACACTGTTTTTCATGGTTTGAGTAGTAAGAGTCACTTATGGACTGAATTTCAGAGTTTCCCTGGTCTTAGTCCTGAATAGAGAACATGTGCCTTTCAGCATTTTTAAAAACTTTTGCTTAGGAATAAAAAATACTTGAAATGTCTTTTTGGTAAAAGTAGTATACTATTTTTTAATTTTATGTATACTACCAATATACCAAAAGGTGGCACTCCAAATGTACACACTGTATGCATTGCTATCAACAGCTCACCACATTATAATAAATGCATTAGACTACTATTCTCAAATATTGAAGTGAATTTGTTAGTTTTATATTGCATAATCAAATGCAGTAATCAATAATCAATTTTATCTTTTTTAAATAAAGAAAAGAATTCAGAGCAAAAGTATGAATGTAATTATATCAAACAGTAATGGCTCTCATCACATCTATAATTTCGTGTTCTGAACCCTTGGCATTACCATTTTTTAAATATATAATGATTTTTTTACCCCAATTAAAAAAAAATACCCAGAGTTACATATAATTCAATAAATGTCTTCAGATGTAGTAATATATGTATATACTACACATGTAATAATAGGTATGGAGCAACTGAGCCACACACATGGGGGGGAGGGGAGGGAAGGAAAAGAATACTACACTTGATAACAGTGATTTATCTGTAAAATGTACACTCCACGTGCAATATTATTTACATATAAATATCCACAACTCAACAATTAGTGAAATATAGTTATGAAATATAGTATATCTACCTATACCAGATCCAAACATCCTCAAACTTTGGGGAAGTTCAAATAATGGACTGGGCCATTATATAAATAAAAATTATGTATAAAATATATGGATATGAAGCAGGTATATGTCTATAACCCAGACGTTTGTAATTGTGGCATATTATAAAAGTATAGGTTTTAAAAAATATTTAAAATTAGTTTTGCTGCTGCTAGTAACTAGACTTACAGTTCTACTTGATCACAGCTAATAAGCTCCTACTTTGAATATTTGTTTAAAATAAAAAAACAAGTTTATTACCAGATCAGCAGCATCAAGAGAGTCCTGCTCATCTTCTGTTGTATTACTAAGCTCAAATATGTTTGTACAAACTGGATCACTGTAAAGTAGAATTAAAAGCTTTACTACATGAATAATGGAAAAAAACGGTTACCACTTTCTAGACTTTAAAACACATATGAACGGTGGAAAATAATTTTTCAAGAGAATTTAAAGTTTGAAAAGGCATGCTTACGGAAGGCACTTTAAGCTCAGTAAACAGGGCATTGGCAACATAATTTAATTAAAAATGCCTTTTACCAATTTCAAATGATTTCTGCAGAATCTGCTAGCGAATTCATATATTATAATATGCAGCCATCTCAGCTTCCTAACTTTAGATTTATAACTGAATTTAGAGTGGCCGGCTGGAAGTTTTTCCAATGAAAAAGCAGGTGGTAATGGTTGAGAAAGGAAGGGATATAAAACGTTCTGAATTCTCTATTTAGGAAAGAATGTAGTAAATGTTTAACAATTTCTCAGGTCAGCTAAAGCATTTTAAGATTAACGTCTTCAGTAGGACAAATGGTAACTTGTTGTGATTGGAACATCTCCATGCTAGATGGTTTAACAAGCACTAGTTTGTTGATTAGCCTTTGGATGAGGTCTTTAATTCTAGTCTAGATAAAACAGGAGACCCTACAGGTTTTCTATAGTGTGAAAAATAATATAAAATCTCAAATACACCAGATCAGGTAGATTAAAAGAGTAGAGAATACTTGTGTGTGACAAACAGTAAAACTGACTTACCTCTAAATGCCTAATGAAACTATATTCAGATGGTGTGTGGGAATGAGCAGAACCCTTTGCTTGCAGCTATAAGTAAGTTCTATAGAATGACCTTTCTCAAATCTCGAATATTAATAAATGCTGATTAAATAGGAGTGCTAAAAATGTCCCTTTACTAGACATCTCAAGATGCTTCAAAGTTAGTTTGATAAATAGTTCAGGAAATGTTTAGAACGTGAAAGTTTCTGAAGGCTTCAAATATTCTTTGCAAAAAAAATACGGAGTAAGCCAAAATTGAGAAATTCAAGTGCTATCTCCAACCCAGGTAAATTAAATATGTATACAATTATATTCAGACTGAAATAGGACTTACTCGATGAACTTTAACAGCTGTTTAGTGATCTTCTTAGCAGACCGAGCAATAGCACTCTTAGGTTCATTGAAGGTGCTGGCATTACTTTCAATGCACCTGACTTCCCACACCAATGCAGAGATCCTCCTTTAAGATTGTAAAACAAATTAACATTTTTTAATACTAAAAAGAAGGAGTGAAGAAAAGAAAAATAACTCAGTAAATATCTGTCCCTATTAGGTCTAGTATACTAAACTGGCAATCCTATAGTATAGAACCCCACCTTAATCTCATTTAAAACAATTCATATGGAAAACAGCATAAAATATTCAGGGTTAGCCAGAGAAGTGGCAGCTGTAGGGGGAGGAGGAGAGAGACTTCAAAAATGATAAAATAGTTTAAGTAGTTACCAACTTGTTTGCACCTCTACTGAATATTAAGGTATAGTTAAAAGAATGTTACTGCCAGGATTATTGAAAACATAATATACATGTTTAGCTAATTATGCTACAAAATGTTGAAGCTGATCAAAGAAATTCCAGAAGGTTTCTGCTTCAATCTCCCAAGGATAAGCAAACATCAAGTAGACAAACCATGTAAATACTTTTAGGAAGAAACCTGATTATGAACAGACTGTATGGTTGGATTATTAGAGAAACAAATCCAGAGGTAAAGTGAGCCTAATTCCATCTCTTCTCCCCTCCCTCCCCCCGAAAAAAACCTAACCCCACACTTTTCAAAGAAAAATCTCATTTTAAACCCACAAAAGATTTCTAGAAATATCCTTATTGAAATGGATTTATTTTGTCTTCGTTCTTCAGACTTGGATAACATTTACAGGGGAAAACGTTTTACACAAGACACTGCTTACTTCCAACTCATGTTTCCACTTAAAGTTGAAAACCTTTGCTGTTTCTCAAATGCTTAAGATGGTATAAGCTTCTTTTAATGTATTTTTCCAACTATTTTGTATCAAAAATTCACACCTTCATATAATAACTGCCTGATATCATAGATACAAATGTCAGAAGGGACCATTATGATCATCTAGTCTGACCTCCTGCACAACGCAGGCCACAGAATCTCACCCACCCACTCCTGCAAAAAACCTCTCACCTATGTCTGAGCTACTGAAGTCCTCAAATCATGGTTTAAAGACTTCAAGGAGCAGAGAATCCTCCAGCAAGTGACCCGTGCCCCACGCTGCAGAGGAAGGCAAAAAACCTCCAGGGCCTCTTCCAATCTGCCCTGGAGGAAAATTCCTTCCCAACCCCAAATATGGCGATCAGCTAAACCCTGAGCATATGGGCAAGATTCACCAGCCAGCTATTACAGAAAATTCTTTTGTGGGTAACTCAGATCCCACCCCATCTAACATCCCATCACAGGTCATTAGGCCTATTTACCATGAATATTTAATTACCAAAACCATGTTATCCCATCGTACCATCTCATCCATAAACTTACTGAGTTTAATCTTAAAGCCAGATAGATCTTTTGCCCCCACTGCTTCCCTTGGAAGGCTATTCCAAAACTTCACTCCTCTGATGGTTAGAAACCTTCGTCTAATTTCAAGTCTAAACTTCCTGGAGACCAGTTTACATCCATTTGTTCTTGTGTCCACATTGGTACTGAACTTAAATAATTCCTCTCCCTCTCCGGTATTTATCCCTCTAATATATTTATAGAGAGCAATCATATCTCCCCTCAACCTTCTTTTAGTTAGGCTAAACAAGCCAAGCTCCTTGAGTATCCTTTCATAAGACAAGTTTTCCATTCCTCGGATCATCCTAGTTTCCCTTCTCTGTACCTGTTCCAGTTTGAATTCATCCTTCTTAAACATGGGAGACCAGAACTGCACACAGTATTCCAGGTGAGGTCTCACCAGTGCCTTGTATAAAGTACTAAAACCTTATCCCTACTGGAAATACCTCGCCTGATGCATCCCAAGACCGCATTAGCTTTTTTCACAGCCATATCACATTGGCGGCTCACAGTCATCCTATGATCAACCAATACTCCAAGATCCTTCTCCTCCGTTACTTCTAATTGATGCGTCCCCAGCTTATAACTAAAATTCTTGTTATTAATCCCTAAATGCATGACCTTACACTTCTCACTATTAAATTTCATCCTATTACTATTACTCCAGTTTACAAGATCATCCAGATCCTCCTGTATGATATCCCTGTCCTCCTCTAAATTGGCAATACCTCCCAGCTTTGTATCATCCGCGAACTTTATTAGCACACTCCCACTTTTTGTGCCGAGGTCAGTAATAAAAAGATTAAATAAGATTGGTCCCAAAACCGATCCTTGAGGAACTCCACTGGTAACCTCCCTCCAGCCTGACAGTTCACCTTTCAGTAGGACCTGTTGTAGTCTCCCCTTTAACCAATTCCTTATCCACCTTTCAATTTTCATATTGATCCCCATCTTTTCCAATTTAACTAATAATTCCCCATGTGGCATGGTATCAAACGCCTAATCGAAATCTAGGTAAATTAGATCCACTGTGTTTCCTTTGTCTAAAAAATCTGTTACTTTCTCAAAGAAGGAGATCAGGTTGGTTTGGCACGATCTACCTTTTGTAAAACCATGTTGTATTTTGTCCCATTTACCATTGACTTCATTGTCCTTAACTACTTTCGCCTTCAAAATTTTTTCCAAGACCTTGCATATTACAGATGTCATACTAACAGGCCTATAGTTACCCAGATCACTTTTTCCCCTTTCTTAAAAATAGGAACCATGTTAGCAATTCTCCAATCATACGGTACAACCCCTGAGTTTACAGATTCATTAAAAATTCTTGCTAATGGGCTTGCAATTTTGGGTGCCAATTCCTTTAATATTCTTGGATGAAGATTATCTGGGCCCCCCGATTTAGTCCCATTAAGCTGTTTGAGTTTCGCTTCTACCTCAGATATGGTAATATCTACCTCCATATCCTCATTCCCATTTGTCATGCTACCATTATCCCTAAGATCCTCTTTAGCCTTATTAAAGACTGAGGCAAAGTATTTGTTTAGCTATTGGGCCATGCCTAGATTATCCTTGACCTCCACTCCATCCTCAGTGTTTAGTGGTCCCACTTCTTCTTTCTTTGTTTTCTTCTTATTTATTTGGCTATAGACCCTTTTACTATTGGTTTTAATTCCCTTTGCAAGGTCCAACTCTACTTGACTTGACTTTTAGCCGGTCTCATGTTCTGACCTCAACAAGGCAGCTTTCCTTGCTGATCCCTCCCATCTTCCACTCCCTGTATGCTTTCTGCTTTTTCTTAATCACCCCTCTGAGATGCTTGCTCATCCAGCTTGGTCTACAACTCCTGCCTATGAATTTTTTCCCCTTTCTTGGGATGCAGGCTTCCGATAGCTTCTGCAGCTTTGATTTAAAATAATCCCAGGCCTCCTCTGCCTTTAGATCCATAAGTTCTTCAGTCCAATCCACTTCCCTAACTAATTTCCTTAATTTTTGAAAGTCAGCCCTTTTGAAATAAAAAACCCTAGTTGCAGATTTATTTTTGTTAATCCTTCTGTTCAGTTAAAACTGAATTAGCTCATGATCACTTGAACCAAGATTATCCCCTACAACCATTTCTTCTATGAAGTCCTCACTACTCACCAAAACCAAATCTAAAATGGCATCCCCTCTAGTCGGCTCAGCAACTACATTGCAGTATGAATAGTAAGATGTTTTATATACAAATATAGCAAGGACATGAGATTAGACTAATTACTAATGCAAGAAGCCATTTAAGCATAGAATATTTAGATCAATGGGGAATTAATTGATTACTGACAGCGGACAAGCAAACCCTCACCCAACACAAGAGAAAAAAAAATCATTGTTCGAAAAATTGCCATGTAGAGTCAACAACTTAGGCTAAAGACTTTTTAAGAGTTAGATAACTTTAAAAAGCTGTTCTGAGAATTAAAAACTCTTATATTAAGAACAAGACTGATTATTTGAAAACAGAATTTCATTTCCTGTCAAACTAATGAAAAGGAAAAAAAAAAAGAAAATGGACTGAATAAAAAGAATATTAAAACTAAGAATTTTCTGGATCTTTCCTGCCACAAGAAGAACAAAGGCAATAAAGAAATATTGCATATTCAGGAGCTCAAAGTACCACCTAAACCAAAACCAAAGGCCTGAAGCCAATGAAAGGGAGAGAGCAACCGACCTGAATCTAAGCAAGCATGAATGAATGAGGTATTTTCTTATAATTTCACACAAGTAAGAAAAAGGGTTTCAGATTCTAAAGTGAGCACTCTCAGTCCCTGATATGCTCCTTAAACAGCAAACACTCCATAACTCATCCTGTCCACCTCTACAAGAAAGAAGGAAAAAAAAGAGAAGACTCAAGAGGAAACCACCCCAAGACTTCAACATGGATTGGTGAGAGAAAGTTAAAGTCACCGCCAAGGGATTAGATTTAAAACTCCTGTAATCATTTCCTGGAACACTAAAATGCTATTGTAACTTAAAATACTAACAGTTTCTCCTGTTAATCAAGTGATTAGACTATGTATTCATGAGAAGAGACAGGTTAAACATTGGTAAACAGAAAAAAGGGGGATTTAATTGGATTTTAGATTTTTAATATTGCTTAACTGGCCTGTCACAAGACAGCTCTTTAAATGGCTTCTTCTAAGTAACTGATTTAAATATGTTCTTGGGCTTCATAAGATGTTTTTAAGATTGCTTACTTTATCAAATATAAATTGGCTGGTTATTTATTAACAGGTCCACATTCCCTGAAACAAAATACTTTTGTCCATCTATAAACATTCTTCATTATCTAAGGATATACTAAAAAATGGATTCACAATAATTTTGGGAAATAATATACTTTGGTCTTAACTTACCAAGAGAAAAGCACACTTCACAGGTGTTCACTATCAGGGGCATAATCTCTGTCAAAAACTCTCCATAGAGAGCCATACAGAAGAGATTGTAATAGAAATAACCAGTTTATCATTTGTGTTCAGTCATATGTGCTATTTTCTTTTCCTTTCTTTAATAATGAAATAGCCCTGGTTAATAACTGATTACTTTGCTTGGGCTTAAATGTTTGCTTGCTATCCCCTAAGCAATGTAGAAGAATCCCTGAGAGTCAATAGTGGAACCCACACTCCTGAGTTGGCAGTAAAAGAAACAGCAGGAGCTGGCCTCCCATTTCTTGTTTCTCTAAACTAAATGTTTTTAGTAATTTTGAAAACAAAATTACTTAGCGTCCAACAATTTATAAGTACCCCTTTCTACATCACACAGTAATCTTTTTTTTCCTCCCACCCCTTCAATTTTGAGATTCATGTTAATGCTAGTCAAGCATTGGGGATATAGCATATTCCTGACCAAAGTGCAAATACTTTCATATTTCTCCACAACTATCAGACTACACATTCATACATTGAGTGGAATGCTTTCATGAGTCAGTTAAGTTGAAAAAAAAATACAAATGAAGATAAAACTACATTAAAATTAGTTAATTTGTATATGAAGTTTGTGTCCGCCAGGCTCCTACGAGTTAGTCCTCAAAACCAACTACTTCCAAGGTAATATCCACAATGGCAGGTTTTTTTTCCAGCTATCCAAAATATTGATGGCTCAGAATAAGCATTCTGGCACCCCCAGGTTCTGAAATCTCACTTGCATAGACACTACTGCATTTGGCCTGAGTTCCTTTGGAGGTTCATAAGCTTTCAAGCCCATATATTATTTTAAAACAATGTGACCCATCTGAAAATGACAAAAACCCTGTTACTTAATTGGTACTGTATATTGTATCAAATTCTATTTTGAGCCACACAGACCTGATGACTCTCTTGATATCAGAGTACTGAGAATGCAGCATACAGAAAACTCATGTATTTTGTTATCTTAGTCACCTCTAAAGGAAGAAGGAGTGCTATTCCAAAAAGAGAACCCCCACCAAAAAACAAAAAGCCACACACCAGCAGAAAAGGAAACGAAAAGAAAACAAATAAATATTGTTAAAATATGACCTCTCTACCACAATGTCCTAAAACATAACCATTTCCAACTGGGTTCTTCCCCACCTGCCATCTATCCTTATCATCACGACCTGAGAAGAAGCATTACTGAGTAAAGGTCCTCTGCAAGTTTGAAGAAACTGAGGACTCAAGTTATAAGCAAATGGAGGTGATGTGCTGCATGGCCACGTACAGGGCTTAATTTTACCACTTCCTAACCAAATCCTTATAGCTATTTATTAACCAAATTATAATAATTGGCAAACATATATTTACCACTTTATCCACAAATCTCAAAGCACTTCACAAAAGGTGAGTTTTATCACCATTTTACAGATGAGGAAACTAAAATGCAAAGATAATAGGGGCCAGATTTTCAGGAGTGTTGGGCACGTACAACTCCCATTAAAGTCAATGGGCACTGCAGGCGTTCAGCATCTCTGAAAACCAAGCCCCATGTATCATAACTAAAACACTCTTAACATTGTCAAATACACCTATGCGACTTAGGTACCCAAGTCTCATTTTCAGAAGGGTTTGAGAAGACGAGATTCAGGCTCCTAAGTCACTAAAATGCCTAAGTCCCATTTTCAGAAAATTTACCTCAAATCTATGGCAAGCGTGGCACTTCAGAAATTCAGTTTACATTGCCTGACTGCTAGTCTTAAAAAACAGACGTGCAGTTTTCATGCTCGTTTATTCAAAAATAGCTCAACTAATTTTGTTTATAAATAATTTAAACCAATGTTTATAATTGTGATATCACTAGAAGAGAAAACAAGGAACTAGTATCTTAGTTTTTTTAATATTACAGAACTAATCACTTTTCAGATAACTTATAAAATATTAGTAGCTTTGCATTCATATAGTGCTATTCATTTTCAGTGTTTTCAAACAGAACATTTTGCCTTTTTGGTGCGTTGTCCAAAAAATGTTTAGATCTTTGTAGGTCACTTAACTTGATGGAAACTTAGTGAAGATAATATAGTTTTCCTCTTTTCTACTGCTAAAGTAGACTAACCTGTAAAACCGGTTGATTAGTCTCATCCGAATAGTGCAAAGATCCGTTGGATAAGCTATCACTGTACAGTACTTTGGATATGTACTCAGATCAACTGGACCAGCAAAAGCTGCTGAAATGTCTGTCAAAAATAGTAATATTTCAGTTAGTTGAGCTAACAAATTCAAAGCCTGTATACATATGGATTTTCATACAAGCATTCACACTGTTCTACTATAACCACGATTAACAAAACAGGTTATGTATAAACCTATGAACCTGAATATAGATTTGTGATAAAGGTTGTATACCAGGTTGCACACAAAACTACAGTACTTTATCATAAATCTTTAAAAAAGGATCAGCACTATGTCTCAGATACCAATTTATAAAAGTTTACTGCTATGAGAGCAAAGAACTGCCTAATTTTCTGTGTTCTCACCAAGATTCAGAAGCTGATCAATGCCACTGATAATCTGCTCACATACTTCATCTCGAGATCTTTTCCCCCATTCTCCCTCTTGGGGTTTGTATAGTAGCTTCTCCATTTCTTCCGAAGTTACAGAAAGACTAGCTCCTAATTCCTCAGGTTGATCAACTACAGTTTTATAGTAAATGGGGAGGTGAGAGAAGAAAGAACACAAACAAAAGAATAAATGAGAATTTAATAAGCTATATGCTTGCCAAGTTTGACACTATGTAAAATCTTGCCTAATCTCATAAGATGGGGAGTTTGATGTTTAGGAACACAAAATGTCTTTAGATGGCAGAGTATTCTAAAAACTCATCTGCAACAAAGAAAGGTTAATGTACGAATGGCCAATTTTGTTTTTAACGAAGGAAACTGTATATAAGTAGCTGTTAACAATGTTTGCATTTACAGACTGTCTGTTTAAATTTAGGCCTGATAAGCACATGTCCACTAGCAAAAGATGTTAGTATTTTTGATTACACTACACCTTACACCGTTGGTAGTCCTAGTGCAGCTACACTATTTTTCTTAGCACAGTAAGGGTAACTGAGCGTATAAAGAACTCACGATATGCAGGGTAATACCATATGTTCCATGGAAAAACAGAAAAACTAGCAGTTCCTTTCAATTATGTTGTGTTCTACAATGAAACCTGTTTTAAGTGACCACTCAAAGGACAAGTACCAAGTCTGCTCGCAGTGCAGCAGAGATCAAAAAAGCTAACAGATGTTAGTATGCCTAAAGAATAGCATGAAAAATACTGAGTATTATGCTATATATCTCAATAGCATATCACCTGAAATACCGTACCTAGTTCCTATCTCTAAAGAAGGGGTGGGCAAACTATGGACCGGGGCTGCATCCGGCCCTTCAGATGTTTTAATCTGGCCCTCGATCTCCCACCGGGGAGCACAGTCTGGGGCTTGCTCCACTCCAGCCGGGGAGTGGGGTCAGGGGCTTGCCCCGCTACGTGGATGCTGTGGCTCCACGCGGCTCCTGGAACCAGCGGCATGTCCCTCCTCCAGCTCCTATGTGTAGGGGCAGCCAGGGAGCTCCACACACTGCCTCCTCCCCCCCCCCCCCCCAAGAGCCGCCCCCACATCTTCCATTGGCCAGGAACTGTGGCCAATGGGAGCTGCAGGGGCAGCACCTGCAGATGGGGCAGTGTGCAGGGGCAGCACCTCCACATAGGAGCGGGGGGTGGGGTGGGGTGGGGGAAAAAGCCACTGTTTCTGGGAGCTGCTTGAGGTAAGTGCCACCCAGAGCCTGCACCCCTGATCCCCTCCTGCGCCCCAACCCCCTGCCCCAGCCATTATCACCCTCCCGCCCTTCAAACTCCTCAGTCCCAGCCTGGAGCTCCCTCCTGCACCCCAAAACCCTCATCCCCATCCCACACTCCCAACCAGAGCCCTCACCCCCACCCCTGCCTAGCCCCCTGCCCTGAGCCCCCTCCTGCACCCTGAACTCCTCATTTCCGGCCACACACCAGAACCCACACACCCCAACTGGAGCCCTCACCCCCCTCCTGCACCCAAACACCCAATTTTGTGAACATTCATGGCCCGCCATACAATTTCCATACCCAGATGTGGCCCTTGACCCAAAAAGTTTGCCCACCCCTGCTCTAAAGGAATTCTAGGGTTTTGGGTTTTTTGTTTTATTTTTGCTAGTAGCTTCTCTCATTCACTGATCACTAATTGGTTAATGCCCCCATCAGTGGAAATGGGAGGTGGCTCAATGTTGCTGCTGGAGGCTCCAAGACTGAGCCTAGCCCTCCAGCTCAGGCCACTGGAAGAATTCTTCCAAAACTGCAGAAATACTCCAGGCAACCGATTATTAGCATGAAGACAAACCTAATATATTAAACTTAGTGTAATTGTGTCTCATTCTCCCTTCAGAGAAAAAAAAATTAAATGTTACAAATTATATTCTGCTTTTCATCAGACTACCAGGGTAGCATGAATGAGGAGAGAAGCTACTAGCAGAAAGTTATTAAATTTCATATTCTGCAGCACAGCTTCTTTCCTCATTCATCACTAATGCGAAATAGCATGCATTGAACAACGTAAGAGGGGGAAAGAAAGCAGCAGAGTTTTAAGTAGAATAATAGGTAGAAATGGAAACATGCCCACAAAGCCACAGATTTGTAATTTAAATAATTATTTGGGAACCAACCCAGCAGCACCTTCCTACCAAAGGATGCCTCTACAGAAGAATGGAAATCTACTTTCCAAATTTTCTTTATATGTGTTTCATACAATTTCCCCTTCCTCCCCCCAATGCCTTTAGGGACCTTGTAAAGAAAACCTTGATTCCTTCTCCATAAAGTTTCCAGATGTCTAGCATACCATGCAGGATTTTAACATCTTGTCCACAGCAACTTTCTGAGGTAATGGCAACTAGAAAGGTCAGCCACAAGACAGTTTAATTTGTCACTCCAATTAAACCTGACCCCTGATGAGACTCAGATGGACAGCCTACTGTGATTGCCTAAAACCACCACTAGGCTGATACCTGATTTGCTATGGTGCTTGGTCATAGGACTCCAATCAACCACTGTGGAGAAATTCTAATGTAGTGGAGACACTGCTACTTTGTATTACAGCAGCATCCAGAGGCCAGGGCCCCATCATGCTGGGCACTGTACAAATATAGAAAAAAGTCTGTTCCAGCCCAGAAAATAACTTACTATTTCCCCTCTCACAGAAACAATTTTACCAGACCAGTGAGTAAAGTTTCTTGATTGAGTTCTGTCTGATACCAAAATGCATCAACAAGGCTAATGAAGAATCCCCACTGATTTTCTTCCAATGCCCAGACTCAACTGTAGTTGGTCCAGGTTCAGATGAAAGAGTCCCTGTTTGCAGAGGACTGGTCTTTTCACCCAGTGCAATCGAGATTCCTTGACTTTCCATCAAGTCCAACGATCATACTTCCATCACAAGCAACCTCTAACCGGAAGTAGGAGGAAGCTTCCCCTGTGACCACCATAACTGCCCACTGTAGGATTTCTTGAACCTTCTTCTGACACACCTGGTACTAGCTACTGTCAGACAGGATACTGCATTCAATGGACCCACTGGTCCAATCCCATATGGCCAATGTTTATGTTTGTGTTAGACAGAGCTGGTTATGTGAACTAAAATGTTAGGTACTCAGAGCTGGGACTTTGTTCCCCAACCTATGAGGCTTGCTTCCATATTGAGTATGCAAGGGTATAGAGTGGAATTTGGGTTGGCTTTCAGAAGGTCTGTATTTAGCTGCTGAGAAAGGGACATTTGGATGTGATCAGAATGGCATCTAATTTTTCCACTGTACCAGGTGCATACTTCCATGATCTCTCAAGGAATTTCTGAAGGCTCATTTTAAGAAATTCCACTCAGGGCACAACACTGATGCATGACACCAGCAATCCAAAGCCATTAGAGATAAATGGTTACTCATGACCATTACCAAACCTGTCTTGACTCCTGGGTGAACATATTTTCAACACTGGGTCCAAAATGTTCTTGATTTAGAACTGGTGACTGTAAACCCTTTGCCACAGCTGGCTAGTCATGAATGGATCTGTTGCCCTGGATAAGGCATTGATTAGTGTCTGTACACTCATGGATAACATGGGCAACTTGCAATCTAAGTCATTCTGTGACCACTACCAGCCATCTCTTAAGACTCTTAGTGTTGTGAACAGGCAGGGCATATATAGAGTCTGTGTATGGTTGTCTCACATGAGACTCGCCACTTAAATTTAGCCCCATGATTGTAGGACAGCTCTGCTACTGCCTGAGGGGAATGTACTCGAGCAGCAGATCCAGGCAGCTGAAGCCACAATGCTGTCAAATATCCAATCCAGGGGAGGATAAGGAAGAGAGACTATGTGTTGCTACTGCATGAAAACGTATAGAAATTGAAGTTATAAAACAAAACTGGGAGAAACTGAACCACCAACTTTTTCTGTTGCCAGAGACAAAAATCTGTTGTCCTGATCCAGAGTAAGGTATTTAGTTCCAGAGCCTCCAGAAAAAATGGACTACCTCTGAATACCACAGGTGGAGGACATAAACCCATTAGCGATGGACAAATAAGGACAGAAGCTGTTCTGCAAAAAAGGTGGGTCATGGACAGGTGACCAATTAGAAGCATGTAAAAATTAACCACAGAAGAGCTTTTGAAAACATACAGACTACTTAGTTTACAGAGGAGTATACAAAATAATGAACAGTATAGTGAAGGTAAATCAAGTGCTCTTATTACAGAGCAAACATGTGGAACTTATCACAAGATATCACTGAGGCCAAGAGTTTAGCTAACTTCGAAAAAGGATTAGTCAGCTGAGAACATCCACAACTACACTAGATAGGAATAAAAAAATTTCAGTTAGCTTGGAAAGGAAGGCAATTCCTAACTCAAGGAACTGGGAAGAAAATTCCCTTTGGGGTGGCTATTGCATGACTGCCCTCTTCAAGGTTTCATTAACTTTCCCTCTGAAGCATCTAATACTTACAAATGACAGTGACAGGATGCTGGATTAGATGGACCACTGGAATGATGACCATTAAAGCGTATTTTGATTCTAGTAGTAACCTTAGATATACCTTCGTCATTTATTATAAAGTTTTGCTGACTGCACATAGAGTGCATATTTCATTATATTTGATAATCAGCCTGAGTTGTGTGGTTACGATTAATGTAGGAATCTTGGCACAAGCCAAGAAGTTGAGAATTTTTAAAATGTCAACCTTAATTAGTTCAACACACCAATAAGAAAGCAGGAAGAAAACAGGGCTCTGATGCAGAGCAATTAACCACTGGAACAATTTACTACGAGTTGTGGTGGATTTACCATCATTCATCATTTTAAAATCATAATTGGATGTTTTTCTAAAGGATACGTTCTAGGAACTATTCTGGGGAAATTCTATGTCCTATGTTATGGAGGAGGTCAGACTAGATCATCACAATGGTCCTTTCTGGCCATGGAACCTCTGAATTACAACAAAAGTTACAAAGGTTCCTTTGCAGAAAACTGACACAGCCACAGGATTCTATGCCTCATGACTGGTTCCACTTGTCCCCTATTTGTTTTTAAAATAGAATACACATTTTGACCTATAGGAGTACTTAAGTTTGTGATCTACATACTTCAGCCATTTAATGGGGGGGAAAAATAAATAAAAAAACTTATGGAAAAAGACATGGAATAGTCTAAAACTAGCCTAATATCCAGATTCGGAGATTTTAAAGTGAAAACAAATTTCCTCCTTCCACTTTCCTCCTCTCAAAACCAGTTTTAATGGAAATGATCAGACCCTTAACCGTAATAGAATACCTGTGCCATTATATCAATTCCACCCTTAAAAGTATATGAAAAATGATAGTGTCCTACAATAATAAAATAAGACTATGCTCAGGTACTATGGTAACAGGGGCCATATAAGAAAATATCAAGACTAGTATTACCACTTGCATGAAACAAATATTTTGGAGATAGACAAGGGGATGAAAGGCTTTTAATGCTTTTTCACATACCATTATCAGGAATAGGCTCCATGTCCCATGGGCTAAGCTTTTCAATTTCACCGTTGTCCCATCTGTTTAAACAACAAGGAAATTAACAAAAAAGTTAAATTATGTTCATATATAAGTGTTTCTCTCCAAACAAATGTAAGGAATCTTTCCTTTGATTTTAAGCATAATGAAATTTGCAGTACAAATATATAGGAAGGACAGAGCAAACCAAGCCCTCTTAGAGGCAAAGCTACTGCAAACATAGTTTGGTTTAAAAGCTTAAAATTACAATAGCGCTCCTACTCCAGGCAATGCTTAACTGATCTCCTACTATATCAATGGGAACAGAAAGAAAATGTGTCTAACTTACAGACCAAGAACATTTCAAACAAAGTCAGTCAAAAGCACTCACCAGTCTGAAGCTTATGTCAGAAAATTTCACAATGTATTTAAAGTAAATAGAAGCAAGCAGCCAGGAAATATTGGAAGGTTTGAAGGAAAATTTGCAACAGCTCTGCTGGATAGTCAAAATTCTGACTCAGCAAAGCCAACAGCAATCAGTTTAGCTACTTCTAAAACATTTACATAGCACCATAAATTCACACAGCACTTTACAAACAGATCATATATGTGCTGCTATAAAGAGTTTACAGTCTAAATAAGACAACAAATAAGATCAATGTACTAGTACACGAGAAGGACAGTGCAAATATTCCTGTCAATGGAGGAGGATTGTTTTAAGAAATGGAAATACAGAGGGATTTGGAGGAAGGTAGACCAAGAAATGGGGTGTTTGGTGGAGCACAAAGACTGTTGCGGTCATGGGGAGCAGCATGCTAATAGGTACAAAGTAAAGGGAAAAGAAGAAAAAGTGATAGGATTGGAGGCAAAAGGGAGAAAAAGAGGAAGCAATAGTTAGTCTGGTTCACATCTAATAGTATATTCACTTGATAATTGAATATGAGAGACTGATTTAAATTCCTGCAGATTGTATAGATTTTTTTATGCTTTGAGTAGCAATGAAATAACTAACGATGTTGATATTTAAATTACTATAGTTAGGTGTTGTAACCAATACCTATTTAGCTGATCAGGGCAATCTACACTTCTCAGAATTATTTTAAGCTGTCTGCAAACTCAAGCAGACATCACTGTTCAGTTTGCACTCCGTTTGCTGTTTGAAGGTTTACTTTGCAACCATAGAAACTATAGATTTCTTAGGGCTTGCTTACTCAGTTTTTGTATCAATTTAATTATATTGGTTTAGAAACCCCTAGTATGGATACAATTACACCAGTGCACAAGTACATTTATCAATATAACGTATTTCAGTATAAGCTCTTTATATATCAGAATTATATTGGTTTAAAAACCAATGCCAGTAAAACAATACAGTTAAATTGGTATGAAAACTGTTTAGACCAGCCTTTGGGAAAAGCATGGTCTACTTATAGAACTTTCACCTGTTTTACATCTATGTGAATAATATGGAACTAACCTGTGATATTTATGAATACTATATGCTGGTTTGGTTATTGGGGTGGTATTTACTTTATGAATTTTTATTTTAAACTCAGCACTGTCTGGATTCAAGCATGAAGGGGAAGAAAGGCTCAACACAACCACCTATCAAAGAACACTTATAATTTAAGGGACAATGTCAAAGCTACTAGCTTTGGTGACTGACTGTCCAGTCTACAAAATTGGATTTAACCAAGTATGACTGAGGCCCTGCAAACACAAGGGAACAAAATTCAACAAGTGCATTTCTCCTCTGCTATTAGCCTTTTGCAAGTAAGCGGTATTTCAAATGAACTGGGGGTCAGGGGAAAGCAGGGTTTAAAAGGCCCATAAAGAAATATAGGTAATTGCAGATCTATGGTGCCGATGGACCCTGCATTCTGTGCTCTGGCATCTTTAATGGATTGAAGGGTACACTAACCATATGTCAAATTATGGTGCTGTTGTGAGGCCCCACTAATTATTTGTGCATTATACATTGGTTGATACTACTGGCTACTAATCTGGTGTTTAGTCAAAGCAAAAAAGTAGCTTGTGGGCAGAGCTGGGGACAGAACCACCATTTCTCTGAACATTTTGACCCATTGTATCAATAATTCAGCTGATAGCTGATTAACATGCATGCAGCTAGGTAAAGCAGAGCTTCCCAAACCTTACACTGTGGTAAGCTAGCACATATATTACAGATTTAACATGGTTGTAGTATGGAGAGAGAGGACAGAAATGAAGGCCGACAGCTGTAGATTCTTCTCACATATGTTGCAAATGTCACTAAATGAGAGACCAAAAAGCAGCTCCACACACTTGTCCTTCCCAAGAACAAGAACTATTGCAATGATAAAGGAGGTTGACTAGAACATGACAAACATATTTTGGATTTTAAACTACAAGGGAATAGATATTAAAATTAAATACTTTGAGATGTACTTTGCTTCCAAAAATATTTTTATTTCCATATCTGCCACTCAGTAGGTTTGCACACTGCATACCATTTTACATATTAAAATTAAATTTAAGAATATATGAGCATATCTTAGTCAATTTTGTTCTGGATCCAATATTTGAATATTAATACATATAAAGCTGGCAAGATCTGGACAGAACAAATACAGAAACTAAACATTTCCATGTCCCAGTACAAACCCACAAATATTAAAATCCAAAATAAATCATTTCCACTGTGTTAGTTTGCACTACTGACGCTGTGTGTTTTTTTTGTTTTTTTTTTTAAAAGGCATCTTCCTTGGCTGTTCCATGGAGAAGATTCGGTAACCCATAATATATAAGTTATTATATTATATATAGTAATATATAAGAGGTTCCTCTCTTTCACAAATATAGAATACAATTTGTGTTTAGCAAGTTATGTTCATTAAGTTACTATTTATGAAAAAGTTACTGCATTTTGGTAATACATTCGAGACAGTTTGCTAATGGAGCTTTAGGTTTTCAACCAACAATCTTTTGTGCATTCTTACACCTCCAGTCCATCAATATAAGCCATGATTTATACTGTGTAAACAAACATTTTAAAAGCCTCTGTACTTACTTAACACTGTAACACTGAAAGTGACTATCTGGATACTGTGGCTGATATGGCTCTTGACCCAACACTGTTCCAAACCACCAAGCATCATCAATAATGGATCTGAATCTATCAGCTGAAAAGAGAAAGAACCATTTCCCCACTCATACATATTCTGGTAACCAAAAGTTTTTAATTATGCTTTTTTGTGAGGATGGAATTACTGGGGAGGAAACTATTGAATAGACTCAGACTTTAAGGTCAGAAGGGACCATCATGAACATCTAGTCTGACCTCCAATAGTATATTTTGGTTTAAAATTATAAGTATCTACGTCAAAAAACAGACACTAGATAAAAGAAAAATAACCCATTACACAAAGTAATGTACATTTTCACAGTAAGCTCTAAAATCCAAACATATACCAGCATTTAAACAACAAGATGTTAATATATGTTTCAGTCTGGAAGGCATGCATCACTAAAGGTGCTGAGTATTTTATAATATATAAAAACTTGTATGACTTCAACCACAATGAGGCAAAGTCCTGAAAAAACAGATGAGCCTTAACACTATAAATTGAAGGCCAAACGCTGGCTCTAGCATACCTAAGGGTTTAGGAGGCAATGAACTCCATTTCATAGTCCAGGTCTCTCCATCAATATCTAATTCCAGCATGTTCAAATCTCTAGAAACTGTTTGCAAAAGGGTCTCAGTTGACCTCAAGTGCAACAGTGGAGCATCTGATGGTAGAGAGCTGTTGGAAGTCTCCGATAGTCAGGACACAAGCCACACAGCGGTTTTTAAATCAACGTCAACACAATGAATTGTACATAACATACTCAGAAGCTAGCCACAATGGAAAATTTTTGTATTCTAAAACTGTATTGCCAGACACTTGGAAGGTGAAGACTTACAAGCTTGCCAATTCCTCTGCCGTGCTTCATCATAAAACTGACGCAATACAAGGAAGTCAATGACATCTGGCATGTCATGGTATCTAGATAAAAAATAAAATTAGCTTTTATTTGTGTGTCATATTATATTATGCTATGTTGTGTAGAGGAAAAAAGCTAAGGAATGCCTCTTTTAAAAAAATATGTTATCTAGCATATGCTTTCGGCAGAGAAACACATACTTGAGAGAAAATGATTTGTCTGAAAGTTTTCCAGTGGCATGGTCTATAAAGGCAAGCTTCAGGCAACACAGTGTAGGAGGACCAACTTCATATCGTATCCCAACAATTTTTACCAATTCTTGATCCTATAACAAACAAAAATGAAAGCAACAAATTCCATTAAGTTTTAGCCCTACACTAGAGACAATCTCTAGTTTAGTTTTATTACACAAAACATCTGAATAGTTTTAGCACTCAAAAGCCAATATTGTTAAATACTGTATGAGGTTTTATTGGGAGACAACCAAATCCTTACACAGAGTCTGTACCCTTTTTAAAATCAAGATTTATGTTTTTATTGCAGTGAAGTCCAGGCCTCCCATGGGCAATTTTGAAGGTTTCTTTGATGACTGAAGAAAGCTTTCTTCCTCCTTTACGTTGGTAGGACGATATTAATGGGAAGTTGCATAGCTAAGTCCTCACTAGTTATATTTATACAAAGAATTTTAAATGCTAATGTAAACCGTTAAACACATATTACCAGTATTGAACATGTAACAACTTCAATATATTCTTACCCTAAGGACCATTTTTCTCCATGGCTCCTTGTGGGGGTTTAGTTCATAAATATTATTTTTTCTGACTGCTTCAATATAAGCTTCATGACCTTGTCGAAAATATATTACCTGTAAAAATAAAAATCCACGGAAATTATTTACTTGAAACATTAAAGTACATATTTTTCTATTTTTAGTGCCAGTTGCTATGTTAACTTTTAGATAACCTAAAATTTTATAGCACTTTTTGATAAAAGCTCTCACCTCATCACCCATTTGGGGAACAAAAGGAGATTTTCGAAGTGCTGTGTCAGTTATCCAAACAGGAGGATGGTAGTCATATAACACATCTTCGTTTACGGGCTGTGTGGGAGTACTATTCTGCACATTCTGATAAACAGGATAGTTATACATTAGAATTATGTTCTTGGTGCAGTGTCATGAAAACTTGTCATCCAAGAATTTCTTCTAAAGTCTACACAAAGTTAATACCATGAAACAATAATCAATTAAGCTTTATCCAGGACCTTAAGACCAAAAATCTCCTAAAGCCCACATTTTGGTACTCAAGTTTGGTATTTTGGTTCTTCCTATATTTGCAGTTCTTCCATCGTCATTATTAAGTATGTCAACCATAAAGTACTCTACTCCCAATAAACTTGTAGGGCACGGTTCTCTCAGAGCTGCATGGTAGTTCTTAACATGACTATCAAAAGACTTGTCTAATTTTTGAAACTACTATTCTAATGTACACTGTCTGGCAACTACTACTGAGATAGAGATATATAGATAGAGATAGATCTCATTTTATTAAACAGAAAACCTTCAGACTATTTAGATGTGTACCAAGTGTAGCTTAAAGCAAAGAAATTCCAAGTTATTATATATCTGCCACTTCAAAACTAATATTCAGAATCAAAGGTGATTATATAATCAAAATAATTCTTTGAGAAAAACACACTTACATACATTTTATATTGTATGATGACATACATTTGAAAGGCACTCTGTTTTACCACCAGTCCCCTGGCTACAAGAGTTGCAGAATTACCTGAAGCGCTCAAAGATTCTCGTTCTCCACATTACAGAACGCTATTTTCCATCACTTTAGAATTTACCAAGGAATTCAGGGTAAAATTCCCCCCTGTGCAGAGGCCAGAACAAGGCCTATAAACCATTTAATTCTTGTGCTGTTTTGAAGACTTAAGTTATTTAAATGAATGATTATTTACACCCCTTTGGTGATAGGGCTGAAGTTCTAACCAGTTATTTTCTTTAATTTATTTAAAAAGTTTTCTCATCCTAATCATCAGTATGGTGAACCATCTAATGTTTGACTAGGAGAATGTGACTTCACTTTGGATGCAGAATTTGCCCTGGTTATTCTAGGCCTATTGAATTACTATACTGCATTTTATGTAAGGCATACCTTGACAAGATTCAGAAAGTGAAGCTGGTGCAGAATGCAATCACTTGTCTATTAAGCAGTACATCATGCAGACAGCACATTACATCAGTTCTTATCTGCCTTTACTGGCTGTGAGTAAGTTTACAGAGAGTTTAAAGTGTTGGTTTTAAACAATAAAGCTTTAAATGGTTTGGGAACTGGTTACCAGGGAAGACACATCTGTCCTCAAATGTAATACTATGACAACTGTAATCAGTGGAGATGCCAGAGTTGGAGTCCCCTCAATTTAAAAATAAAGACATTTTGTAGAAGAAACAAATTCCATAGTCACAGCTCTCCCGAATCCAGATTTCTGGCCTTCTAGGCATCTGACTTTTCGAATGGGCACTGAGAAACAGGGGCAGGCTTATAAGAGTGGATCAGCTAGATATGGAAAGGTTTGTGTTGAGGATACTAAATGGCAGTTCAATTAATTTGTTTTTAGACGTTTTTGTATCAAAGACTGTTTTAAAATTCAGAAAAGCACCAAGAGTGTTCTAAAATCTAAACAAATAAAACCCTTAAGTATCTGCATTCCTTGCTTTTGTATTCAAAGATGCTATAAAAGTGGTAAAGGGTAAGAAAAGCCATGTGTTTGGACCCCATAAGAGTGAGGAGGCTTTAGTTACTTGTTGTAAAGCAAAGTCCATAAAATTTAATTAGACGATGTAATGTTGTGGGGGGGGGGGGGGTGTTGAAAAGGGGAAGGAGCAACCAGAGTTAGCAATATCATAAATACCTCTGCCTAATACAGAGGTAACTTATACAAACTCCATAAATTCCCAGGTGTAAGATTTAAAACGTAAAAAGAGATATCGATCTTGAATTAAGTGAACAGAAGGAATTAACTGTATAATACCTCTTCCTGCTTTTTCGGTTTGGGTTTTTTCCTTCTTTTTCTTCTCCTCTTTGGAGGAGAAGATTTCTCTGCTGATACTTCATCTTCTGAAGTACTACAATATCTGATAGCTTTGCGTCGAGACGTTCGCACAGGAGGCTTGAGATTTATTCCTGCATCAGCTATCCAGTCAGAATATCTACTTGAAGAGTCACTGTTCATGGGGAAAATAATGGAAACAAATGGAATTTAGATATTCAAACAGCTGACAACTAGTTAAGAATATTAAATGAATTATAACAATATTTGTAGGTGTAAAGTTCCTTTTCCACTGTCCTGATCTTCAGTGGTTTTGGAGGTTGTCAGGAGTAGTACAGGAAAATTTAATTGCTGTGATACATTTCTAATTCCTTCACTTTGGCTAGCAGTTTTAACTTATGGCACTAATTCTTCAGTCACTAGAATGCAACTATGACATTTTTGTCCTTATAGAAATTCTGTACAACATTTAATGTGTTCCTTTACTGTATTTCAGAAGCAGGATTCCAATAAATAGGAACATCCTGCCTACTCACAGGCAACAGAAGATACATACTTTCAGACATCTCTATTTCATTGAGGGTTTAAAAAAACAAAAACTTCCCTTTTCTAAAAGCCATTCTAATCATAGCTTATTATTGTTAGACAGGATTCCAACAAAAACAGCTGTAACTTGGCATGGACAGTCATCCCTGAGGATGAGAACAGTTTTGAAAAAATTGTGTTTGATTTAACAAACTCTGAGAATCAGAATATGCCACACTAAATATACGCAAATTTTTATTAAACTTATAGGCACAGACTTTAAGATATGCAGTGCACATTGTGTGCAGCTAATTAAGTGCATGCTTTTGAAGACAAGTCTGCTGATATAAAAACATTTATAATTGTTAAACTATGGATTTCACCATGGCTTAGAAATCAGGCCAATTTAGAAGTTTGGATTAGTACTTTTAACAGGAAAAAGAAAAATATGATGCAGCCGTGTATTCCAAGAAGATCCGTGTGCACGCTGGAGCCAGAGTCTTTTGCCTGGCAATACCCAGAGGAGGGGTGGCGCTTGTGCCTTGTGCCTGTAGCCCCTTCCTTGGCTATCTGACGCAGCACCGCTCTGACCCCTGCTCAGTTCCTTTACACCGAAAGCCCAGGAAAAGACTCCAATGCAGAGGGGACGGAGGGTGCGTCGTGGAATACAAGTCTGCCTCTCATCTCAAAGAACCATAGTTACAGCAAGTAACTGTTTCTTCTTCTTCGAGTAGATGCAGACACGAATTCCAGGTAGGTGACTAGGAAGTAGTACCTCCATCCAGAGGCGGAGCTCAGTCTACCAGAACAAGGATCGCATGACCACTCTTCCAACATTATCATCTGCTCTGGAAGAAATGGTCATTGCGTAAAGGTCCACAAATGTATGCATGGACGACCATGTGGCTGCCCTACAAATGTCCAATATAGACATGTCATTTGGGAATGTCACTGATGTTGCCAGTCTCTGATCGAATGTCCCCATACCAGCTTTGGAGGCGTGGCCAATGCTATCTAATATGCACTCTTAATGCAAGACAAAGCCATCTAGAGATGGTCTGCTCAAAGACAGCTTGTCCTTTCATGCGGTCGGTACATGTTACTAACAGGCAAGGCGAAGCCCGAAACTGTTCAGTCCTGTTCAGATGGAAAGATAGACAGCATCTAACGTCAAGGATATGGAGGCGTTGTTCCTACGTGGAAGAATGCAGCTTAGGGAAAAATACATCGCTTGGTTCAAATGAAACAGAGATCACCTTGGATACAAACTTTGGGAGTGGCTGAAGCATAACCATGTCCCTGAAGAACTGCACGTAAGGAGGCCCAGCCATCAGGGCCTGCAACTAACGCCCTCCTGACAGAGGTAATGGCAATCGAGAATGCAGTTTTCTGACACAGAACAGGCAGCAGACAGGAAGCAAGGGGCTCGAATGGAGGCCCCATTAGAGCGGCTAAAACAGTGTTCAGGTCCCAGAAGGGATCTGGTTCTCAGACTAGAGGATGCAGGTGGAAAAGCCCTTTCAGAGATCGTGTCACCTTGGCACAGGAGAAAACCAATTTCCCTTGGATAGGTGGATGAAACACTGATATTGCTGCTAAGTGCATTCTCAGAGAGCTGAGTGCTAAGCCCAATTCCTGATAGTATAACAGGTACTCCAAGATGTCCTGGATGGAAGCCTCTGCTGGATGGGTCCCCATGGGCCAAGTACCACATAGAAAACCTCTTCCATTTCGCCAGGTAGGGTGTTTTAGTAGAAAGTGTCCACTGTTAAGTAGGACCTGTTGGATGGCCTCCCAGCAACACCTGTCTTCTTCATTCAGCCATGCAGCAGCCATGCCATAAGGTGCAAGGAGCTGATCACTGAATGCAGGGTAGATGTAGTCCTTTGTGAGGAGGTTGGGAAGGAGAGGAAGCAGCATGGGAGGCTAAACTGATAGATCAAAGAGATCTGAGAACCAATGCTGCCTCAGTCATGCCAGGGCAACGAGGATGAGTCTGGCTCAATTCACCTTCAGCTTAGTAATGACCTGGGGAAAGACCAGGATAGCAGGGGGATGCATACAGCAGAGTAGACTTCCAGCTGCAGTGGAAAGCATCAGAGAGGGAGGCTAGGATGAGTCCCTCTGAAGAGAAGAATAGGCACCACTTTCTGTTTTCCCTCATCACAAAGAGGTCAATTGTCGGAATGCCCCATGTTGTGAACATCATCTGAAGGACTTCCATCTTTAGGGACCACTCATGGTTGGGAAGAAAACCCTGCTGAGATGATCGGCAAGACAGTTCTTGACCCCCTGGTAAGTGATGTCTTTTCGATACAGAACTGCCACACGTTGATCTCCTCCAGGCAGAATGATCTGGAGTGAGCTCCCCCTTATCTGCTCATATAATACATTGTGGTGGTACTGTCCTTAAGTATGTGACCACTGAATGCCTGATCTGGTCCTGGAAGGCATAACACAGATTGTTGATGGCCCAAAGCTCCAACACACTAATATGGAGTAAGGCCTCCTGTTCTGACCACAGATCCTGCAACCGCGAGTCCAGACGTGCTCCCCAGCCCAGAAGGGATGCGACAGTAACCAATGACTTGGGTCAGAGAAGGCTGAGAGAAGGGGATCTCTTGCCCACATTACACGGAGATTCCTACCAGAGCAAGGACTGCAGGACTGATGGAGGAAGGTGAACCAACCTGCCTAGAGAATGCAGGGCAGGACAGTAAACCATCCTGAGCCACATCTGAAGAGAATGAAGAGATAACCTGGTACGGTGGACTATGTGCGGACATGTGGCTTAACAGGCTCAGGCACACATGGACGTTTGTTATTGCAAACTGAGGTACAGCTGGTGAATCATCTGAAAGCAGTTGGTTGGCAGAAACGCCCTTGGCCTCATGGAATCTAACAGGGCCCCAATGAACTATTTGCTGAGTGGGAGTGGAGGTCAACTTCATGGTGTTTAGACTGAGACCCAAATGGTCGAGTAAGCATAGTGTGGTGTCAGTGTGAGCAAAAACGTCCTCTCTGGAGCTGCCTTCAGCAACCAGTCATCAAGATAGGGGAAGATATGGATTCTCTTCCTCCTGAGATATGCCATGACCGCTGCCATGCATTTGGTGAAAACCCAGAGGGCAGAAGGAAGCCCAGACAGGAGAACTATGTACGGAAAGTGGCAGTCTCCTACCATTAAGCGAAGATACTAACTCAGCAGAATGGCCACATGGAAGTAGGCAAAGTCTGCAAAGTCCACAGCAGTGAACCAGTCATTCTGAGACAAAGCAGGGAGGATAACTGATAGAGTGATCACGCAGAACTTCACGTGCTTGATTAATTTGTTGAGTTCACGGAGGTCAAGGACAGGCCTCATCCCATTCTCACAGAGCCTCCTCCACCACTGCCAATGCTATCAGAGAGCTGACATGCTTGAAGAGCACCATCTCGTGAGAGGGGAACCTAAAGAGGGATGGAGAGGGGGTGTGGGTGTGGAGACTGGATGGCGTAATCTGATCTGACAGTGTGTAGGACACAGTGGTTAGACATTATCGAGACCCAGGCATTGTAAAAGCAGGACAGCCTGTCTCCAAAGGAATGGGTGGACAAGGGAGAAAGAACAACAACTGGCACAGGGCTCTAGACCAACAAGTTAAAATGGGTGCTTAGCAGATGTCGAAGGAGGGTGTGAAGAACGACCAGGCCCCGAGCTCGAGTGCTTCCCCTTGTGAGACTTATCCCTCCTCCTGGGGCAGGCTTACTGTCTTGGGGGGAAGGGGTGCTGTGGCCTGTATGGCTGCAGTTGCTAAGCCCTGTAACAGTGTCTCTGCACAGGTAGCATATATACCCCCGACAACCTTAAGGTAGCCCATGAATCCTTAAAGGAATGCAGGATTTCATCAGTCTTGTCCAAAAACAAGGTCTTATCATTGAACAGCAAGTCCTCAATAGCTTGCTGGACATACAGTGTAATTCCTGAGTTCTGGAGCCAGGAAGCCCTCCTCATAGTAATTTTCTGAGGCCATCGCCCTGACAAAGTGTCCATCACATGAAGGGCAGATTGCATTGACTTTTGTGACTAAGCAGCCCGCTGCAACAAAACACCCAAAATTCATCCAGGAAGCCTTGGGCAACTGCTCCTTAAATTTGGCCATAGCTGACCAATTGAGGAAGTCATATTTGGCCAGCAGGACTCGCTGGCTCGCGATCCTCATCTGCAGTGATGATGAGAGGTATATCTTCCTGCCTAGAAGACCTAGGCACTTTTGAGTTTCTGTCCTTGGAGGACGACTACTTGAATCTGCTCTGCTGAGTCCTGCCATTCATTGCGGTGACCACCAGGGAGTTCAGAGCCAGATAGGAATAAAACCCCTTGTATTCCTGTATCAGCACAAAATAGCTCTTCTCCAACCGCTTGGCCACCAGCGATACCGAGGAGTGCCTCGTTAATAGGGAAGGCCACTCTCCCAGGGACAGAGGACTGGAAAATGTCCACAAGTTTATGGGTATTCTCCTGGAGAAACTCCACCCGAATACCCAGCGACAAGGCCACCTGACATAATAGGTCTTGGTATGCCCTGAAGTCCTCTGGGTGGAAGGGGAAGATGAACCAGGCAAAACCGTACCATCCAGGGACAAGGATGAGGCTGCTGGCTGGACTACCAGCAGATCCTGCTCCTGGTGCAGTGTCTCCGGATGAGGAAATTCTGGCTGCTCCATGGGATGGGAAACCGCAGGCATCTGGACTTGTGGCTGGTCCACAGCCCCTAATGCTGCATCAGCAGGGGATCTCACTTTGACTTTGACAACAAGCAAGACCTCCAGGAGCAAGGGGCTTGTCACCGGGCCCAAGGTGGCCACTGGTATGGGTAAGGAATTGGTGGCCAGTAGGCGCCAGGCCTTGAGGTGCATACCAACTTTGGGAGCCGTACTGGTCCACCAGTGGCTTCCAGACTTCTTCAGGTGACGTGGAGTGGGAGGGCGAGAAACCTGACTCTGAAGCATAGGAGTCCCAAGACCTAGGAGATGTGGGAGGGGAGATTCCACTGGGAGATCCGACTCATCTGTGGCCCAGAACAAGGTCAAGATAGGCGCTCCCAATGTAGTCTGCAACACTAGTGCTGAAAAGACTGATGGAGCAGGCAGGGTCCGTCTTGGTGCAAACAACAGTATTGGAGCACCCGGGTGCATTGACATCAAGGGCGGCGACAGCCTCCATGGAACCATCTGTGGTAGAATCATAGAATATCATAGAATATCAAGGTTGGAAGGGACCTCAGGAGGTCATCTAGTCCAACCCCCTGCTCAAAGCAGGACCAATCCCCAATTTTTGCCCCAGATCCCTAAATGGCCCCCTCAAGGACTGAACTCACAACACTAGGTTTAGCAGGCCAATACTCAAACCACTGAGCTATCCCTCCCCCCAAGCCTACAGCACCCACTATTCTCAGGTCTCCCATCCAAGTACTAACCAGGCCCAACCCTGCTTAGCTTCCGAGATCAGACAAGATCGGGTGTGTTCAGGGTGGTGTTGATTGTGTCGGTGCAGAGGATGGCCTCAGTACCGAAGACCCTTGTACTGTCTCTGGTACCATGTCCATACCAAGCCCCAGAATGAGAGCTTTGTGGTTCAGTGCCAAGACTTCAGCGGCACACTCCAACTGAAGGGCCATCATGGGTGTCAGCCCTGAAGTCTTGAACCTGCAGCAAGGATGGTACCAAAAGGCAAAGTAATTCTGCCGCAGCCTGGTATGTCAACACCACTAAGACTGTCAGTACCAGCACTGTTCTCATCGGTACCAGCCTCGACAGATGTCTGAGCCAAACTTGATGGTACGAGGTGTCTGCCCTCCCCTCCCCTCCCCTCCCCAGATGGTGCGTCAGAAGCTTCAGTACTGGGTCAGGCTCATGGACTGCTCAAGCAGGTGCTATTTAAGGCAAAGGTCCCGTGCCACGTAAGTCCTCTTTTTGAATGATCTGCAGATCAAACAGTTCTCCTTAAGATGGGCTTCGCCAAGGCAGAGCAAGCACCACGTGTAGGGGTCGCTATTAGGAATCACCACTCCCCACAAAGGGCAATGCTTGAACCCAGGTGAGGGCATCACTGGGGAGCACTGCCACTAACACTGTGCTATATACTGTAACTTTTAACTAACACTACTATTAATTATATACAGTAAACAACTAATTGCAAGGTTGTGAAGCGAGAACCACACAGAGCTCCGACTTCAGCTGTCAAGCGGTGAGTAGGAAACAGAGTGGCCAGGGCGGCGCTACCTCATAAAGCCAAGGGACGGTCTAAAAGCATGAGCACTGCCATTTTACTAGGAATATACGGCTGCATCTTCTCAAAGAACTTAATGTTGGTAAACTCTGGGATCACTACGTCTTCTGCACTAGCACAGAAACATGTACATAGCTTAAAATAGCCATTAGCCAAATCATGCCTATACATTCTTAAAGGACACAGTTATAGGACGTTAAAAGGTGAAACTTGCCTGTGCTTTCCCTTGTTTATTAGCCCTACTACTGGGGAAATCTTCCAACTTTTTCCTTTACAAGCCTATGAAATTAAATGTAAAGGACTCACTATTCACAGATCCTTAATGTGCACTGAAGACTCACACCAGGAAACAAAAATTCTGCATTTCTCATATTAAAACAATACAGGTCACCGCACATTCTTACATTCATAAACTGTATTTGAAAAAGAGTGGTATCAGACTACTTAACTTTTGTATTTGCTGATTTCTAAATACTTAATTTATCTTATGCACTTCTTATGATAAATTGGAGAACCAGCCTGAATTCAACAAGATGAAATTCAAACAAGACAAATGCAAAGTACTTCACTTAGGAAGGATAAAATCAAATACACAACTACAAAATGGGGAATAACTGGCTTGGTGGTAGTACTGTTGAAGAGGATCTGGGGCCTATAGTGAATCACAATCTGAATATGAGTCAACGTGATGCAGTTGTGAAAAAGGTTAATATTCTCAGGTGTATTAAAAGCATGTTGTATGTAAGTCTGGGAAGGTAACTGTCCCACTCTATTTGGCACTGGTGAGGTCTCAGCTGGAGTACAGTGTCCATACTTTTGGAAAGATGTGGACAAACTGGAGAGAGTCCAGAGGAAAGCAACAAAAATAAGTAGTTTAGAAAACCTGAGCTATGGGGAAAGGTTAAAAAAACTGGCCATGTTTAGTTTTGAGAAGACGGGGGGAGAGGGGGGACGGGACGGGACACGACACGACATAACCTGATAACAGTCTTTAAATATTTAATGGCTGTTATACAGAGGAGTGATCAATTGTTCTCTGTGACCAATGAAGTTAGGACAAGTAGTAATGGGCTTAATCTACAGCAAGGGAGATTAGGTTAGATATTAGGAACAACTTTTTAACTATAAGGGTCATTAAGCTCTGGAATAGATTTCCAAGGGAGGCTGTGGAATCCCCTAAAACCAGAGGTTTTAAAGAACAGATTGGACAAACACCTGTCAGTGATGGTAGAGGTTTACTCGGTTCTGCCTCAGTGCAGGGGGCTGGACTTGATTTCTCGAGGTCCCTTCCAGTCCTAAATTTCTATGACGGATAATAAAAATCACTGTGGTAATCCAAACATCAACTTTTTAACTTTAATGTTGCCTTAACAAGATATTTGTATTTGGCATGCACAAAATGTGGCTTCACTTTTTTTAAAAAAAATCTCAGTAAGAGTAAAGAAGTGAATATTGGTGAGGTTTTTTGTTTAACACACACACACAGGTCCCTTGACTGACCATCTTCCTTGATTGCTGGTAAAAAGCCCCTAATCCCAGTGCGTTTTCAAAGAATGGATTTCTTCAAGTAGCCTAATCATGCTAGATCTTTATATGGGAGATTTTAATCTACATTTGTGTTAGACATTCAAAAACAAAATTTGACAACATTCAGAAGAGACTTAAGTGAGAAAGTAGAAATATTTTTTTACCTAGAACTGTTACTGTTGCTTTTCTTGTCACTTTTCCATTCTTCCTCCTCATCAGAAGAATCCAAACAGTCACTTTCTTCTGCTTCCTGGATTTAAAAAAAAGTTTAGTTGACTATCAATCTTAATTTTTTTTTTTGCAGTGCATATTATAAGTTTTATATTGTTTTAAACACTAAGATCTCCTTAGTACGTTAAAAAATAACAGATTATTAAAAATAGTGAAGTAAAGTTCTTTAATTTCTATTTGAGCTGACTTCCTCAACAATAATACAAACTAGCACTGCACATTAAATTATTCAACATGGGTAGACTGCACAGAAACACAGGGGCCATAAGAACTGTTACAGCTGTTTCCAAGGCTACAACAGCCCACCTCCCAGTGGTAGCCTCACTGTTTTGCCTAGGAATACTGTAGAATTCTTTGACTGCACACGCTTTGCAAGATTTTAATACTCATTCTGAAATATAATTTGCAATATCTTAGACTCTTGATGTCCTCACAAAGTCAATGTATGACAGAATTTGGCTCACTTACCATGCAAAAGAAGGATTTAACATGGTAGAGGAAGGGGATTCACAAATGAAAAAATACCATGCCCCTCCTCCCCATAAAAACAGAAGAATTCTAACTTCTCTAAATTTGTTTTTCCTTAAATATTTCATACAAAATGGGCATGGTGATTTTGTAGATTTTCAGCATATTGATTGGCCTTATATTCAATAATTTTTTGAAGTAAAGCAGTGTATATTTAAATACAAAACGGATTACATAGAATGTAAAATATCCCGCGATATACTGCAAAAGTTTTAACATTTCCTGCAGTTTTTGCCCATGTGAATTTCAGATTCCTAGGAGCAATCGGTCATTGTGAAGTTAAGGACTGCTTTTTTTGAAAATAGACCTAGTAACTGCGTATCAGCATGAGGGCTATCAGAGCTGGTCATGACTCAGGTTGTATCCTACAGCATACTGCACGAAACATATGTTAAAAGAAAATTGTTAAGGTTGCATAGTCAAGAACTCAAAGTTAAGAAATGCCAGAATTAAGGTTGCCTGTGCATTCAACTGCCTTAACCATGATACTGTCCTCTACTCCTGCAACCCTGTCTCATTCACTATACACTTTTTGACTTGCAATAGATGAAGCAGGGTTCCTACAGACAACAGTCTCTTCACTGCACGACCCTGATTCAACCCTATAGCATAGCTACCAGTCTCTCCCCCTGGCTTCAACTACCATATTTCCCAGCCCCAGTTCTTCAATCCCCAAGTCCAGCTCTTGTTCCCTCTGCATTTGAAGGGAAACACTGAAAGGCACAAGAGAGTCTCACTGCTTTCTGTTCCTGTGCCCACCACTACCGCAGCCAAGAGCAGCGCTTATAGGGAAACTCCTGCTCAACCCCTGCCCAACACAGACAGAATCTCTGGAGAATTTAGCTGCCAAAACTCACTACTGAGCATATGCAAACATACTTTTTACCAAAGAATTATAAATTTGGATAAATTTGGGCAGTTTTTCCACAGAACAACAAAAGACACCTGAAACTAGGGTGTAGCCAATGCCAAATTTCAAATCCCTACTACAAAAGCATAAAGGCACTAGAGCTTCTCAATGAAACAATTGTAAGGGTGGGTTTTTTTTTTTTTTTAAAAAAACAATAGAAAAAAATCTCTTCCTTGGAAATGGGTAAGCTATTTTTGCTGAAATTTTCAGAAGTGTTCAACCTGAGGCAGATGACTGGCATGGAAAATAGCAGCCCAAACAGACAGTTTGCAACAGTACTTTTAAACAAGCAAAAGCAAGGTTTTATAACTGAAGTGTTGGGTAACCTAGAGCACTGGTAATATCTGTTGACAGTTAGCATATTAAAGAAATATTTGTTTTTGTAAAAACAGGGATGCATGCATTTTCTGCAACAGAAATCTGACATTTTATGAAACGTTCACAATACTTTCCACTAATTCCAAGTACTAAATTAAAGAATTTGGAAAAGCACTTACCTGGTTTATAAAGCCAAAACAGTCATCCCTTTCCTCATCAGATGAATCAAGTTGTTCTGTGTTATTCCGTGTTCGATAACTTGGATATTTACGCCTATGCAGTCTACGCTTGGATTGTATCAGTGAAGCTTCAGAGTCACTCTAATATATACAGAAGTAAAAAGTAAGGCATTACAGATAAAGATACAATGCTGAATTAATGCAATCCAATTTTTGCATAAATAGATAAGTTAAATATAGCTTTACAGTATGAAAGTAAACTTAATTGTATAGACTTGTAACAAATATTGTTAACATACAAGAATGCAAAGAGTATCTATTCTTGAAAAGCTGAGGTCTACAAGCTATTCAGAGTTCCCACTTTTTGCTTAAATGTGGTACAACTTACAGTAGTGTCAAAATCGTAACTCCTAATGCAGTAAGTTTTTAAAAAAGATTAAAACTGTAATTATAGTTAATTATAGTTGTGTAGTGAAACTATGATTATTTACATAAACAGACTCCTAGTTTATTCTGTAGTTTGATTATCTTCTGTGGAATTGAGCAGTTTATGAAATTAAAGAAAAAATTATGTCATATGAGAAGATACAATCAACATAACTATAAAGAAAGGTAAGGCAAAAACAAGAGTTGTTTTAAATATAAAAATAAGCTGTTATTTTGACAACATAGATTAAAACAAGAAATATATAGTCCTTCTGAATTTGAGAGAAAGGCAGGCCACTTTCACGGTTCAATTTTTTAAGAAGCTGTTATAAAATTAATAGTGGTTATTTTACAACCTAACAGAACTTGTCGCAAATCCATCCTTTCACTTACTGTTAGTAGCACACCAACTTGAAATCTACTCAATTAAAAAAAAAGTTAACTAGCCTATTATTCCGAACTAATTTCTATAAACTCTGAAGATATCTTGGAGGATTCTCACTATGTTTACACTCATTAGTACTGTACGTGACTGGGAAAACTGCCCTGTCTATAAAATCTTGAATCCTTTAATACAATAGCAGCAGCACGAAGTCCAATCCAGGCGCTCTCGACTGTCAAACAAGCTGCCAACTAAGTTCCAGTCAGTTCCGTGGATGGAGGAAGGTGAAGCTCCCAGAAAGAAAAAAAAAAAAAAAGCCAATTCAAGGGAGTCACCATTAAATAAAAAAATTACCAGAAAAATGGGGCATTGGGATCTGGGAGAATCCTGCAAGATGGTATCTTCAGAGACATTTGTAGGTACTTTTTCAACTCGTGGCTCTCTCATGCAGAAGTTAAGAGCTCATCATTCACTATATCAGTTTCATACCTTTTCTGAGAACTGAAATGTCTTCCTTTTCCTCTCTGTTGTATAGAGCGCTCTCTCTTCCTCTCCTTTTGCAATACGGTACTCCTCCTGTTTTCTACAAGAGATTTTTGAAACTTGTCAAAATAAAAGTAAAATCACAATTCTGAAAGTAAATTGAGTAGTTACAGGTTTGTCTTCTTTACAATACTTTATATTCCGACACTGGACCTAGCAAAATTGACACTTTAAATGTCCAAATTTTAACCTCTCTTGGAATGGTTATAACATGATGAAGAAATTCTATGGTTTCTAAATTTTTAGGGTTTTTATATAGCTATCAATTCATAAAGAAAAAACTCTCCTCACACATTGGCAGACATGGTTGATAAGCAGAATTTACAAGAGGATTTTTCTCCCAAATTCACCACCTTGTAGGATGAAATAAATCCCCACTCCATTTTCAATCTATGGTCCCATCAGTAGAAGTAGGTCCAAATATATGGATAGATCACCTCCCTTACACACCTTTTTGGTCCCATCTACACTACTAGAATCATGCTAACAGGCACCATGTACAGTGATAGGCATCAAGGACATATTTGCTGTTTGCAAAGGAACAGGTTTCTAGATTTTTCTTTTAAACATGCTGGCCAAGTAAAGTAGATTCAACCAATCTTAGCTGATACATTTAACACTAGAGGGTTTGCTTCTCTTCCTCCCCACAACCACCAGGCTTTGCAAGCAGTTGATGACGACAACAGGAGTTCGTCCTCTTTCCCTTTTGCAGACACCTGGCTCTGAGGCTGGGCTGAAGGAAAAAGCTTTTAACAGCCCCCTTGGCTACAAGTGCTGCTGTTCCTTATCCTCAGCAACAAATGCTACTCCTCTTCCTCCCAGGCATGTAATGCTCCTATATGAAAGCAACAGCCAGCTGTCTTCAAGAACCTTCTTCTGCCTCCTGTTCAGGCAGTGCTCCTCCTGTGTTGCTGCTGGACAGCAACTCGTACCAAGAGAAGAGTCGCTCAGGAGCCTCCCAAATATTTTTTTTAATCTTTCCAAGTTAGTGAATGTAACCTTATAACCCTCACTTTGCTGGAAAATGGGGAGCATTCAGTGAACCTAACTAGCCCTTCAATTCTTTTGGAACATGCTTCATTATTTGCAGTAAATCCTCTTACATGCTCAAGTTATTTTCCAACTAGTTAGTTCTCCCTTCACCCTTATTTCGCATACTTTTACCAACTTAGTTTTGAACGCAACTGAAATTAACATTTAATAATTTCAATTTGCACAGGAGTATATTTTTAGTGTAGGCCCAATAGCACTGAATAAAGGAGAACATTAAGGTATTAAACATCTGGAGTAATACTGATAGCAACATCATATTTTTTTTTTTTAAAAAAAAAGAGATGTCCTTCATATGAGCCAGCTAAATTTTCACGCACCTGAATAAATACAGTGGTATTTCTGGTACAACTACTCTTCGTTTCCAAGCTTGAAGGTCTCGCTCTGTGGCAATTTGACTTCGTGGAGCATTCTGATGCATTTGACGTACACCTTCCACTTGCCCACTGCGACGCAGACCAATATTTGGGGGGGACTGGATGTCTAAACTTGGCCTTCTAAACCCTAAAAAAATATGATGAAAGAGTAGAAAATCCTCTGCCACTGGACACCTTTGGTGTCTAGTTTGCCCCAATTGTTTGACTGTAAATTAGAAATTAACATTCTCCAACGAAAGAAAGCTCACAGGAAACATATTAAAGAATCAAACTGTGTGAATGGATTGCCTTCTCTCGTGATAAATAAATTCAGGATTTCAAGCTGTTTTAAAAATCTTTATTACTTCCACTGCTACTTTCAAACCCCAGTGAAAGGCAACACAGCATGAAAGATGTTCTGAGTTTTTCCTGCTGATTTTGCACCAACAGCTAGCTACCTAAATACTATTCCCAGCATGACACTTATATAGTCATAGGTATATACATGTTGAACAGAATCATGTTCATTTTAAATCCACTTGAAGTCCACAAGGTAAAGAAAGGGAGAAGAAACCATTAATCAATGAAAAGACATTTTTGCAAACTTTAGAAAAATACAAGTAAAAAGTGAGTTTCAAGAACTCTTGAAATATTACAGTACTCTACATATATCCTTAAATATTTAGCTGCCTGCAATCAAAACCAATGCTTTTTATATGTTTAAGGTTGTATGTACCAAAAACTGGAGATTCAACATTTTTAGATACATTTACAGAAGTACCTGGAGGTGTTTTAGCCCAAAAGGCACAGCCAAAAATCCCAGTTTTATAGGGCATCTTGATCCCAGATGGTAACAGATAGTCCACATGGGTTCTAGTCTATTTCATACTCAAAAGTAGCACAAAAAACTCTTCAGATGAAGTGATTTCCCCCTCCCCACACCTAAACAAATATTTATCAGTATTTACTGACCTCTTCTAGGTGTTCCTTCTCCATTTTGTAGTCCATTTGGAACAACTTCTTGATCTGATCCAGTTCTTTGGTCTTGCTGTTGCTGTAACTGTCTTATCATGCCATCAAGAATGTTGCGTTCCAGACTTTGTTCATCCTGGTCAACAGTTTGCTGGCCTATCACTTGCTCAACAACCTCTCCATCACCTGGTAAATTTAATGCAAACAACAAGCAAAATGGTTAACAGCCATCGAACTAAAGTTGGCTGTGCTGATCACCTTCACAGCACACCTTAACAATTAAGCTGGTCTAAAATTGAGTATGAGGATAATTCTGAAACATAATGTAGATAATCACCCACAAGTTATTTATATTACTTCATATTTTAAAAAGGACATTTCCCAAACCTAAAATGAACAGAAATAATTCATGAGTTTTAAAAAATATATTTGCAATCGCTGCAACCCAAATATGGCATCAGAAAATTAAATTAACCAAAAAACTTCCATAAAAATGTGAAACAGACTATTTTCACTGTTTACTCTTTGCATTTCTTGGTTTGGAGAAACAGCATAAAAGCAAATTAGATTAAGAAGCTCTGTTTCAATAATTTTAAGATGTTATCCATACCACAGGCAAGGATTTTTTTTTTTTTTTTGGCAATATTTAATATGACGTGTGTCTCAAATTCTTTACTGATTCTTGCATACCCATGCTATGGTTGCATACAGCCAGGAAGTCAGTTATAAACTAAAAGACACTAGAAGGACGAAATCTTTTGTTCCAAAGAATTCTCACTTTTTCAATTTGAGCTAAACCACCACCTTCATTACCTGCCAGTGCATTAGTGATTATATCCTCTTTGTAAACCAGCAACTAGAAGGTGAAACTATAGCAAATACGCTTGATCAGACAATATTACATCCGGTAGATATTTGCGGTACAAGACAAGTACATAAATCTCAAGTAAAATATAAAAATAGCTTTGAGGTAAATGTAGAACATTAATCTTTTCCTATTCAAAAGAACTGTAATGGTTCTAAAGTCTAGTCAGACAGACACAGATAGATCCTGAAGTTAAAACTACTATTCTTACTTGTTGCTATATATCCCAGTTGAGGAATCAAATGTTCGTCTGCACAGTTCTCTCTTCCTGGTACTAATCTCTGGTATTTTGTTGGATGAGGGTTTCCATCCACATCTACTAAGAACGGAGGTGGCATGAGATGAGGAGCCTGTTGTGTCTGCTCATCTAGGACATAATTGTTAGCGTCTCGAATCAATGGTCGGTAGTCAGTGTGGAAGAACATCTGATCAGGAATCTGGAAAGAAATGAAGCTTGCATACTGTCAATTTGAAAAAAGGATATGTTAAAGAACTTGCACGTAGAAGAAAATTATACTAAGTTACCTCCTATTGCAACAATCGGTATTGAGAGACCAAGTTCTCAAAAGGAAAAAAGCCACACAAAGATCCTATGCCATCCTAGATTTGTGTTGCTCTGACGATATATCCCTCACAAAAGCAAGGAATTTTGATAGGCAAGCAGTTAAAAGTATTCAGTATGGAGGTCTTTGAGAGGATAATACATTGAAAGTTCTGCAATGCTATATTAAATAAAATTGCTGTTTAACCCTGAAAAATAACTATAAAACAGCATTTCAAATTTACATTTTTAATTTAACATTTAGCAAACTTTTGCTTTGTTTCCATTTAAACACATGATTTTCCAACTGCTAACCTACAAATTTGCCATAGGATCTCAAAGTCAGGTTGGGTTCTTTCTTCATCAAGAGTTAACACCAGAAAAAGATTCTGCAATCAAAATTAAGCCTTCAGTTACATCCAAGCAACTGCACTGAAGGAAAGTGGGGGTGCAAAGTGTCAAAAAGGTAACAGTCAGAACTTTTATTACTGATGGTAATAAAGTATAAAATAAGCAAGAAGAAATGAACGACTTTTCACTTTTTGATCCCAAGTTGAATAGGTAGGATAGTTAGGAAAAAACCCTCAAACGATAAATGTTGAACTAGAGTGGTCATTTTTTACAGAATTTTTGTTTGTTGTTTTACAATAGACTGGCACTTCATACATTCTTGTAAGAAAAATTACTGCTTATTAAGAAAAGCAAAAAACAAAAGTCAAGATAGTAAATACATATATCCAAGTGTGCATTACATTTTTCACATGAATTTATATTCCTCTAGTCATCATCATGAAAAGCTAATGTCAACAGAAATCTGAACTTACCTTTTCATAAGGCTTGTTACACCCAAAACCAAATATCAACAGATGCCCATGAGAATCTGTACAGGCAAAATGTTGTCCATCTGATGAAAACTTGCAGTCAAAAACAGCACCATGTCCTTGTCCTTCAATCTAGATTGAGGGCATGAAATTCAAGGTAAGTGGTGTCATTTTTTGGAACAAGCAATACTGTACAGCCTTCTCCAAACTTCAATTACCAGAGACTCCCTGTTAGTTAAAAACAAGGTCATATTTCTCCTACTACATGTTACAGTGAAATTTTGTTGTTACATTTAGTTTATTTAACGTTCCCCATTACATGATAATTAGGACTCCCATCTTGGAATTGGATCTGCATTGAAACCCCCTTAACACCTGTAGAGTCTCTCTGAAGTCAGTTGGACTTTGCAAAGGCAGAAGCATTCACCCATGCAGATCTGATTATAAGCTTGGGCCCCACCAGCAACATACCCCCAAATACAGTCCATTTTTCCCTGCTGAGAGGGGAATATGAGAAATTTAGAGATTTATCCTAGGTCTCTACCATATGTAACCTATTCTCAATATAAATAAAGAGGAACATAAAATTATATTTAGATTGCGAAGTCAAGAGTCTATAGTCAACTATTTAGTTTCCTAGATAGGTCCAAATTTTGAGAGACTAAGGGTACGTCTTCACTACCTGCCGCATTGGCGGGTAGTGATCGATCTATGGGGGATCAATTTATCGTGTCTCATCTAGATGCGATAAATTGATCCCCGAATCGAAGTCCGTACTCTACCTCGGCAGGAGGAGTAAGCGGAGTTGACGGGGGAGCCGCTGTGGTTGACTCACCGCCATGAGGATGGCCAGGTAAGTCGAACTAAGATACTTCGACTTCAGCTACGTGAATAGCGTATCTTAGTTCGACCCCCCCCAGTGTAGCCAAGGCCTTATTTAAAGTTGTGGATCACCTGTAATTTGAACAGCTAAAAACATGCTTTTTACAAAGCTTTATATTTTTAAACAAACCCACTTTAATATCAAATGCTACTTTTCAAAGCACCTCACTGTTATAGCACTGTACAAAGATATCCTCAAGACAAAATACAAGACAGCCAATCCCTTATTGTCTACATCTAGAAAGAAACAAAAAAAGTGTGAACAGTGGTTATACTAGCACAACTTGGGGAAAAAATAAGTTATTTAAAAGTGGAGAAGGATGGGCTAAGACAGCTGTCAAAAATAAAATGAGCTCCATATAGCTGGGTGAACGTAGTGGGGTGGTCACCCTGCTCTGGCCCGGAAGGGGTTAAAAGCAGCTCTGAAGAAGGCTGCAGCAGGGAAAGGGATTAAGAACAGCTGGGGGAAGCCGACAGTGTAGCTGACCACAGCTGCAGCCAGCTCAATCAGGGCCCAGCTGGCCCTTATAAGACAGCTGTGAGCCAGAAGCAAAGGAGTCTCACTCTAGCCCTAGAGTCAGAAGGACTAGCTGCCTGAGAAGAAGGTACCTGAAGCCGAGCAGTGCTGAGGAAGCGCAAAGGGAGCTGGGGAGCTCCAGCCTGGTAAACCCCCAGGCTGCAGGCATTTGTAAATGCCCAGAAAGGTACTGGGGCTGCAGAGGGGCAGCTTGGGAATAGGCAGAGGAAGCTGGCCCTAACCTCTTGGCAGTTATGAGTCGCCATTACCCTGCAGTCTGCCCCAGTGAGCAGGGCCTAGCTGATGACTGACAGTAGCCACTGAGGCAAGGTGGGTTTAGAGGGTTGGGGGTTCCCCTGGGAGGGGAGACCCAGAGTGAGGAGATACTGCTGGGGCAGAATCCCGAGGTAAAGGGCACCGGGGTCCAGGAGGGACACAGGACCAGTGGCTGGCGAGACACCAGCCTGCAGAGGGCTCCATATGCTGGAGAGCTAATTTCCTGGACGACCAGCAGGAGGGGCCGCACCAGTGAGTCATCGCATAGCTACAGTGAACCACAAAAAAAGGCACCATCACTTGCTGACTTAAAATGACAGTAGCATTCTTACAGCTGACAATGTAATTATTTGTCAGAATGAGCTTTGAGGTGCTGGTCTAAATAGAACAAGGGACAACACAAGGTAAAGGGCTTTAAAGACCAACAGGGCCAAATTAATATCAAACCACCATTTTAGAAGCCAAAAAAATGGGGAGAGAAGACACTATGATCACAATTGCTCAAACATGTTGCAAATCCTGAAAAAGGCAGAGGAATGTACAATAATTTGATCTTACCATGTTAAAATAATGCTTAGTTTTGATGCCTTTTGTAATATCCCATATAAAGATATTGCCATCATGGCCTGCAGATAACATAATCCTTGAATCAAAAGGGTGGGTCTCCAACACAAATACTTCATCCGTATGTCCCTATTTTAAGATAGAAAAATAGGCATACAAAAATCACAAGTTTACAATTAATACGTTAGACAGTTCTGAATTCATGCATCCATCATGATTCCTCCATCATCTAACACTTCTAAGACCCTCAAGACTGCCTCCAGAAATCTGAACTTTTGGTGGCTCAACATTCATGCAATTGTGAAAGTGACAAACACTGTACATGGGTGCAAGAGTCAGGGCACCTTGTGACAAAGACAAGACTGTTTCTGAACTATACCATTGTCTGGATTCAAACAAATATGGCAACATACCTACTCAATTTGAAAAATGGGATTTGATATTTATTCGAGAAAAGTCAAGCTTTTCCCTACTTCACATGGAAGGTGGGCTCAATTTTATTGTTTTGCACAAATCCGTTAGTCTCTAAGGTGCCACAAGTCCTCCTTTTCTTTTTGCGGATACAGACTAACACAGCTGCTACTCTGAAACAAACAGGGATGTTTTTTGATGGAAGGAAAGCTGTTGGGTTTTTGGGTGTTTATTTTTTTTTCAAATAAGTACGATACATGCATTATATTCAGATACAAGCTTCCAAGACAATCAAATGTAATGACCAATTCAACATGCAAATGCCACTTTAATACTATCAAAAGAGAAAGGCTGCATATTTTAAAAAGCAGGTAAGATCATTACATACCACCATATCATGAAGTAATTGCCCAGTATAAGAATTCCAAACTTTTAGCAGATGATTATTCACAGCAGTAACAACAAAATTATCATTTTGATTCCAAGCTATCATTGTTACTTTAGGCTTCATAAATCGGTCTTCTTCAGAATGAGAGTCACTATTTAAAAAGAGACCAGCGCCAGTGTAAGTATAACTTTTAAAATAAATGTTCATTTCAATATCTAAACAAAAATCAAACTCTTGTGATGCTAAGAATCTGACATACTGAGCTAAGGATTAAACTCTAGGCGTAACTTGTCCACTATTTTGATATTTCTGCAGTAACTTGACCGTAGAATGTGTTGACATCTTAAAAACTTTAAATCTGAGTTTTCTTGCTTTGGTAGGTTTTACTTTAAATCACAAAATTGCATGCAAAACAAGTGTCTTTTTAATTTAAGGGAAATATACCACTGATATGTTTTAGGCTCAAAATGTTAGTGAATCTACTGAAGAACTGATACTTAAAAAAACCCCTCACCCAACAGTCCAATAATGCTCAGCTATCCTATTTCACATTTTTTTTTAATTAGATAAATTTCATGAGAATGGGATGTTTCTGTAAGTTGTCACAGTACAGTTCAATAAGAAATTTATTTGAATATTGAAGTTAAGAACCAGAATGAACTATAAAGATACTAGAAACCAAGGACCTGGGAGTCTCAATCCGCCCTGAAGTCTGATTGTAAGTTACTCTTGCTTCTCTTTTAAAGAAAAAAAGACTGTTGAACCCACTGTGTGTCTTAATTCACAGTCCCTACATGTGTACGTCAAAAAGATTTGTGGAAAACAAGGGAGACCTAAAATAAAACAAATTCAATTAACTGAATGTAGGCCTCTGAAGAAGGGATGGGAAAGCACTGCTAAAAATGTTAGTGTATTTATTGGATAGAGTGCACAAAATTACCTCCATCTTTTTAGATGGAGCCCATATGAAACTGACTTCCTCAAAATTAGGAGCACATTTAGATTTTTGGAATTTTAATTTTGAAACTCTGGGAGCAGTTTGAGATGCCATAATATGTGGGTGAAAACTAGAGAACACTTTTGGAAAAAAAAAATCAAATTGCTATGCTAATTAAAGCAAATCAAGTTATGATAAAGTTACAATTTACGGTAGGAACAGGGCTTCTGGATTGCTAGAAAGGAATCAGACGCAGCAGGCTTCCCTAAAGAATGGGCATTTTTCTTCTGATGAAAAAAAATGGATATTATACAGAAGAGGAACTTCTTTAATAGACTAATAAAAAACAACACACATGCTTACTTAAAATTAAAAGATGCAGAATTTAGATTAGATTCCAAACAGATAGAGTGAATCTTTCAAAGTACCTGACTCCCCATAAACACACATAAATAGAAGACACTCAGCCTACCCTGGTAACCTGTCAGCCATGTCCAACAAGATGCTCCTCCATTCTGTTTGCTGGAAGCACCAGATATGGGCTGTTCCATCTCTGCTGCCACTTATGAACCTTGAAATAATTGTAAAAGATGTTATCTAGTACACAAAAGCAGATATTCACAGTATTTCGAATTAAAAATGCACCCATCCAGAGTTCTGGGGGCATAAACACAAGGTTAAATAAAACCTACAAAATGGAATAACGACCAAAACAAGTTATCTTTCCAACCCAGGCTTAGACTCTCCAACAACCCAAACTCAGATTTCTTTCCCAAAGAAAGCCAAAGAAAAAGATGAGCTTTCTATGTAAGCACAAGGTCAACAAATTTGAGAACCAGCAAAACAACAGGAAAGCAAGTTCTGAGTTAAGGACTCTTCATGAAAAACCTGTCTCCAGGTCCTTCCTTATTAAATCAAAACCCTTAGCTCAAATGCTATGGCATCAGACAGAGAAGGGAAGCCTGAGATATCCAGGATGCAATCCATATAGGGCTTTACAGATCAAAAATCATATTTTAAAATTGCACTGGGAAAGAAATTGCAACAAAGGGTAGATTTATGCCTGAGCTCCATCCATATCCTGCACAAGAAGCATGGCTAAGCAAGAAAGCAGTCATACTTTTTACAGATTATAATTTATGGATTGCATAAAATAGTAGCCCCACGTAGACAGCACTAGATTACTGCAATATGAAAGTGCCAAAGACAAGGTTACTGTAGAAAGAGCCATATTTAGAAGGAAAAACTGCAACCTCCAGGCCAGATGTAGATTACAAAAGCATTCTTAGTCACTTATCTAGGTCTCCAGTAAAAACCAGAAGTATGCAATTTATGGTTCCAGTTGCAAATATACCAGGAGAACTAAAGGACACAAATATTTTTTTGATTTATCAATATGCCACTCAGTTATGGTCTTGGATCTTTTCTGCATTTAATAACATCATACCCATTCATTTTAATATAATAGCAGCAGTTAGGGTGTTTTTCATGCAGCCACACTTTTTTGTAAAATCCATTTTCTACAAAACCATACTTGAAGAAAAAAGTTTAAAATGATTTCATACAATTTTGTTACAGAAATCCCTGTTTCCAGACCCTGCTTTCATTTCCTGATCAAAGCACATTGTAAAATTAGGGTGGTTTGCTGAATCCACTAGCAAAAGAAAACAGCTGAGCAGACAGCAGTGCCGTGTCACAGAAATACTTGGCACACTTCATCAAATAAGTCCATTTCTTAGATTGTAAATTCCTTGGTGCAAGAAAAAACAACGGTTACTCACTTCTCGTAACTGTTGTTCGAGATGTCTTGTTCATGTCCATTCCAATCAGGTGTGTGCGTGCAACGATGGCCGGAAGATTTTTCTCCTAGCAGCAGCCATCGGGTTGGCCTGGGTGCCCCCAGGAGTTGCGCCTTCATGGCGCTCAATACAAAGCCCTACTGACCCGGCACCCCTTCAGTTCCTGCTTGCCGGCTACTCTGACAGAGGGGTAAGAGGGTGGGTATTGGAATGGACATGAACAACATCTTGAAGAACAGTTATGAGACGTGAGAAACAGTTTTTTCTTCTTTCAGTGCTTGTTCACATCCATTCCAATCAGGTGACTCCCAAGCCAAGTTCGGGGGGGGGGGGGGCTGGAGCTGTCCACTGATTGGAGTACTGCTCTTCCGAAGGCCGCATCATCTCTGGCCTGCTGGGTAATCGCATAATGCGTGGCGAAAGTGTGTATGGAGAACCACGTCCCCACTCTACAGATTTCCTGGGTGGGAACTTGAGCCAGGAATGCTGTAGATGAAGCCTGCGCCCTGGCAGAGTGTACAGTGATCGGAGGTACAGCAACACATGCGAGGTCGTAGCACTCATGGATACAGGACACAATCCATGAAGAGATGTGTTGGGATGAAACCAGCTGACTTTCATCCTGTCCGCCACTGCCACGAACAACTGGACTGACTTTCTGAACGCTTTCGTCCTCTCGATGTAAAGGGTCAGCACCCTGCACTCTGCTCCCCGGCATTGGAATGAGGTTTACGGTAGAAAACGGTAGAAAACCAGGTTTACAGTAGAAAACCAGGTTTACAGGTTTCTACCGTAGGTTTACGGTAGAAAACCAGGAAGATGATGTCCTGGTTGATGTGAAACTGCGACACAACCTTCGGGAGGAAAGCAGGGTGAGACCTGAGCTGAATCTTGTCCTTAAAGAACATGGTGTAGAGAGGATCTGATGTCAAGGCTCTGAGCTCAGACACCTGAGGTTATTGCTACCAGGAACGCGACCTTGTAGGAGAGGTAGAGCAGGGAGCATGTTGCTAAAGGCTCAAAGGGGGACCCAATGAGCCTAGAAAGGAACAAGTTGAGGTCCCAGGCAGGGAGCGGTTGACAGACGTGAGGGTATAAGCTGTCGAGCCCCTTTAGGAATTGGCTGACCATGGGGTTAGCAAACACCAAGCGGCCCTGCACACCCAGGAGGAAAGCCAAGATGGTGGCTAGGTGCACCTGTATAGAAGGCAATGAGAGACCCTCCTGCTTCAGATGAAGGAGATAGTCTAGAACGTGCGGCAATGAAGCCAGCATCGGGGGCAAACGGCACTGCGCCAACCAGACTGAAAATTTCTTCCACTTGGCAAGGTATATGGCTCTTGTAGAGGGTTTCCTACTACCAAGGAGGACCTGTCTAACCTGGTCTGAACAGGAAAGGCTCCAATGGATTTAACCATTGAGCTCCCACACCATAAGATGGAGCGACTGGAAGTTGGGGTGTTGGAGACGTCCGCGTTCTTGTGTGAGAAGGTCTGGGGAGAGCAGCAAAGTAATCAGGGCTCCCACGGACATGTCTAGGAGGGAACTGAACCAGTGCTGATGGGGCCAGGCCAGTGCTATCAGTATGACCAGAGCTTGATCTCTGCGGATCTTGAGCAGCACCTTGTGAATGAGCAGTATGGGTGGAAAGGCGTATAGGAGAGAACCTCCCCAGTGGAGGAAGAATGCATCCGTTGCGGAGCCCAGGCTGTGAATTTGGAAGGAGCAGAACTGCTGGCTCTTCCTGTCGCGTCACATGGCAAAGAAGTCTACTAGGGAAAACCCCCACCACTAGGGGATTGAAATTGCGATGTCCGGGTGAAGGGACCACTCATGGCTGTGGAACGACCTGCTGAGGTGGTCCGCCAGCTCGTTCTGAATCCTGAGGAGGTACGAAGCCTGCAGGTGAATGTTCTACACAAAAGTCCCATAGCATGAAGGCTTCTTGGCACAGGGGAGAGGAGCATGCACCCCCATTTGTTGATATAGAACATTGCTATTGTATTGTCCGTCATGACTAATACACATTGTCTGATTAGTAAGGACAGAATGTTTGACATGCTAGGCACACCGCTCTCAGCTCTGACACTGATGTGGAGACACAGATCTGCTTGAGACCAGAGGCCTTGAGTTACGCAGTCTCCCAGATGAGCTCCCCAGCCCAAGTCTGACGCATCCGTCACCAACAACGGACATGGCTGTGGGGCAACAAAGGGGACCCCTGAGCACACCTGCTGAGCATCGGTCCACCACCGAAGCGAGTCGAGGACCAGGCGAGGCAGGATCATGATCCTGTCCAAGCCGTCCCGGGCTGGACAATAGACTGACGCTAGCCACGACTGGAGCAGTCGAAGCTGAGTCTGCTGTGCCACACCACATAGGTACAGGCCGCCATGTGCCTAAGAAGTTTCAGACAGTTTCATGCCGGAGTGGTGTGGAAATGCATGATGCCCTGGATTACGCTGCTGAAGGCCTGAAACCTCGCCTGTGGCATGTATGCCTTGGCTTGGGTTGAGTCCAGTACTGCCCCTATGAACTCTATCCTCTGGACAGGAGACAGTCTATTTTGCTTCGTTTAGGAGTAGATCCAGGCTCTCGAAGGTGGCTCTGATAAATGTGACCTGAATTTTCACTTGGGTCCTGGAGCAGACTGATCAGCCAGTTGTTGCGGTATGCAAACACCTGTACCTGGTGCCTCCACAAGAACGCGGTGATGACTGCCATGCACTTGGTGAATACTTGACGTGCCTCTGACAGGCTGAACGTGCGGACAGTAAATTGTTTGTGGGTACCATTGACCACAAACCTGAGGTACTTCCTCTGGGTCTGAGTGATTGCAATGTGAAAGTACGCGTCCTTCAAGTTGAGCGTGGCATACCAATCTGCTGGATCTAGTGAGGGGATGAAGGAGGCCAAGGAGACAATGCAGAACCAGAGTTTCTTCACGAACTTGTTGAGCTCTCGCAGGTCAAAGATATGCCTGAGGCCACCTTTGGCTTTCGGTATTAGGAAATACCGGGAATAGAAGCCCTTGCCCCTGTGCTCCAGAGGAACCTCCTCCACTGCCCCTAGTGATAGGAGTAACTGCACCTCCTGGATGAGTAGATGCTCATCAGAAGGGTCCCTGAAGAGGGACAGGGAAGGGGGGTGGAAAGGCACAGAATTGGATGGAGTATCCCCTCTCTATCGGGCAGAGCACCCAGCAGTCTGAGGTGATACGGGACCATGCACGGTAGAAAGGGGATAGTCCAGAGGAAAAAGTAAGGCGGAGTAGATGCAGTCTCTGATCTGGTGCGCTGTCCTTGACTGCACCTTCAAAAGGCTGGTTTAGGGCCAGAGGGCATCTTGGGCTGGCCAGAGCCCTGACCTAAGGTTGGGTGTTGCCTCCTCCTCCAAGAACCGTCCTGTCGGTTCTGCTGATGGAATCTCGGAGGAGGTTGCAGTTGGAAGTGTCTCCGCCATGTGGCTGGAGTGTGCAGACCCAAAGACTTGAGGGTGGCTCGTGAGTCTTTCAGGCTGCGCAGCCTCTTTTGAAAGACGGACAAGAGAAGAGTCTCACCCTTAAATGGGAGGTCCTGAATGGTCTACTGGTCTACTCCTAAGGGAGCCCAGAGACTTGTAGCCATGAGCCTAGTGGCAGCATCTGCAACATCCAATGCAACCTGGAGGCAAGCACGGGAGACTCGATTCCCATCCTACTCCAAAGCCGAGAACTTGGTTCGGTAGTCTGAAGGGAGGAGCTCAGTAAATTTAGCCATCACTGCACAGGTGTTGTTCATGTACCTGCACCTGCTGACAATGGCCTGTTGGTTCGAGATATGGAGCTGCAGACCCCCTGTAGAATAGAATTTCTCCCAACAAGGTCTAGACACTTAGCCTCCCTGTTTTTTGGGGAGGGCCCTTGAAAGCCCTGTCTCACACTGGTTAGCAGCATCCACAACAAGAGAGTCAGGGGGTGGGTGGAAGTAGAAATGTCCGAGCCCTTGTGGAGGGAATGAAATAATGCCTCTCATTGTGCTTGGGTCTGCCACAGGGTCTTGGTGGTGTCCACAATCAATACGGGAAGGCCCTGAGGGTGCAAGGATGTCCACCACAGGATCAGCCTCCTTGACTACCTCCTCGGTCTTAATGCCCAGACCCTGAGTGGCCCTGCACAGCAACTGCTGCAGCACCCTGTTGTCCTCAAGCGCAGGAGTTATGACGGTACCCACCAATGCTTCATCCAGTAATGAAGAGGAAGAAGCGTTCAAAATGAGCGGATGCTCCCTGCCATCTGCCCCAGGGATCCCCCGAGACTCTAGGGGCAGCATTGGTGCTAAGGGTGCAGCCGACGGTGCCAGAGCTGCAGATGACAGACCAAGAGTTGGCGCAGCCATCAGTATGATAGGAGGAACCGAAGGAGCCAGCGCCAATCCGCTCACAGGCACCGAGGAAGGCGGAGGGCCCAACGTCGACGCTGCTGGTGCCTGCGTCGTAGTTGACAATGGTGCCGGCGTGGGAGACAGTGTGAGGACGCTGGCAGAACCAAGTGAGAACCAAGCACAGTGCCGGAGTCAACGATGGTGCCGCTGTCAGAGGCGTTGGTGTGTGGGCAGGTGCCGAGGGCAGACATGTAGCTGATGGCGTGACAAAGGTGGCTGAAGCCACAGAAGACATCATGGAGCTGTGACCTTGGATTCCTCCCTGTGCTTGGTGAAAAGCCCAGGGTGTCCAGAAGGGCCACTGAGGCGGGTTCTGCCATCGCAGAGGCCACACCTGGGGCTCGCTCCTGTCTCTCCCAGACCTCAATCTGCAGTTCCTGCTTCTCCTGGAGTGATAGGAGTCAGACTCTGACTCCAAGGTCTCTGAGACTGAAGACCACGGAGGAGCCAAGCCTCGGTGCCTTGAGCGTCAAGAGCTCGGTTGAGTGGGTAGGCTCTCTGTCCAAGTGAGCCGGCGCTGAGGGACATAGCGATGGGGAGCACCTCGACATCATAGCCGGCTTCCCTCCTGATTGCACCAGGGGGCTGGGGCAGGTCCACCAGCACTGAAGGTTCTTCCCTCCTGGAGGGCGAGAACAGAACCGTAAGGTGCAGGAGGTCCTGAGCGGCTTGGTAAGCCTCCGACATTGAAGGGAGCTGTAGCTGCTGTGTAGGGAGCGGCGCCTGGGGGGGTCAGGATTCGACACAGCCCCAGCAGGGGATCCAGAACTGTGGCCCACCTGGGGTCTCACATCTCTGGGTTTGGCCGTAGGAGAGCGGCTGTCCAGTTTCTTTTTCTTCTGAGGCACCAGCGAGTGGGATCGGTACTTGCTGTCAGCTGGGCCTCGCGAGGTGCCATGGCGGTGCCAAGCATCTCGAGAGGAGTCCTTTCTCGGCACTGAGCCTGACAACGGTGCGGGGGAGCTCCACGTCAAAGACTAAGCGTTAGAGGCCAGGTCCCCTGAGCCCAGGTCGGAGTGAGGGCGTAGGCTGCCTCCACTAGGATCACCTTCAGCTGCTGTTTCCTTTCTTTAAGAGTTCTAGGGTGATCTTACATGGCAGATCTTACAGCTATCCTTTTGGTGTCCCTCCCCTAGGCACTGTAAACATGAGGAGTGTGGATTGCTCTTTGGCATGTGCTTTGCGCACGCCACACAGTTTTTAAACCCCAGGGACCGCAGCATGCCACTGCTCTGGGGAGGCGGGATGGGGGGGAACCCCCAACAACTCTATGCTAAGAACTCTAAGACTAAGGTAACTATATACAATGAGTAGAGAACGTGCTTGCTAAGCAAGAGTTAAGTTCCAGCCAACTGTCACTGGCGGTAAGAAGGAACTGAAGGGGTGACAGGGCTCTATATTAAGCGCCATGAAGGCGTGACTCCAGGGTGCACTCAGGCCGACCCAGTGGATGCTGCTAGGGGAAAAATCTTCTGGCCATCATGCATGTGTGCACACACACACCTGACTGGAGTGGAGTGGACATGAACAAGCACTCAAAGAGAAACTGAATCTATCTTTGTCTCTGTACAGCACAAAGTACAAGGGGGTCCAAACACTTTGACGGCCCTATGGGCATTATGATAACATTAAATAGTTTCTTCCTACTACTTCCTTTCCCTGAAGCCTTAGATCCAAGTAGGGGGCTCTTAGTGGATATGATGCAGAGGTGTAGCGTTCCTCGCATCCGACATGGAAAAAGGGTAACACTGGAACTGATAAGCAGGCTAAATGGAGAGTATGCCCTGCAAGACTGGATTATGCATTGGGAAACTGATGGCTCAGATGAGGGGAAGAGAAGGTGCCCTGTGATGTAACTGACACTAGCAGGATGCACAGCACATTTCTAGCTGTGGGAAGAGAAGCGGGTACCAGAAAGTGTGTGTAGCAAGGGTGGGGGGAGAGTGAGAGGGGATCTTGGCAGTGTCAAAGGATGAGCCATCTACTGTGAGGACCCCCAGTAGCAGAAGCTAGCAAATCAAAGGTGTCTTCCCTTCTCCTGTTACATCACACCCAATATTCAAGATCTCTCTCCAACAAGCTACCAGAAAGCCAGTTAAAACAAAACACCATAAAAACCGCACAAAAAACGGGGAAAAAAAAAGCAGCTTTAGAGAAATCTTAAATGTGACTAGAAGGATAGATCAACCTGGACAATCCAGACAGGGTCCTTTGCTTAAATATATGCACTGTTGCCTTGTAAGTTTTATGGGTGTGGTTTTTAAAACTGCTCAGCATCAGTTAACTCTGCTCCCATTTAAGACCACATGAATTTTACCATTGCCTTAAATGGAAGAAGCAGAGTTAGGCCAGCGTTTAGTGCTTTGAAAAGCCCACCCTTAATTCTTATTAGAAATATGACAACACTTTCCTATATAGTTAAAAAAAATCAGCTTATCCAAATAGAAGGTATGTTAAAATATTCACAGGGAACAAAAGCACAGAGCTGAAACTAAAGTGAACACTGCACTCTAGAGAAACGTAGACCATCCTTCAAATTATAGCTGTATCAGATTTTCTTAGCTGAGCACTCCATATGAGTGCAACAGTAGGTATTTAATGCCAAAACATTTAAAGGACATATTTACATTTTGAGTCTTGCAACATACCTATCACCGCTGTTCGAAAACTGAAGGCTGTCCACTTTGTCCTGCAAAAGAAAAGTTTTTAAGAGAGGTTAGAAGTTAATTTTTAATCAGGAACTTAATTTCTTTTAGAAAAATGTACATAGCCTTCTTTACAAAAGACGTTAACATACAGGATCAGAAAAAAGTATTAGCCAAGTCCCAGAGAATGTGATCTCTTTTGCAACACTGCAGAAAACTCTCCCATTTCAGAACAATTTTGATTAAAGTTTCACAGTACAGAATATTTTTGATACTAACTGGTACATATAATTGAAAGGTCAGCAGATCCCTATACAATGATCTTAGTAGAATTTGCTAAGATTCTGACCCTAAATTTAAATTGCAACTTTTAAAAGAATGGTCCACTTTTTAAACTCATCTTGCTAACATACTTGGAATGAATTTGTGAAACTTTGCAGACACATCAATAAGTAGCTTTCCATTAGTAACTAGGCACTTAAATTTGAATTTGGACTTTCACTGTCCTAAGCAAGTTAGAATCTAGAGGAACTGGTTTCTACAGCAAAACTGTATTTGCGCAGAGTAAGCAAGTTTCCCCCCACTCCAAACACACAAAATAGTTAGCTATTCATATTCATCAAGATAAAATGAATGGGCAAGGAGATGATGTACCCACACCAGAAAATTTGCGAGTTTTGGAAGTCTTCTCTAAAGGTAATGATCAACACTCCAACTCTTATCACCTCCCAAAACATATAATTAAAATGAGGAAGTTAAAGTATTATTTGGAAAGAAAGCAACTGAAACAGGGATATAAGAAAGACAGTCAGTATTTAAAAAGCCATCAATAACGCTTGGGAAAAAAATTTAACCACCACATTTAGACCACACATAGTTACAGATAAAATGTAATTCTCATACATCTTTGACAGCCTTTCTTACACTCTGACCACTAGTGCATCACAACTGACACCCATTCTAACATTTAAAACTTCTAAACAACTTCAATCATTTAAAAAAAAAATAACCTGCCAGAAGAGTGTTCTTTTCTCCTTGGCCTAAATATAGAATCCTCTCCACAAACCACACCTGCCCATGGCCCACGACATGCACTACCCCATCCTGCACAACTGATAAGTTTCTTTTTAGCATATTTAAACTTATGAGCTCTGGAAATATGATTTTTACACTTTAAGTGAATACACCACTTCCTAACAAGACAATTCTTGTTTCTAACCCTGAAAATTACCAAGGTAACTGCCTCTAAAACTGACATGTAGGAGGTGTTTTAAACATATTTAAGAGATACAAAACTATCAGAGTCCTGTACAGCTGGACTCATGGTGCTAAAGGTGCCTTACTTCACAGGCAAATGATACATAAAAAATTTAAAAACTCAAACGCTATTTTATTAAGCATGTGGTACACATTATATACCACACCTTCATGTATTAAGGTTTATTGGCACACAAGTAATGTAACCATCCCCAATTCATACTGATAAAACTGTGGTCCTATGGAATTAGGAGTTACCTGCCCCTCCACCCCCACTCATTCTCTCTACGGATTTTTTTTTAAGTCAGCATGCTTGCTGGTCTACATTCCTCTAATGCTTCTGCACCCATAATAGAAGGTAGATATCTGGTTCCTACAGGAGATGAGCAATAAACAGGGGAGGAACACTAAATCAAGTTACCAAATAAGGCAGTAATAACAGTTACAAGAACCAAAGGAGAGAAGCTAAGTTTTTATGGTATTGGAGAGGACCCAAGATCACAATGTCTATAAACACAAAGGGTCAAATTCTCTCACACTAAGGCCTCCTTTTACAGTTCTGCAAGTGTGAAGTAAGGGTAAATGTAATTTATTCTTGCTTTAAGGCTCCTTTACACTTCCAGAGCAGTATAAATGTGAATCAGGCCCCAGAGAACATCTATAAAGGAAGGATTTTTTTTTTTTTTTTTAAAGCATGGAACATGTTAGAAAATACTTAGGCTAGCCATTAAGTTATTAATTGTAGGAGCAATTGAAGAGAAAATTGGGCACCATCACTGAAGATACTCAGTCGGTTACATAAGCCATTAGGGAAAGCAATGTTGGGAGCAGTCCTGTCAAATACAAAGAATCAAACTAATGCAACTCAAGTGGCCTTTAGTGATCCTAGTACTTATGTTGTAAGAAGAAATATTTATTGAAAATAGTCATAAACTGTATTTCTGATCTAAAATAGTCACTGAATTTCAAATTATAGCATACAGTATTGCAAGATTAAATCCATAGGTGATAAATATAATCATTTTAGCATGTATAACCTATATTTATTAACGCATCACAAATGAAAGTACACACTTCTGTCTTGCATGTTTAAAAAGGGTTCTACTGTTAAACATGCAAGACAGAAGTGCGTACTTTCATTTGTGGTGCAGTAATAAATTGCATTTATACTGCTGTAGAAGTGTAAAAGAGCCTTAAAACAAGAACAAACATTTACCTTACTTCACACCTGCAGAACTGTATAAGGAGGCCTTAGCGTATGAAACATACCTAAAATAAAACATACTTAAAAGAACATCATTGTGATATGTTCCCTCAATTCATTTAACCCATATAAAGTGTTTCAAGTTACCGTCACTTAAAATTTTGCATACTGGTGTGAAAATCTAATCCAGAAAACTTTTAAAGCCATATCTAGAATGCTGCTAGAAGCCCCAACACAGTTCTTTAAGTATTTTAAATAGGTGACTTGTAGATTTAACAATCTTACTTACAGCATGGCTTTCCAGTTCAGCTATTTTTTCAGGTGTTTCAGAGCCAAAAAAATACATCCTGATAACATGATCTGTACTGCCTGTTGCTAGAAATGTACCACCTGAAAATTCAAACAGTAATTAAAAAGCTGACACAGATAAGAATTTTAATTTGTTACAATATCAGGTAGAACATGATAGATTAAAATTCTGACAAATGTCAAATTTCTTGCTGTTTTCCCACCACTATACAAAGGTGGAGTGAAAATTCATTTTTTTTAAAAATCCTTTTTAGCCATAAATAATAAAAAAGTAAAATCACTACATTTTAGTATGAAAGATTAAAGGAAACAATAATAATGAGAACTTTCTAAAACAAGGTTGCAGTTAAAATTATATACTGTTTTTAGAGTAGAAAGACTTCTCCATACTTCAAAAGAGTGTGTTACACTGGCAATTTTTCACTGGAAATATCCACATATTGTAAACGAAATTAAGGGTCAAGCGGAGAGATTTTATAGCAGGGAAACAGTAAAAGAGTGAAAAAAATCCAGACAACACATTTTTCATTCTCCTGCTTTTATTTATAAAGGATTCATCCAATCACTGGGAACTGAAGGAAGCATAGTCAAAACATACAAGACATTAAGCCATGTGCAAAGTGCATGCAAAGCCAATAAATTCACATTACACATTTTAAATATACTGTTGCCCCTTATAAGTATGCTGGTCAATTTCAGGGCCTTATAGCTGGTCAGTTTTGGTTACTGGAGAAAAACTGATAGGACCTCACACTGTGTATTTTATTTACATTATGTACATGTATCCTGTTTCTCTTAACACAGATGAATCTAACTCCAGAAACCCCAGCTCAGTCACCATCTGGAACAGCTACCTTCAGCGCTGTCCCCCCAGGTCTCCAACGGTCCTCTTAAGGGCTACAGAGCCTTCCCCAGCCCCGATGAGCTATCACCCTCCAATCACAAGCCAGAAAGGCAGCAGCAGATCTGTCACAATACCTTCAGCCAACCTACTGTTTTTGTGATAGATCTTCAGAGCATTACTGAACGCACAGAGCACATATATAACACACACACACACACACACACACACACCCTGAAAATGCAAGAGATCATGTAGTTCTCTAGATTGGAGGTATCGACAGGGCGTATCAGACATGTTCTATAATGTCATGTAAGAGCCCAACATTATATTTACACTACACTCTTGTTGCCCAACTAGGAAGAGTGCTCCAGAAGTAGCTGATGTGCTCAGCACAGGAGAGGGCAAAGTAGCTTACAACTGGACCTTGCAACAAGTTCTTTGTTAAGAAAATCTTTGTCCATTCTTTCCCAGATGCTGAACGTTACCCATCTGCTGGCCTGATCGGCTGTCCCGGAAGATGCCCTACCTGCCCGGAGCCTGCATCCTAGGTGTTATGGAAAGTTTGCGAGGTTCATCTGTCTCTGACGACTACCCCATGCTGCTCATCCACATAGACACTTATGATACTGCCAGGTATGACCCCAATCAGATCAGCAATGACTGCAGGGATCTGGGAGCAAGTCTGAAGGAGTCAGGGGTGTAGATTCAGATATTATGGAAAACCTAACTATAAGATTTGTTAAGCATTGGAAGAGGCTTCTGCAGGAGGTTGACAGGGATTGCACACTGGAGGTTTTTAAAAACAGGTTGGACAAACACCTGTCAGGGATGGTCTAGGCATGCCTCGGGGCAGGGGGCTGGACTAGATAACCTCTAGGTCCATTCTAGCCCCTACATTTCTATGATTCTATAGAACAAGGCTTTGTAGGAAGAACAGGATAAAGTTATATGGATCCTTACATCCAATTCTGGAGTGTAAGGAGAGGAATTATAAGACTTATTACAAATGTAGGACAGTTGAAATTGACAGAATGTTTCTGTACATTAGTGGAAAAACCAATATCAACATGCATACAACTTACCAATGCTAAAAGAAGAACAAAGCATCTGAACTCCAGGCCTGGATTTCTCTGTAAACTTCACTGGCCGATTACTTTAAAAGAAAAAAGTTGCTGAAAAATCAGGACATGCAACGTAAAGATTAAAGGTTAACACAATCTTCCAAAATCTGAGTTCACATTGCCACAAACACATGCACAATCACCAATGTTAAGGAGCTAAAGTGTGTATGTTTTCTTTGTGAGAAGTCGGAATTACAGTAAGCTGTTTGATTTTTTTTTTTTTTTTTTAGGGCTGTTGATCTCATGCGATTAACAAAAAAATTAATCACAATTAATCCGTTAATCGCACTATTAAACAATAGCACACCAACTGAAATTTATGAAGTATTTTGGATGTTTTTCTACATTTTCATATAGTATTCTGTGTTGTAACTGAAATCAAAGTGTATACTGTTTATTACAAATATTTGCACTGTAAAAATAACAGTATTTTTCAATTAATCTCATACTAGTACTGTAGTGCAATCTCTTTGATGTGAAAGTGCAACTTACAAATGTAGATTTTTTTTTGTTACATAACTGCACTCAAACAAAACAATGTAAAACTTCAGAGCCTACAAGTCCACTCAGTCCTACTACTTATTCAGCCAATCGCTAAGAGAAACAAGTCTGTTTACATTTATGGGAAGATAATGCTGCCCACTTCTTATTTACTTCACCAGAAAGTGAGAACAGGCATTTGCATAGTACTTTTGTAGCCGGCATTGCAAGGTATTTACGTGTCAGATATGCTAAAAATTTGTAGGCCCCTTCATGCTTCAGCCACCATTCCAAAGGACATGCTTCCATGCTGATTACGCTCGGTAAAAAAATAATGCGCTAATTAAATTTGTGACTGAATTCCTTGCAGGAGAATTGTACATCCCCCATTCTATTTTACCTGCATTCTGCCATATATTTCATGTTATAGCAGTCTCGGATGATGACCCAGCACATGTTGTTCATTTTAAGAACATTTTCATGGCACATCTGAGAAAACGCAAAGAAGGTACCAATGTAAGATTTTTAAGGACAGCTACAGCACTTGACCCAAGATTTAAGAATCTGAAGTGCCGTCCAAAATCCGAGAAGGACGACATGTGGAGCACGCTTTCAGAAGTCTCTGAAGAGCAACACTCCACTGCAGAAACTACAGAATCCGAACTACCAAAAAAGTAAATCAACCTTCTGCTAGAGGCATCTGACTCAGATAATGAAAATGAACATGCGTCAGTCTGCACTGCTTTGGATTTTTATCGAGCAGAACCCGTCATCAGCATGGACACATGTCCCCATGAATGGTGGTTGAAGCATGAAGGAACATATGAATCTTTAGTGCATCTGGCACATAAATATCTTGCGACGCCTGCTATAACAGTGCCATGAGAACGCCTGTTCTCACTTTCAGGTGACATTGTAAACAAGAAGCGGGCAGCATTATTTTCTGCCAATGTAAACAAACTTGTTTGTCTGAGCGATTGGCTGAACGAGAATTAGGACTGAGGACTTGCAGGCTCTAAAGTTTTACATTGTTTTATTTCTGAATGCAGGTTTTTTTGTACATAATTCTACATTTGTAGTTCAACTTTCATGATAAAGAGATTGCTCTACAGTACTTGTACTAGGTGAATTGAAAACTACTATTTCTCTTGTTTTTATATAATGCAAATACTTGTAATAAAAAATATAGTGAGCACTGTACTCTTTGTATTCTGTATTGTAATTTAAATCATTATATTTGAAAATGTAGAATATCCAAAAATACTTAAATAAATGGTATTCTATTGTTGTTTAATTGCACGATTAATCAGATTAATTGCTTGACAGTCCTATTTTTTTTAAATATATTCATAAATTTATGAATACACAGCCTAAAATAGCAGAGGTAATATGGAATTCCCCACAGTTTGGGTTCTCTCTCCTTTGCAAATCTGATTTACACACTCCATGACATATCCAGTAAGTGCTATGCTGGTGACATTGTACCAAGTGTGGAGCTTGGCCTACAAGGGTAAGGTATGTCTCAGGATTCTGCAGCTTCATGTAATTTTATGAGGTATAAAACAGATTTAAAAATCAAAGTTTTGTAAAGATATGCAACTGTTGAGTAAAAAGCTTGGTTTCATGCTCTGTGATGATGCAATGTCACCAGCTAAGCATGTGTTGCAATCACTCATGGAACAGATACTGATAAACATGGATCTGGGAGAGATGAAAAGGTAAGATTTTAAAAAGTCCATTATATGCCCAACTTTGTCAACTAAGAAAAAAATCCTACAACTGAAAGGCTGTTCTACTCCAAAAATTAACTGTAAAAATGGCATTATAGGTTTCCATGCTAAATACCTTAATGACTTCCAGAACACATGTATTTTGTTTACAAAACCCCCTCATATTATAAGGCAAGAATTGTGTCTTATGTTTGTACATCACCCAGCACAATGGGGGCCAAATCCTCATTGGGGATTTTGGACACAATAATATTAAATGTAAAGTGCTTTGAGATCTACAGTTGAAATGCACTATAGAAGTAAATATTACTTGTATATATTTTTTAAACTTATTTTTTTAACTACTAGCCCTATAAACTAAAACTGGGAACAGAGAGTGAACCTGGGACTCTTCTGTGTCATGTATCATTAAAAAGCTCTTTGGGCCAAATTATGCCTTAGTAACACCTTTGCAACTACACTGCTTTCACTGGCACAGGCGTAAGTGATTTCTTTTCACAATCTGAATTACAGACTTTTTTGCTCAAGTATTGGAAGTTTCCACATTAGACATACTGGAACAGTTCAACAAATTTGAGTATTCTGTATTAGATATTATGAACACTTCCATGGAAAAATATTAAATATATTCTGATCATGGATTCCTGCTTAGTACTAGGAATAGCCTAATTACTAATTTAGTAAAAAAATTGCATATCAAAACAGTAAATTGTGGCAGTTATGAATTGAATGACAGCAGCATCTTTTAAATACATTTTTACACACAAGTTTCATGAAATGAACAAAAGTAATGGATCCCAGAACAACAGGACTGTCAAACTCAAAGACAGCAAAAATACCTTTACGATATGGGTCTAATATACTAAGATTTTCAATTTTACTTTTCCCACAGCATTTCTGATGTCGTAAGAAGCTAGTGAATTGGTTTGTTTGTTCCTCCGGACAATGAATCAATCACAATTTTGTAATGAATGCAGTGTGTAATGGCACTTAAAATATTCTGTAGGCTGTTGTGTGGGATATTAAGCTTTCTGTGTATAAACATCAAAAGATTATTTATACGTAACAAGTCAATTTACACCCCCCAAAATAACTGCCATCTTGTAATCAAGAAAGGAGAGACGACATTTGAAGAGCTCAACAGCAACCCACTTACATACCTGAATTTCATGGAATCTGCATCCCATTGCCAAAAGCAAACTGTTCCATCTGCACCAGTAGATACCATGTAGCGCATGGAGCCTTTGACCATTGGACTAAACTAAAATTAAAGCCATACACAGGAAATGTTAAAATAAAAACTTGCCAACTTTTTCTTTTTAATGACAATGTTCCCTGTTTGAAATTATTTTATAAGGAAATAAGTTAACTTTTTACAAATTCATATAATTTTTTTAAATTATTCTAGATTCTAATGAACTATGGGAACAGTTGAAATTCAACTGTTGACACAAACAAAGTTATAGGTCCTGAAATCAAAGGTTTGCGTCTTAAATTCCCTTTTTAAGTTGGGTTTATCTTGTGTATTCCAGCCATGACTATATTTAAAAAGAAAAAAAAGAGGCAAGTGCAGGAGATGTTTTACTCCTTTTAAAAAAAAAACTCAATTGACTGTCGCAGTTCACTGAAAATTTGTCAGTGAATCATTCTAGGTAGCAAACACAGAATTCTAAAGACAGTGGAGGAAATCTGCACTCAGCAGGTACTTGTTATAAATTCTGTTTTAACCAGGTCACACAAACTCGCATTGTTTAACCATTTACAGGTACTTGCTCTGTACATGTAAGTTCACATACTGATGTTTTTCTTTAAGGATTCTGATTCAAAGCTACACAGGTGGCTACCTATTTAAAAATAGCTACACAGGAGATGTGAAAAGCAACATACATAGTGGTTAACTTTTTTCAACTCTTCCCAACACCAAAAACCTTTTGTAATTTTGTAAAAGTAGCATTAAAATTACAAAGCTTAGCTACAGCCAACAAGAAAATTCAACACAACTGTCTCAGGTACAAATACTCAACAAGTCCACCAGCCTACTCGCATTCTGCATTTTAAAAGTCAGGGATAATGGGTGCTGAGACAAAGCCATGCTTACAAGCACCACAAACTGTGCAGGAATGAAAAGGAACCTCAACTCCAGAGTGCTGTAGGGAAACAGAATTGGGTGAAAGAGAGCTCATCTTCTACTGATTTCTGAAAGACAAGGGGGTGGTAAAGATGCCAGCCTTCCACTTCTCTCTCCCAAACCAACTTGCACTGGTGGCAAATTGTATACATTTTCTAATAAATAACCTGCTGTATGATTTGTTAAAAGTGGAATTACAAGGTCCTAAAATATGCAAAGTTTGGAAGACCATGATTAACACACAGCACTCACATTAAAGTACATTATATATTGAAACTAGAGAGTGGATTACCTACTACGCACAACAGAACATACAGAACACACTTGTGCATGGTTTGTTCCCAAAATAAGAGTCCTATGGTTGCATGTTTTAAGGTAAAGTCAGAAACTGTGGATTGCTGTTTCTCAAGCTTAGGGTGTTTTTCTTAACACATTATCAAATCAATTTAATTCTGAAATATAAAGTAAGTTTAAAATAAATTAATATTAAACCTGAGAAATAGTTCTTTGAAAGGAATATTCCGAACATCCTAACATACAAGTGGGATGTGAAACTGATTAGTCTATTTTTACTCTAAACTGAGAGAAATGGAAACAATGTAAGTGACAAGAGTAGATTAGATATTTTAAAGTATTGATTTTAATAATTTATGTTGACATAGAACAGTTAAGGTAGCATGTTTTCGTGCGTATAGGAGTTTTATTTTTGTTTTGTATCCTTCAGTATTAATATATTTTCTTTTAAATGAAATATGTAAATTTTATCCTAATATGGTCCTTTTATTAAAAAAGAATCAAAACTATTCTTAACTTTAGGCACCTATAATTTTGAAAATTCTGACCTTAGTAAATGTCAATACCAAACATACAGTTTGAAAGAAAATTCAGTCATGTCAAAGCCACAAAGTTTAAAATAACTTGCCACATTTACCTACCACTCTACTGCCGCTCCCCCTCCAACCTATCAGAACTTCAATTTGCTGTAAAATTTTTACTGGTTAGGAGTTATTTGTCTCAAAATACAAAAGTAGTAACTAATTTTCACTGTCAGAGGGTATTAACATAACAGAGCCATTAAATCCAGGCTCTTATCACATGGGCAGCAGAATTTCCCTAGACTTTGGCCACCAATTGAGAAAGTCAGGTACTTGTCCTCCTATAGGTTAGATAATCTTAGTGCATCCTATGACTAGTATAACTGCTATTACTGAATTAATTTCTCTTTAGCTTTCTTGACTCATGACACAAACACATCCCTGGTCATGTCTACATTAGAGGCATTACAGCAGCACAGACATAAAACTGAAGCTATTGTTACCTATCAGCTCTGTATTCTTGGGGAACCAGAGTGCAGTACCCAGCCTGTCTGACTCACAGAAGACCTTCCCCCTCCACCCAGCCTTTGCTTGAACCAAAGCAGATCAGAAGAAAGACTTACAAAAAGCAATGAAAAGGCAGTGGGGGAAGACAACTAAACTCCTCTGGACAAGGGTGACAGGATTAAGGAAACTCCCCTAGCCTCATTTGCATCAAAGATGGGACAGGGATGCATCTCCATTAGCATACAGAATGGAGAACCAAGATTTCCAGGCAAGAACCACACTGAACTATGGGACCAGAAAAGCAGGAAAGCACTGCATGATGGGGATCTCTGCTCCAGATGTTAATGAACCCACACCAGCACACACCCAGCTCAGTAGTTATCAGACCAATTGTACTAATAAATCCTTTAATGGTATCCAAAACATTGAAGCTGCCTAATTGCACTGTGGGCTCCCTGGAAGGAACATCGCCCATTGCCAGGAATGATCAGCTCCTATTGTCTAGCCTGAACAAAACAACTTTGGTATACTTCCTTGAGCCATCAGTTTACCCACAAACAAATCTAGTGTTCTCCCCTGAACCACTGTTCTTTCCCTACAAAAACCCCTACACATGCTCATGTGTTCTGATGCCTGGATCCAAAATCTGCATTAGATCCATGGGGACTGAATCTTCTCCTAACTGATCATGCTGTGGGCTCTGCAGGTCTCCAGCATTCCGGACCCTCAGCTACCACCACCACCTAGAAATCCTGATCGATTCAAGCTTCATGGAGTGATGAGAACCCAACTCTCTCTCTCTAGGTATAGCCTTCTGACCTTCACTTGTGTGATCAGTTATAGTTTTCTAAACCTGACTTATAATATTAAATCTAACTTAAATTTGATTATAAAACTGTTTTGTTTTTTTGGCTCCCCTATAGTTACCTGGCAATAAATAACTTTCATGGTTAAGCTGGCTGCTTCTCTCTCTCTCTTTCCCCTGCCCCGTGGGTGTTTTTTTGGCTTCCTGATTTGCTCTGCAGCAACCCTCCTCATACCTAAGATAAAGATCCCTGCAGTGCCCAAAAATCCTGTGTGGTTTGCTCATCAAGTAATGTGAAAGTGGGAATAGGGACGTGCTGAACCTTGGACATATGAGGGTGGTAACTTGCAAGTGCTGCTCGACCCAGTCTGCTAAGTCCAGGGGCATATAAGGGTGGCAGACTGAAAGTGCTGCTCGGCCCAGGCTGCTCAGGCATACTCTATTCCGGTGCAGTGCCCAGGGCATATGAGGGTGACACCTTGGAGGTGCTGTTGGACCCAGCCCGCTGAATCCAAGGGCCTTTGAGGGTGACAGCTTGGAAATGCTACTTGACTCAGCCTACTGAGTCCAGGGACATGTAAGGAGTTAGCTTGGGAGTGCTGATTAACCTGGTCCTCTCAGATGCGCTGTGTTAATGTGTGCAGGGTGTGTGTTCTCGTTCATCTGATTCTAGGGCTGGAAGAACCCCACCCTGGGGAACCTAGGTCCTGCAGGATAGCTCCATTGGGAGGGAACTTTCAGAAGAGAGAAGTAGAGCTCTGTATGAGAACACAAGTGACACAAGCAGTACATTGATAGAATTACAGAACCCCCCCACTCCCCCCGAAGAGAAACTCTAATAAATGAGCATACCCCAAAGTAACAGGTAAATCTGGTAACACCTTGCCACTCTAACGCTGCAGCATAGACACAGACTACAGTTACGGAATGGGTTTTTCCTGTCACTGTAAGAATTCCAACTTCCAAAGCAGCAGTAGCTGGGTCAGTGTAAAAGCTTTTTTTGGTTGACCTAGCTATGTCTACCCCAGGGATTAGGTTGGCACAGCTACGGTACTCAAGTGTAGATTTTTCCACACCCCTGAATGCCGTAGCTTTGTTGACCTAAGTTTTGAGGATAGATTTTTTGTGCAATTTATCTCAGATTTTGTTTACAGGTTTAGCCAGCCTAGTGCCTTCAAGTTTGCTTTTTTTATAAATGGAATTCTGTGATTTGAGAGCCACATGGGGCTGACTGGCTTCTCTCTTCACAAGACTTGTCTCTAAGGTGCCACAAGTACTCCTGTTCTTTTTGCAGATACAGACTAACACGACTGCTACTCTGTAACCTGTTTAATGTCTGAACTTCTTTGTTTGCTTTTTGAACATCTTGCATTTCAATTTATTGGAACACCTATAATATTTATATGTACTTTCCTCAAGTCAAGACCTTCACAGTATTTAAGCACTGCATGAATTTTTTTTAAAAAACACTATCATCAGCCAAAATTCTAGTGAGTTAGAAGTGTAGGGTGTATCAATCAGGTTGAGGCAAGAGAACAGCATAATAAATCTGACTCCTGAATGTTGTCTTTTACAGTATTGCTGTTTGTTTCTATTTGGACAATACTTTTCGCTTACACACCTTTGTCAAAAGAAGATACTGGATTTTTATTCAATACTACAATTCTTACTAACAGCAAAATAAAACCACAAGATCAAATAAAACACGTTGCTTTCTGTTTTACACTAAAAAACAGTCAATGGTTTTTACAATGATTTTGAAGGTATAAAACTAAACATCATTACGTTATTAGTATGTTTTAATGCTTATGTGCTATTAGATGTTAACACAAAGCTACTACACGAAGGATAGACATGCCCATTAATTAGAAATATACCTGTAAAGATGTAATGGATCCCGTGTGTCCCTGGAGCACAGCAACTGGTGCGCAAGTTCTCAGGCACCATACCCTGATCATTTTATCACAGCTTCCAGCTGCAATCATAGTGTTTTCATAATTCACAGCCATATCTGAAATCTCGGCTGAATGACCTCGTAGTGTGGCGAGCAAGCGGCCATTGTGAGTAGACCAAATTTTCACCAAGCAATCATCTGAACCCTAAGAAAAAACGGTTACAGAACCTGGCATAAGTTCAAGTTTATAAAATACTCAAGATACGGTCTGCTTCAGTTTTGTTTTTAAAGATGAACTCCATTCTGAGTATGGAAAATTAAGATTTTCTATTAAACCCTGCTTATGCTATTGGTATTTATGGAACCTAAATTTAGTCATATCGCATAGTGGCTCGAGTCACAAAAAGACATAGGCACTTTGCCATCCCTTGGAATCCACAGCCCTGAGTTAGGCACCTAGGCTGCTAATATAAAACAAGGGGAGAATTAAGCACCCAAGAATGGAATCCACAAAAACGAGCACACAGTGGAGAGCATCTTAAATTAGCCAATAGGAAATACTGAGAAGGATGTGAACTAAGCCCCACCCCTTTAATCGAATTAGGTATCTCTTTCTACTTGGGATTCTCACCCATGAACCTTCACCTGGAGTTAGGTGCCTAAACTGTTTTTTTCAAGAAACAGCCATGGAAAGAGGGAGGGAGGAGGAAGCAGCCTCCAACTTTTAGCCCAGTGGTTAGAGCACCCACCTGGGGTGTGTGGAAGACTCAGACTCAATTTCCCCCTCTGCCTAACACGGAGTAGGGACTTGAACTTGGATTTCCCACCTCTCAGGTGAGAGCCCTAGCCACTGGACTATAGAGTATTGTGGTGTGGGTCTCAATCTCTCCTGTTGAGACTATTCCATTGCGCATAAATAATTAAATATTCATTGAGCCAAAAAGAGAAGAAAAAAAATAAGTATAATCCAAGAGCTACGGCACTCACCTGAGAGGTAGGAAATCCAAGTTCAAATTTCTTTGCCACATCAGGTATAGGAGAGAAATGAACTAGGAACTCCCACATGCAATTGAGTGCCCTAGGCACTGGAATAAGATTATAAGAGAGGCTGCCTCCTTCTCCTCCCCCCGCCCCACCACTCCCTTCCAGCACTGACAGAGTGTTCTGGCAAGCTCTGAGAATAACTAGGTCAAGCCTCACAAGTGGGGCAACACCCAGTCTGAAGACCCTGCTGGGGTTTAGACAGGAGAGAGGCACAATGAGTGTGTGCATACTCATTAGCAGAAACCTAGGCATCTAAGGGACACTGCTGGTGGGAACTCAGAGACACTGAGGAATTTTAGACATCAGTTGAGCAGAGGTTTTGAGGATCTCAGTGGTGTCTAAATGTTGGATTTAGGTATCTAGCTTCCATTTTAGCTGCTTAAATTATTTTGTTACTCTAGCCCTAAGTGGAAAAAAGTTAGTTTCAGCCTGTTTGATGACACAAAAGCGATCCCTTGTTATTTTGGCTTACTCTGAAGTTCACAGTACCTAGTTTCATCCAAATAGATAACAGCAGTTTCTGATATCAAACACAAGCAGAAGACATTTGAAATTACATCAAAATAATTGGACTTTTTGTTAATTTTCCCTCCATTACCAAATCCCCAAAATAATGGCTATTAAACAAAAGCTCTGTCCCATAAAACCAGCCGCCTTCTCCACTATTCACAAACATGCAACACCCAAAACAGAAATGTATCAGAGAAAAAAGCATGTATGTAGATATCAGTACCTAATAAGGAATAACAGCTAACAGAGTTCAAAAATGCCTCCCTCCATACACATGCCAAACAGTTCACCCAAATGAAGTGCAGGAGATAATTATCTTTTATTTCTAAACTTTAAATTTTGAGGTCTGAATATTCCAGGTATAAATACTGAGCATTTAAAAGCTACTTTCCCGATAACCAATTAGAAATAGTTCTAGCCAATTAGAAATAGTTCTAGAAGACCCATCATTCACAACATAAACTCACAGTAAATATTCTGTGTCCAGTCCTATCAAATGCAACACAGTAGACTGCAGAGAGATGGCCAAGAATCCGCCTATGCATCCTTATGTGCTGATACATACTTCCTGGAAATGATGTTCTATATGTTGCATACCCAGTTAATTGTTTTGCACGATTTACTTCCACTAAAACAGAAATACAAATAGATTAAAGAATGCAAGCAAAAAAAAAAAAATCATGTGAAAAGCCATGTTTAAAAATTATTTCTAGGGGGCCTAGATAATAATAATTAAAAAAAAACAGGTCTTCTGTAGATAGCCACTCTGTCTTGCTTCCATAACCAACAGATTACTGGATTTAGTAAAGTGACTCTCTAGCTTGTGCACAGAACTCCAAAATTTATTCTGAGCTTGTGGGTTTATGTTACAAACAAGTGGGGCATTTTTTTAATTTAACCTCGCCCCAAATAAAGTAGTTTTTTTTTTACAAAAACAGACAGCATCTTCTATCTTGTATTTTGCCATGTACTTTCATAAATTAGGTAAACAGAGTCCTTTTAACCAAACACCACTGACTTGCAGATCCCATAAGTATCTCTATTTGCTTATTAGTACACTAGGTTTTTTAAAGCAGAAAGACTTTCATTTAGAATTTAACATCTTACTCCTGCAATGAATTCTACATGGGTGGACCCATGTGATCATGCAGAGCCCCACTGAAGTAATATGAAAATTCTAAAGGTAAACTTCTAGAGCTGGTTCTTAAATGCAATTTCCATCACTATTTATATGAAGAGAAGCATCGGGAGTATAAGTGTGAAGAAATACATATCACACTGAAGTTCGAAGTGATTTTATCATCTACGTACCAAGGTTTGGTGGAGGGCCATAGTTCACAGGAATTTCAGGAGGTCTTCCTCTACGAAGAGCAGCTAAAGCAGAGCCCTTCCAAACAGTATTCCTGCAATCTTTAACATCAATATTAGTTGCATAGAAAGTTACCCATAAGAGCACATTTCAGAAAAGCAACACAAACGTTACTGTTCTAAAATCCATTATAAAGTTTAGCAAAAATAGTAATGAACAAGCCTGCCAAAGGGCCTCGTACCGCAATATTAAGTTTAATAAGAGCTGAAGGAGCTCAGAACCTCACAACCTAAAACTTTCCAACAACAGTTTGAAAGCCTAGTTTTAAGACAGGTTACGATACTGTCCTGGCAAGGGAGGTTTGATAATGACACACATAGTCACTTGCTCCAAAGGCTCAGAGGACTTCAGTTATTTGTGAAGTACCAACCTACTCATTTCTGCACAAAATGCAGATGCTACATTCTCCAGTAAATGATTTACTAATTGAGTTATTATTTGCATTACTGATGTTGTGATAAATAAAGCAACAAAACTCTGGCTATTCGAAGTCAATGTATAAAGTTTTCTTGCACAATATATTTTTAGCACCGTCTTCATGGCAGTTTACAGATAATAAAAATAAGATCACATATATCCAGGTTATTCTTGAAAAGTATTTTGGGTCCCTTTTTCCAAAACAATGGAAGCACTTAGATTTATTTAAAACTAGAAGTTCCTGCTTAAAAAGCTGCACTCTGTCCATCTAATATCACCATAAGAGACACTTTTTTTACATATTATATGTAAGTAGCTAGTACTACAGATCGGGTTGCATAAGCATTTCCATTCTACCCGTTTTATATCCTTCCAACATTACCACCTTTTAGGCTGAAATTTTATAGGATTGTTTTCTGCCCAAAGGTGGATTTTATTTATTTATTTATTTTTTAATTTGTGCCAACAGGTCAGCTGTTTGACTACAGGAAGAGAGGAGACTTTCCCCAATATTAAAAGTTTTTTATTTTAACAGGTCGAGTGCTGAAATGGCAGCAAGTTTGATTCACAACAAACGCAAAGTCACTGCCTCATTCGCTGTGCAGCTTGTAAAGTGCAGAAGAGAGGTAACTGGGAAATGCACTGGCATCCACTAAAATAGTTCCACATCATAAAATGTTTTTTTCAGTTAAAAAATACAGACCCCACAGAATTTCATATACACACACACAAATATTCTGGAAAAACCTGAAGGTCTTACTGATTACTTAATCACCAGCCTAGCATTACTGTCAAACTGCCATGATCAGGAATGAGACCCCTGACTTCACACGTATTACTAAAATGTGAATGGGAAGACACTGCCGGACTGGTTTTGGCACAATTGGTGGCGTTATAGTGAGCCATTTCTGTCAAACACAAAGTGCAGGAGCTCTCCTACTCCAAAAAATGGATCACTACCATGTTATCCCCCTTGAGATCCACGAGCAGAGTCAAAAAGGGACTGGCATTCGTGTACAGAGTGCCTTGATAAACTAAAAAGCCTCATCATGATCTGATGCAGATACTCAGAGAGGTATCTCCACAAACTGAGACTGGAATGGACCTCAGCTGAAGCCAAGAACTCTTGATGGTACACGAAGGCACATAAAACCAGAGCATTTCCAAAAGGCTCCAAGGGAGAACATTACTCCAAATAAAAACTACTCTAAGAAGGGTCTGGGTTGGATTTTATAATATTTTGTCCTCAACTATTAAGTGGCTTTTAGGCATTCTCTTCCCCCACCTTGTTCTCGCAGGTCACCATGTTTATGAATGACCCATCAACAACTGAAGTGGGATTAAAGACAGGTAGAGCACTGGTAACAGCAGTCTTGTGCCAATCTGACACGTATCAAAAGGTTGCGTTTTTTAAAACATCTTGTCATGACTGTGAGAAGAGGGTTTCTTTGCCTCTTCCATAACATCCACAAATTTTCAATCAGTGGATCTGTTCAGTCATAGACAGCTTGATTAGTACTGGCTACCTTCACTGGATGGCAGATACATGTCCCTCCTCTCTGAAAGAGATTGTCATGCCTTTCTGTAGGAAAAGTAAGTTGCCAGCTTCTATGAAAGAAGCAATTGTGCAACCATTGCTCAAAAATTAAACATTAATCACCTACATTCACAATCTAGCAATAAACACCAAATGTCTATTTTTACAAATTTTGGAGGTGCAACTACACCTTAATCTGCTCAGAAACTGAAGAAGCTGGCTTAAGTGAAGTTTCACATTTATCTCCATGCATAGCACACCAAGATTAAATTGATACAACAACAAAACCATGGATCAAATTAGCGAAGTGCGGGTCAAAGAAACTCAACTCGTGGTCAAGTGCAAATGAAAAAAACTGTCCTGGTCATTGATGTCACTGAGAGCAGCTGGGAATCCAACAGTACCCAAACGCCAAATGCTCATAACAACCAGCAGGTATATACCCAGAGTAAAGGCACACATATAATCACTGACTTATCTTTCAGTTGCTTCCCCTCATCCTACCAACACCTTTTCCTCTTTATCTGGATTGAACATAAGCAAGCAAGCCCTCTTCTGTGCCCCTATCCACGCACTGGGCAAAGTATTTGGAAAGTACTAGTTGAACAACGTGAGATATCTCTGCATTTGCTCTCTATTGGATTCTGGGTGAAGTCAGTCCATTGTTTTTGATCTGTAAAGCCCTAACTGGCCACTGTTGTTTCAGTTTCCCCTCCTAGTCTTGGAAAATTTGCGGGGTTTACTTTTGTTTGCTTTTATACATGGCAATAGCACTCAGACCCCTGGACAGGCTTCCCTTTCCCCTCACCCCCCACAGTATTGCAAAAATTTAAATAATTAAAAATAAAACAATACCTTTTGCTGTACGTAGCAATGACTGCCTCCCTGCACCAAGTAAGGAATTCACTCGTGAAATGCTGGGTGGAATCTCTTTATCCAGTATAGGGCCAATACGCTTGCAAATTTGCAACAAATGATCTGGAGCCACATGTTTGTTGGATAAGACCTGATAAGAATTTAAGTTTAAAACAAATATGGTATATCTAAAATAGATGATTCTATGTATGTCAGTATTTACATTAACATTTAGAAGTGCCTAAATATTTATATTCTATAATTCATAGAGCAGAATCAGCTATATGAACTCTGATCTTTACAGTAGTGAATTACCCAGGAATGGGAAAGCTGTTGTAAAGAGACATACTATACATCAGCATCTTACTATGGAAAATACAGACTTCACACAAATGGCTCAGATTGGAGCACCCTCTCATATTCAGTATTTTCCACAAAAGATATTTTACTACAGTTAAGAGTAAAGCTTTCAGATAAGCAACACCATCACTTTGCTCCAGATGGACACAAATTTCCGTGTTTCAATTCTACATGATGTAATTATGTCTCATGCTCACTTCTTTTGGGGTCTGATTTAACCAACACTCCACAAAAATATTAAGACTCCTTGACTCATTTTTTGTCTACTGTAGGTCCAAAAAAGTTAGGTTATGGTCAAGCACGAGACAAATGAATATAATTGGCTATGCTGAATAAGAGTTGTACAAACTGGAAAGTTGTAGTCCACTGACATCACTTAAGGCTCAAGTCATCTACCTAGCTCCTTTGGAAAGAGCACTGGATTCTTCAAGGAAACTATGAGATGCAGCAAACAATCCTACTCACACTGACTCAATGGCAAAACTTCCACAGACATATTAGGGAAATAAGATCATGTAATTTACCCACTCACAAAGGATTCTCAGATATAGTTAATTTAGAATCCAAGTGTACACAAACACAACATCTTGCAACCAAAAATGCACGCACATTTCTCATATTTTCATTTTTTCAAAGTTCGCTGCAAAAAAACATGTATACAACTTCATGACTGACAACCTACTTGAGTAAGAGTCAAAGTTGGGGTTCCCACAGCCTCCACAAATTGGCCACATTTTTGTTTATAAGTATGAATTAGTGTTCCCATAAGATAAAAATATCAAAATATCAATAAGTCAACCTTAACTTGAGGCTCAGTTGTCCCATAATCAGAAAAGTAAAAATCAAACCCCCACACACTATTGCTGTACACCCATTTGGCAATTATTTGTCTTAATCTGCATATACGTTTCATACGTACATGGAGGATGAGTTGCAGTTGTGAGAACCAAAACCACTGGCTCGACTTCTGTATATTTAAAAAGGGCAAACTCAACTTAAATTACACCCGAATTACCTTAAAGTTAAGTTTTCAAATAAATTATAAAACTTAGGACCAATAGAAAATTTTCTGTAATTTAAAAAATAAATATGATTGTTTACACTGAAATTTTAAGAAATCCCCAGCAGTGTTTAAAGCCCAAATACTGCAGCACTAAGAATCTGAAAGTGGAACTCACTTAATGTTAAGGTGACTTAATTGACATAAATACAAGTAGTAAGCAGAACGTAAACAAGACAACTAAATGGAATTTTTACTATTTATTATTAGTGACATTAATTAAATTAGCTTTAAAAAAATCCAGTGCTGTAAGTAGTGTCATTTTAAAATTCTAAAACCATAATATTTATATTGTTTTTTGGCCTGAAGAAAAAATGTGATTACTCAAGACACTGAAATAAAGTTTATTCGTTACTTTCTATTTGAAAACCTGACAAATGAATTCAGTGAAAGAGTCAGTGTTACTGCACACTGAAACGTATCTGAATGTATAATACAGTAATCATGTTACTGACACTGATTGCGAAACAATATTTGGTAGATCAAGAAGTATACTAAAATCTTATTTATTGAAGATGTTTGCCACATCCTGTAAAGAGACACAAGAGTACTGACCAAGATGCTTCAAAGTAGAAGGCTTAATTTCCCCCTTCAAGCACATTTACAAAATACAGTTTATAAAAAGATACTACCTTTGTGTAATTTATACCCAATGCAAGTCTCGTTAAAGGAAATTTTAAAAAGCCTAATAAAATATATATTTTTTTAATGGTTGGTTTTGACTTTTTGTGACAGCAGTTATTTAAGCTCAGGCTCAGATTCTGTAATGAGCACTTGGTGTGAGATGGAATACACCCAAATGGTCAACACTGCAGGTTTTGGGCCTTAAATGTTTGCCAGCTGTCCCTGAAACCCAAAACCAGAAGTGTGAAACTGATAAGCCTATTTTTACACTTAGACAATTAAAAGTATCTAAACAGCATAAATGGCAAAGTAAAAAAGATATGACAAAAAGCAGAAATTTTGATAACCTAAACTATTAACAGCACACACAGGAATTTTTTTTGTTGTTGTAGGGGAGAAGGGACACACACACAAAGGCTCCAATCCTATGAAGTCACATGCACAGACAGATGCATGAAGCCCCAAAGTCAATGAGACTCAGCACAGGAATATATATGCCAGCACCACATTTGCAGAAGAATCGGGGCCTACATACATCCTTTACAAGAAAACTTTCTGTGCTTACCTAAATTTAGGCCAGATCTTGGAAAGTAATCCTGTTGACTTCATGCAAGTAAAGTGAGCAGGATTGGTCCTCCAGTGTACTGATTTAAAGCAGTACTATATACATTTGCTCAAATAAGAGAGCTGTCAAATCCAAAATTACATTTGTGGCTACCTTTTTGTTTTTAACCTATAACTATATTTTTCACATTTTTTAATTGTGTGTAGTCAATATCACTCTTTCCCCTGTACCTTCAGTCACATACCACTTTACTTTGTCAAAGTAGGGAAAAACATGAGGAAAAAAACAGAATTTGATATCACTTGTAACTAACTACTCCAAGCTTTTTTTAAAAAGTAATATAAACTGAACTACAGACTTCCTATATTGATGCTGTCCTCCCTTTAGTTTGTATCCACATAGCCACACATTATCATGCAGTATTTTAGAAACAGTAACACAGAACACCAGGAACAGTTACAACAATTTCAGAGTAGAGATGTAAATACATTTAGTGCAATTAATTTGGCACAAGTTGTGCAGCCCTGAGCCAAAGGGCATCTTTTGGAACATTTTGATTATTAAGAACACACTATGGCCAGTAAATCAGAAAGACACCACTACAAATCCCCATCCACAATTTCTGCACCAGTGATTTTGTTTTCTAATCTGTTGAAAGCAGCAGATGTAGGAAACCAAATAGAAGATAAATACCATCCAATCAAAACCTGCTTAACAAGTCTCCTAGTGAAACACAGAAATGAAACCTCTTAACAGATTGGCTCTTCCCCATAGGTAGGCAGGAACAAGGGCAAGTGGCACAACCTCCAGCCCCGCCTGTGCTACATAACAATATCCTCCAATTAAAAACAGCCCTAGCCCCTTATGTTTTTGTTTGTTAGTTTAAGGTAAAGACGTCAAACACCCCTTCTAAAAGTCACCCTTCTGTCTCCTCCCAGACCCAGAGTGAAATACAAAAATAAACGTAAAGGCTCTTTTTATTAAGTGGCGGGTCTAACATTAACATTATTATTCTAATTCAACGTTGTTTTTAAATCTCACCAAATCTTCATAACTTCTACAATGCTCATTTCCTTCCCAATCCAACCTTTTAGGAAGCAACTAAATTGAGAAAGAAACAAAAATGAGTGATTAAAAGGGGAAAGGGTGAGGGGAGATCAAATTCAAAACAACGTGGGTTGGTTTTTTTTTTTAAAAAGGAGATGAATGACTTAAAGGAAAAAGGCACGAGGAGAGGGGGAAAGGCAACAGAGAGTGTCACACACACAGACCTGGTGCTGCTCCAGCTCCTGCACCAGCACCTGCAGGGGAAGGAAGAAACAGATGCACACGAGTTAGGGAGGGGGAACCAAACCTCGCCGTTGCTTCAGCGGCCGCCGCAGCCGCACAGGGCTCGGGGCCAGGCACCGGAGCCCTTGGCGGCGGCGAGGGGCTGCGGCGGGGGCGCGCGGCGCTGCCGGGCTCGACTCACCTCCGCCGCTCTCCGGCAGGGCCCGGTGCTCAGGAAGCGGGCGACGAGGAAGTAGAGCTCTGCAAGAGAGACGGGGGGAGAGCGATGAACGCGGGGCGGGGGGGAGGGGGAGCCCCTCAGCGACTGTAATTCATAATCATGACCGGGAAGATGGCGGCGGGGAGCAGCAGGAACCGGCGGCGCCCGGCCGGCTCCCTCACGCGCTGGGCTGTTACCTGATTCCATGAGCGGCAGGGAGCCGCCGCCGCCGGAGGAGGGGACCGAGGGCTCGGCCATGTCGGGGGCGGCCCAGCGGCTCCTACCGCCGCCCAGGCAGGACACGGGCTCAGACAGCGTTTGGCGCGGGCAGGGCCCCGCTCGGCATAGTCCTATCAGCGCCTCCCCCACCGCGAGCGAGCCTCCCCCTCCTCGCTCTAACTCAGCCACGGCCCGGCCGCCATTGCCGCGGAGCGACCCGTCGCAGTGACGAGGCTGCCGTCTCCGCCGGGGAGGGGTGGGTGAAAAAATAGTCCCTCGCCGGGGACACAGGGGGCGGCGCTGGAGGGGAATGTTTATATTCTTCTGTGAACCCTTCTGGGGTAAAAAGCAGCCCGCGGCCTGTCAGTGCTGGAGCTAATGGGGAGGTCGCTGCTGCTATGGGTGCAGGGGGAAGCGAGATCCGGCCGCGGAAGGGGACGTAAGAAGAAAGGCCGTGACGAGACACTGAAGGAACGTCTGCACGTTGGCGGCGCAGGCGCAGTGGGGGATGCGCGTGCGGCCGCCCGGCGACGTCCTGCGGGAGCTGCACTGGCAGCTGCTGCGCCGCGGCGGAGGCCGAAGCGGGCTGGTGATGGCGGGCCGGGGCCGCGCAGCCTCCACCCGCGGGGCCTGGGCCGGCGGCTGCGGAGGGGCAGGAGGCTGCGCTGGGAAGGGTTCCCCCGGGGGTGGGGGAAGGGCGAACAGTGGCGGCCCGGGCCGGGGCAACGCGCGTCTCCTCCCCGAGGGCGCTGCTGCCCCCTGCCCCCCCTGTGACGGGAGCGAGCGACAACGGCGCCTCCCCTCGCCCCATGTTAAATCAGGCACCTCTTAGTGGGTCCCCTGAGCGCTCCCGCCCGCGGGACCAAACCCCCCAGAACTAGGCAGGAGGCGCTGGTGCCCAACTAGCGCCGCTGGGTCGTTCTCTGACCCGTCCATCCCTGTGTTGCTTCCAGGTTGGTTCTCGCTTGAAGGGTCCCAGAACTCAAGGTGGGCCGAGCACCTCCCTGGGCTAGGTTCTCAGCGAAGAGCCCACAGGGCTTCTAACTACCCATGTCCTTTTGCCTTGCAAACATGTTCAGGTCACTGTCCCTTACTGCGCTACTTTCACTCTCAACACTCTGCCTTTAGCTTCACCATGACCATTTACAAATAAGGTTTGGATCGGGAGAGTCTGTGACACTTTAAGGCCTATGCAAGGGATATGAGCTTTGCTACGCTGCCTGAGTTAGGGTTACCAACAGCACACAGTTTCCCCTAAATATCCAAAAAATATTCTGTATTTCCATGAGGCTGCTGGCATTCACGCTCCACTGCAGTGTACTTTAGTCCAGATCATGAAAGGTATTTAGATGCCTAACTCCCACTGAAGGGGCAGAGCCGGGGCTAGCCTCCCCAAGGAAAGATCCACCTACTGCCCATGTTGAAATCCTTTTATCTCTATTGTGCTGTTTTTCCTCCTACCATTCCTTAGAATCATGAACGCTATCATTTCATGATCACTTTCACCTAACTAGCTTTCCACTTTCACATGCTCAATCAAACCTGATTTGCCAAAATCAAATCTGGAACAGCCTTTCTGCAAGTTGCTATCTTCACCTTCTGAAATAAAAATAATCTCCAATGCATTTAAAAAATGTGTTGGTTTATTTGTGCCCTGCTGTATTATTTTCCCAACAGATGTCTGGGTAGTTCAAGTCCCCCATCAGCACCAAGTCCTGTGCTTTGGATAATTGTTAGTTTAAAAAAAGCCTCATCCACCTCTTCTTCCTGGTTAGGTATAGTAGACCCGTACTATGACATCCTTGGGGGTTTTTTACCCCTTTTATCCTTACCCAGAGACTTTCAACAAGTTGGTCTCCTATTTCCATCTCAACCTCACTCCAAATGCATAGACCTTTGATACACAAGGCAACACCTCTTCCTTTTTCCCCCCTGCCTTTCCTTCCTGAGCAAGCTTCACCCCTTTCTATAGCCAGTCATGTATTATCTCAACAAGTCTCTGTGATGCCAACTATTTCATAGTTGTGTTTATTCACTAACATTCTAGTTCTTCCTGTTTATTCCCCGTACTTCTTCCATGAGTATGCATTGTCCACATTTGTTGAACCCCTCAAAAAATTCTATTAGGTTGGTGGGGCATGATTTCCCTTCACAAAAGCTGAGTTTAGTCTTCTCCAACATAGTGTGCTATCTATGTGTCTGATAATTCTGTTCTTTACTATAGTTTCAATCAATTTACCTGGAATTGAAGTTAGGCTCACGGGCTTGTAATTGCCAGGATCACCTCTGGAGCCTTTTTTAAAACTCAGCATTATAGTAGCTATCCACCAGGCATCCTGTACAGAGGCTGATTGAAGTGCTAGGTTACATACTAATTAGTAGTTCTGCAATTTAATATTTGAGTTCCTTCAGAACTCTTGGGTGAATACTATCTGCTGTTTCTTTTGGCTTCTCTGAGGATAGCACACTACATTCCATTCTTCTTATTGCTTCCAGTATCAGCTGCTGATAAACCATAGTTTCCCTTATCTGTGCACATTTAGCTGTCATTGGGCCATTGTGCACATTGTTCCAGGCATCCAGTATTAAATTATTTTCCATGTAATTTGTTGTGTGCCTCCACCCTCAAGCCATCTGTAACCACATCTAACAGTTCATCTTCTACCTGCTTTTGACTGGATGCTTTGGAGCTTGGCCTTAGGCAGCTGGTCATTGCTTGAAAAGTTGATTCTCAATAACAGAAAAGGAAATATCACAGTCAGAAAAAAATTCTGCAATTCTCAATTCTATCTGTTTTAGTTCTGGGATTGTTTTTGTTACAAACATATCCATTTGTGGTTGACAGTGATACTTCCTCCTCTTTGGCTTTAGCCAACCTGGATCTGGCTTTCTTTTAATATACTTTTCTAACCCATGGCACCCCTGTATTCACACCCTACATACTACTGCAATATTTGTACAAAATATGACTTCTGAGGTATATGAAAGCTAACAACATGGTTATTAATATGGTAACATTCATGTGTTAATATGTGAAATTATGAATTCCCTCTGCATGACATTAATAGAACATGTTTAAAACAAAAGAAGCCTACTCTAGGTATAGGTGATAAACAGGTCTGTCTGAGACAAAATAATGGGTTTACTGAAATCTGCATTAGCTGTAAACAAAGCTAAACCAGCAGGGATCATCTTGAGCCTGAACTGAAACAGAGAATGAACATGGCTCCTGCACCTCAGAGACACAAGAAACTGAATACCCAGGAAGCCTTCCTGACTTATAAGGCAAAGAAATCCCTTTGGAAATGCAAGGAACAGAGACTTTGTATTGATCTTTCATCTAAAAGGAGACAAAGAAAGAAGTTACTAACTTTGAGCAGTAACAATGATTCTTCATGATGTGCGTCCCTATGGGTGTTCTTCCACTGTAGGTGACTCTCAAGCAGTGCCCACCCCTGGAGCTAAGATTTCAGTCAAGTCCAATATGAATGATAGTACTGTGGCACTAAATTTGGCATCTGCAAATGAATCCCCCAGGATGGCAGTGGGGTGCAGATGTCCAGGTAGCTGCTCTGCAGAGTTCTGATAATAGGATACCTTCAAGAAGGTGACTGGAAGAGACTGGCCTCAGAATGCATGCACATTGAAGATGGGGGTGTTACATTACACAAGTGGTAACAAAGTTTAATGCAGCCCGTAACCCACTTAGAGAGTCTTTGAGCTGAAATCACTGTAACTTTTGACTTGTCTGCAATGGAGAGTAAGATTCTCAGAGATTTTCTGAAAGCTCTTGTTCTGTCCAAATAGAAGGCCCAGGCTCTCTTCATGTTGAGCCTATGGAGGATTCCCTATTATCCTGATGTTTAGGATAAGAGGCTGAAAACTGAATAAGCTGATTCATGTAAAATGCAGAAATCACCTTGGGAGTGAACTTTTGATGTGATCTAAGTGTGACTTTTTCAGGCAAGAACACAGTGAAAGGGGAGTGCACCATCAAAGCCGCTATCTCCCCTATCCTTCTTGCAGAGGTGATGGTGATCGGGGTGCCATCTTCATGGAAAGGTGAGTTAATGAACAAGTGACCATAGGTTCAAATGGTGGACTGTGTCAACCGTTTTAGCACTAGGTTGAGATCCCACTGAGGAATGGGAAGTCTGGGTTGTGGGAAGAGGTTCATTTATACCTTTGAGAAAATAGTTACTAACCTTCCATAACTGTTGTTCTTTGAGATGTGTTGCTCCTGTCCATTCCATGCTAGGTTTGTGCGTGCCACGTGCACAGTTGTCAGAGATGTTTCCCTTAGTGGTAGCTGTAGGGCCAGCCCTAATGCCCCTTAGAGCCCTGTTATCACCCCACAACAGGGGGTGACACCACACAGCCAGTTGAGTTACCTGAGTGCTTTATCTAAGCCACTCAAGGACAAACTGAAGACAACAGCCCGAGAGGCCTGCCCAGCTAGGGGGGTCAGAGCCCACAGCGGTTCTCTCTGCTCCCAGACTGCACCCTGGGAGTGACAACCTGTCACAAAGGCAATCTGACTTGTCCTGTCAGTTCGGTACATTGCAGGCGCTGGGTTTAGATTTAGATGGCTTCGGTACCATTGATACCAAAGATATGGACAGAGCCAGAAATGGTTTTCTGCTCGACCGGGGCTCGCTATGGGGACACGTGGACCTTTTCTTAGAGGCCTTACATGAGTGGCTCACAGGCATCTCCCTAGACTCATCTCCCTTAAAAGTAGAGGGTGCAGATATACCTACACTGGAGCACCCATAGGGACACTACTCAAAGAATCAACTGATCTGATCTCTCTGATGGGCCTGCTGGCAACACTAGCCAGTAAAACCTAGGAGACTGGGTGAGAAAAACCATCTCAATGTAGTAAGATGGCTCTTAAGTTTTAGATACATTTTCACTTTTATTTGCTTGTAATCTATTCTACTTTCACTCCCTTCTATTTAGTATCACTTAGTCCATGCACTTCTATTAATAAACTTGTTTTACCTCTACTATAAACCCATGAAATGCTGTGTGAAGAGAAAGGGTGTAAATTAGGGCTGTCAAGTGATTAAAAAGTTAATCGTGCTGCTAAACAATAAGATTACTATTTAATTATTTTGATGTTTTCTACATTTTCAAATATACTGATTTCAA